TGGAGTGGCGCTAACCAAGTCCAGGTATGTGCGTGAGCGTGCTGAATGCCCTTGCTTGAGATGCATGACAGCCGGTGTAAAGGTACCAAGTGCGTGGTCTAGGTTGCTTGGCTAATGCGCCATTCACCTGCCCACCAGCCCCGCATAATCAGGAATAATGCGTCGTGCGTGTAGTTGAGTACATATTCATAACAAAGACCTGAGCTCCGCTAGCACGGGCATGCACCCTTTTCCCCCCTGTCGTCCTTGATGTGCCCTCCTGCAGCAACGCGGATATCGACTGGGTCATCTCCAAGAAGGTCACGCCTCCTCCTCCGCCGCCGCCGCCGCCGCCGCCGCCGCCGCCGCCCCCGCCCCCGCCGCCGCCTCCCCCTCCCCCACCACCGCCTGCCCCAAAACACCCGAAGCTCAAAATTCTAGGGTAAGGATCTTGTGAGCAGCGCCTATCTAGTGCAACAGACGACATTGGGTTAGCTCAGATGAGGGAATTACACTTTGCACACCGCACCCACTCCTCCGTACATGCGGCTCCTTTGCTCGGGTGCGCGACTGCTACCCCTGTACCTACCCTTCAAGTTTACCTCATATATTCTATCCTACACTCTCAAACAGGGCTTTGGCTGGCGGTCGCCGCATGCTGGAGGCTGCTGACGGGGAAACGGTGAGGCGGGTATGACGGTGAAACCTAGCTAGCTAACCGCCGAAGCGAATCCTAGTGTTTACACTGTTGTTCTGCCCTTACTTGCAGGCATAGGTTGTCGTCGTATTCCAGCAGACAATCAAGGCAACATGCATGGCGACACAGTCTGTTGATACGGCCGCTGCTGCACGCACGGAGTGGTTTTGGTTTTAGGGTTATGGGGCCCATCTGATGTATGGCGTTCTTGTCGCCCTTTGGTTTCTAGGCTGCATCCGTACATGGCATTTCGTATATGACGTACTGTCTGTTGCACCTTCATCACCATGCGCTTGTCCATAGCTAGCGTCCCATGTTTAATGCTTTCCACATGTTTATTGCATATGTAACATTAAGAACCTCGTTTAGCTCTTGATGTATATATACGCTAGCTAGTACATGCTGCTCTTTATTTTCGTAACTTTAGGCGTGCCGGTTCGGTTTGCTTGATGATGAGGCGCGAAGTAAATTTCCGTATGAAGCGGCATGTATCTTGGTTACAACCTTGCCTATCTATACCGTTCTCGCTCGGACGCTGTATTTGTAACGTTACACTGGGATAACGTTACCGTGGTGAATGCATGCATGGGTCCTGCGCAAATATGCGAAACATGAAACGGGATTGCATACACCAAACAGATAGTGCTTCATTGCGTGTGCTACGAAACACGCCAACACGATTGAGGCTGGAACCGGAGGGTGAATGAATGACCGTCACGCAGAGTGAATGTTGGTGCGGGATTGGCACAGCTGGATAGATGTGTTTGACAGGGGAAACGGCAAACAATTAGGAAATATGAACTTTCAGCACTGCCCTCTGCTTACTTCCACACACTATATGCCGCTGTGTGTTGCGGGCGGGCATGCATACTTGCGGTACACAAAGTAGAACGGGACAGTGCTTGGAAGAAGCATAGGAGTTCACAAGCGCGCCTTACAGCTTCTATGCATATGCTTGACAGGCGTTGGACGTTAGTTGGATTCTGGTACGACATACCGGTCATCAAGCAATCCAATGCCCACTGGACCAATGATGGGTCAGGACTGTTGTTGTGCCGTAATCTCACCCCGACCTTGACTTGCAGTATGCAGGAAATCCATGCATCAGATGCCTGGCGATGGTAAAGCGACCAGAAGTCTTGTTCCTGCTTGTGCCTGTTCAAAGACCTAAGCTGTTTGCGTCTTCAGATGATGAGGGGTCGTGGTCCCTCTGCCGCTGTGCGCCCCATGGCGACGGTGCAGCTACTGTTGCTGGCGGTGTCGGTGCCCCTGATGCTATCGTTGATAACCGGTGGGTGCCTACAACTCTTCACATTCGTTTCTTGCTGCTCCATGGGCTGACCCATGGGTCTGCAGTAACTACCTTTCACGTCCAATCGCTCTGGGCGCCGGTAGTTGCGGTTCCATGCCACATGGCCGCTGGGCCTTCCTGTCAAGGCAATCACGATGCAATCCTTTTCCTTCAGTTCCGTTTGCCTAGCTGTTATTCCCTGCCTGCGGTGCCGCAGGTGTTGCTGCCGGAGGTACCTACTTTATGGGGGCAGGAGGCGGGGACAGGTGCGCCGGATGGTGGGAATCTGGCGGCACTACAGCTTGCTGCATACGCACTATTGATTGTAACCGGGCAGGTTTATTTTGGGTTCGCATGTGACCCAGCGTGTGACTCTTTCTGCCGTACACAGCTTCCCCAAGGGTCGACGCCTACTAAGCGATGACACCAGCAACGGTGGTGGGGTAAGACGCGCATGTACGTATGCGCACAGAGCTCTTTTAGTGTCGTGCATGCCAAGTCCTTATGATTGCCTGACGCAAGATGCACTTTTAGCAGAAATGACACCATGCTGACCTCGGGTAAAACAAGTGATATGACGACGCATGCCCGCTGGATACCCCTACCTACCACACGCTCGGTGATCCTCTTCATACCCCTGCCCGCATGCGGCTGCATGTTGTGCCCTGCAGCGTACCTTGAAGCGCCTCTCCCTCAGCAAGACCTTTTCCGCCGGAGGTACCGTGGAGGAGGAGGGTCTGGGGCCCAAGAACTGGACACTCACCGGAACTGTTAAGTGAGTGGCTGTTCTGCAGCCACCTACCGTTGGTGCCGGCTCCATGCTGTGCTAGAGCCTCTGCTGCTTGAAACAACCATGTGCCCCGTAAGCCTGTGTAAGGAACCAACGCACAGGGAATATATAAATAGCAGAAACTGACACGCGGTGCCCGCATGTGCACCCTCATTACGAGCAGGCCCACAATCAAGGGCATCGTCGTGGACACTAAGGGGACCGTCACCGGCGAGTAAGTGCTTCTATCTACGGGTATGCCTAGAGAGGGAACACACATGTGTGTCCCTTGACAGCTAGCCCCTCTAAGCCCTGACCTGCGCTGATCCTTTCCTTCGGCCCGCCCCCTAAACCCACAGGACGTCAGACACGATTTACAAAATCAACAGCACCGACCGCTCCACAATCAAGTGGTAACACCCAGTTGCGGGAGGGTCATCCAGCCATGCCGTACGATTATGCGTCTGCTTCCCATGATAGCCCATATCGGTTGCTTCGTAGACAGCTTTACTGAATGTTTAATGGGCCTGATTATTACCGCAATGAGCTCTCCCTGGTCCTACTTGCGAGCAGGAAGCGACCTAGCGTTCGTGACGGCCTGGCCGGTCTCAAGAGCCTTGCACAGGGCGGTGGTCGCCGCCTGCTGCACGCTGCCAGCACTGCTTGCGTGAGTTATGTACGAAGTGCCTGTGCTATTCTGTGAAGGTGCCGCGCGGCTGACTTTAGTGTGACCAGTAGCGGAGTCGGGTGCGGTTTCATGCATGATGGCCGCCGCCGCAACCCAAGGTGGGGACGCACGACTCGGCTACACATGATGACGTACGGGCCGTTGCCAAGGCGCCAAGCGGACCGACAGTGAGTCAATCACATTCATGTACACAATTCTCTTTCCTTGCAGCGTACTTTGCTTCAGAGCACGACTCTGAGCACTGGCATCAGCAACCCTGCTGGCGCTCTTGACAACACCGGCATCCCTGGCGTGGCGCTCACCAAGTCTAGGTAGGCGGGGGTATCTCCAGTCACGATGAATCCACGGCTCAGGTCTTGGCGCCTTCGGGCACTCACATGCAACACAAAGAACCGATCGCTCCATGGGCTCCACCGTTCCCCAGCCGGGGCCGCCGCCCACCCTGCCTCTCCTGTGTTCGTGTGCACTGCTATGCAGTAACCTGCTGGATGGGGGCTGTGAGCAGCCTCAGCAGCCTCGCAGACCGTCGCCAAACGATTAACTCCAAGGATTGAGGACTCGGAATCAAACAACAACCAGTACGGGGTAGGTTGTACGGAAGCGTGGGCGGGCGTAGATGGTGCAAGCAGCATCCGCGCGTTCTATCCACCTGATATATACGCGCCGTGCGCTGTTCCCGCTGGCGTACGTAATGAGAGAAGCTGTGGTATTAATGCCGCATCAAGCAGCTGCTGGCTGTAAAGGAGGAGTACAGTAAGCGGGATGCATGTCAACACGGTGTGTACATGTGTGCATGCCGTAGCTTTAATTGTTTCCGCCAGTGTGAACCTCGCTTGGATGGTAGTTGCATGATGTAGCACCCACGTACAATTGTGCATGCGGTGTATGCTGACATGAGGGGCGGAGATCATGCGTATATGGATGTGTGATGCCTTGTGAGTTACTGCACGCATGTGCATGCATGCGCGTATGGGTATGTATAGATAAGGATCTATCTGACCTATGGGTATGTATAGATAAGGATCTATCTGACCTATCTTGCCTATGTATAGAAAGCTTTCCAAGTTCTTTTTCATAGCACATGTTACCGGTAGTCCTCTACCGTTGAGTTGGTTCCTATTGACGCTTTGGGTTTTGCCTTCCGCTAGAGTAACATGCAACGCCCAGCCCGGAATGACACCCCTAAACGGAACGCCCATCGGCGTGTATTGCACGGATTCGTAATGGTCCCATGAAGACGCGCATCTTTTATGTCTTGTACGACGCGGTATGGGCACTGTACGGTATATACGACCACCTACACATGCACTCTTGTCCAACCGCAAAGTCTCATTTGACGGTGTAGCTCGATCCCTCCGACCCACAGATTCGATATTAATTGTTGATGAGCCCCCTCTGCGCGGACCCGGTTCCTAAACCGACCCATGGTTCATTGCACTACAGTTTGGAATGTCACTTTATGGTTATGCATACTTGCAACTGCATTGCAACTCCGATCCCAAGGGCTATAGTGACGACCGCTCTTACAGTACACTAGAATAACAGTGTTGCAAGATAGCAATGCAACGTAAAAACCGTCACCAGACACGGATAAATGGAAATAATGGGCACGGAAAAGCGGGAGTGGGCCTGCGACGAACCAACATAAAGACCACAAGAGCAGCGCTGCTGCTGACAACCACCATCACCGGGAGAGAAAAAGGGAACCCCCAAAAGAAGACAGGTCGGCGCACGAGGCGCCGATGAAATTATCACAGCTATCAACAAACGTATAACCGTCTCCCGAAGATATGTGGCCCAGTCAGAATGCGGTCGAAACGCCACAAACAATCATGACTCACCACTTTCCATCGAGCTCAGCGGCAGCGCTTGAGCGTTGCGCGCTAGATGTTTCAGCCCGGCGCCCTGACGGTATGTATTGAGGCGCTGAATGCGAAAGGCAAACCCCGTTTTGGCTTATCTGCCGCACCGCGTCGCCATAACACACGAAAGGACATCAAGCACGCGCACACAACAATCTATTTTCGCACTCATGACAGTCATCAAGTTGCCGCTAATGTTGAGGAACAACGAAACACATCTCGTAAGCAAGCAACACGCGGGAAGTGGCGTAGTAAGAGAAAAGCGTTCGCTAGGGTAATAGTAGTGTGAATGAGAGATTCATCTGTCAATCAGCACCACAACAATGATGAACGGTCAAGGGGTGCACACCGAACTGCACATCACCACATGCACGCAAGCCAAGTAGGGGTTCCTCCCATAACCACATGCGGACACTCAGTAAGAGCGAAAGTAGCCGCGGCGGTAACAACGCCGCCGTGCTACTGCCCCCAGGAGCACGCCAAGAGGAATCCCTACATGCAATTGCGTACAACGTGGGCACACAACCCGGCAAGGAGACATTGCCGCCGGCAGCTACTAGGGCAGCAAATCTCGGCCCAAGAAGTCAGCCAGGAACAGCAACTAGACTCCTGGGGCGCGCCGTCGTTAGACCTACACAACCTGCCAACCGTCGAACAACACCCCACAGCATGCATGCATCTGCACACACACCCAAATATCTGTGCACTTGTAAAAGGCGTTCATCAACCTTCAACCCTATGATGTGCGTCAAGGGTGAAAATGCGTCGCGGTGCCGGTCCCGGCGCCCAACAAACGCGGGTAGGTGCGCTGTCACTGAGAGCATGCAAACCCGCGCCGCCAAGCGGCCGCTCGCCGCCGTAACTTCGCCGCAATGTGTCACGCCCTGCCAAGCCTAAGCAAGAGCTTCAATGCGAAGGGTGAGTACAGGAGTCTCTAAAACAAACAGTGGCACGTGTCTTGATTGTCTTGATGTGGGCACCAAGCAATGCCCTGGTCGTCATGGCAAGCAATGGTGCCGGACAGCATTCCCAGACTGCGACATACGCATCCTGCAGTTCCGTAACCCCCTGCAAAGCCTTGCACAACCCCCCACACCCCTCGCCGCGCTCCACACCCACACCTCGCATACTGCCTTTCCCATCCTGGCGGAAGCAGGCCCCATGGGGCGCAGCTCACAGCAAGCTGACCCTAACATGCTGCTGCATTGGCGCGATAACCCTTATTCCCCCATCACCATTCCACTCACATTATTGTCATCCCGTCTCCGCTCTAATACCCAATCTCACTCTAATACCCATTCGCTAATAGCCGGGTTCGCTCTAGTACAAACCACTATCAATGGTCATCGCTTCTAGCAGCAAAAGCCCCGTTATTTAACCTCCAACTTCTGTTCCTACCACTGCCGTCACCATACCATACCATTTGATGCACACCGCAAAGCCGGAATAGCCCATGCGCATCCGCACCGGCATTTTGGGACGGGCCACATTTGCTTCTCACGTCCCTATAGCAGCTGTGCTACCCTGCATGGCGGCCTCCGCCGTTGCTGCTGCAACGCGCCTCCACTGCTGCATGCATGAAAACACGTCCCTGCATGTCCGCTTGTCGCTGCCACTTGCCGCTTTACTGACGCACCACCACTCCATTCACTGCACAGGTAGCACCTTCGAACCCAGAAAGGCGCAATGCTGCACCCCAGGCTGTGCTACCAGCCTGGGGCGGGCTGTGCTACCAGCCTGGAACCATAGAACCTCTCCCAGGCTTTTTGCTCACCGTCGAGCCGGCGCGCTGGCGCCCTCATCCTCCTCATCCTCCTCCTCGTCGTCATAATACAGGCTCTGGGTGGCTGAGGGCGTGGCCGACACGGACACGGAGGCTCCGCCCACGGAGGAGTCGATGCTGCTGCGGCGCTGCGAGGAGCGTTTCTCGCTGCTGTGGCTGTAGCCGGACACGGAGCGACGCTTGCGACCCAGGGAGGCACTCCAGCCCTGTTTGGAAAAGAGGCCAAGCATGGTTAAGAGAGGCGGCATGGGAGGAAGACGGGGTGAACGGGCGCGACGGCCAAACGTCGGCATTCCTGCCACTCCACGCATCCATCGCCCGTCTTTTCCTCCCACGTTGCTTCCACACTTCTAGCCACAGCAACTTATCATGATCCCCGAGTTTACCCACACACGGTTGTACTGCACCTACCTCTCCCTGCCCTATGAGCAGCGTCCCCGCCAGCAGCTGCCGCAGCACCCCCCGCAGCTCCTCCCAGGGCACGTGCAGCCGGTAGTCCAGCAGCCGCAGCAGCTCCAGCTCCAACCGGTTGACCTCCTGCACGCTCACGCCGCCAACCTGCGGATAGGCACGCCAGCGAAAAGGATTGGCAGGACAGCAAGGAAACCGCACGCAAGTTGCTGTACGTCTCTTAGGAAGTATCCATGTACCTGCCAACGTTTGTGCATGACGTCGCAGGTCCTCAATGACCAACAATGCGCCCAACGCAACACTAGCGTTTCCCCAGTTGCTCCTTGGCCTCCCCTTCCCCTCTCCTCAGCCCCATCCTTTCTTCCTCATCTCCAGTTCTCACCCGTCCGTAGAACGCGTTGTTGAAGTAGTGGTCGTCCGTCAGCTTGGCCGCCAGCAGCACGCCGGTCAGCAGCAGCCGATGCACGTTGAGCGGCGTGGGCAGCATGTCGGGGTCGCGCTGCGGAGGCGGGAAGAGGAGTCGGGGGAGCGGGGGGGGGTGAGGGAGGTTGTTTAGGTACTCTACTACTGAAGGGGCCGTAGACGTTCCGTAACTCCGTAGGTAAGGTAGTATTTGTGCTTTAAAGGGCTGGACGATTTTTCTTATATGTCCTGCAAGGAGGCTGTATGTGGAGAACCAGAGCAGCACTGACCCATGTAGCCGGGCTATTTGTTGTAACCTACGGTGTGTGTCTCTCTTTACGCGACCTGTAACTCCCTGCCCATGTCTGCGACTGAGCGCCCGTGCTGGACCTGTCACCTGTCACCTAACAGCAGACGCACGCGGTTACTGGTGCCTCCCCGCATACCTGTCCCAGCAAATCCATGTAGACCAGAGACATGATGAAGCACACTGGGCTGCACTTTGTGTACTTGGCTATGCGCTCCAAGTAGGAGTGCAGCCCAATCGGCGGTGGTCGAAGACCATGGAAGACAGTCAGCTTGCCAGTTGGCAACATGTGCTGGCTCCCCACCTGCAATTGTGTAATCGTATATCAACGCAGGCTTGTCGTGTTGCATTCCAAAGTCCCACACTATCCTTGGACAAAGTTGGCACTGTGCCACGTTGCCAAATTGCGCATGTTACGCAGAAATTTGCACGCACGGACCCTTACCGTGCTTGAAGTAAAGCGCTCCTGCAACTCATTCTTTTCAATATTGCTTTCAAGCGCTGCTGAGATGAGCTTTAACAGTCGCGGGCTCGTCCCGGTGGTGTCGGCCACTTGCCTGTCAGCCAAGCAGGGAAGGTCGGTTAGTGATAGGTCCTGAGGAACCAGTGCGAGCGAAACGACTTCACTTACAGCAGCGAGAAAAGCTCCTCCGCCTCATCTTCTGTCACAGAGGCTCGCCGTGCTCTTGAGCCAAAAGTAAAAGACTTTGCCACTGGCGTTCCCGCATGCTGCCCTGACGTGCTTGGTCCCTCGTGGTCCTCGTCAGCAACAGTAGGGCTTCCCCTAAGGGGCCCTGAAGCCGAACGGAAAAGGGAGAAGTGCACCTGCCATGTTCGCGAAAGGCAAAACCTCAGTCAATTCCTTCATAATGTACAAGTAAGCAAAGCCATGAAAAATTATTCGCATACATTTAGAAGCCTGCAAGCTACCCTTCACTGCAGCTGCAAAGGCCGCCATGGCTAGAAGAAGAAAAGTGCTCTCACCTCCTTGACCATTCCCGGCCGGCCCCCGCTGTTGCCCTTACTGCTTTTAGGCAACGCAGGGGCCTCAAGACGCGTGTTGAGCGCGAGCGAATCAAAGACTATCAAAGCGTTTCTAGACTGGCTTCAGGTTGCTTCCCAATTAGCGCAAAGTAATGTATTTTGATTAGTGAACACTTCTAAACTTGCTACACCGGCTAGGGATTACCGCTCACGTTGGTCTGAATACGAGGAATACGGCAATTGATAGAGGCGTGTTGCTCGTGACAGCAGAAAGGTTTTTGCGTCGTTAGAATACCAGCCACGATCCTAAACACTTTATAGGACAAATTAATCGCCAACGTCATCATCGCAAAGCCTGCGACACGATTGACCCCCGGTTCGCGAACGCTTGGCGACATACCCCGTAGTTGGGGGGCTTCCAATGCAACCAAACAAAACGATACAATCGTGCAAAACACCAAACTGTGCATCCTTGTTCATACGTTTGTGGTGATGATGACGCCAAGCAAAACATGCACAAAAGGTATGCCCCCTAATCCTCCATCCGCAACAAGGTACACCACAGCTGACAACTGTGCCTTACCTCCTGCTGTACACCCATCTCGTATCCCATAACTCCTCACTCCATCACTCCAAAAGGGCGGCGGCGGCCGCCGCAGCCCAGCCACTAACCACCGCTGCGTCCTCATTAAAGACCACCCCGATAGCCACATCCTCCTCGCGCACCGTCCCCTCCCTTTCAGCCCGCAACACGGCCTCCTGCTCGGCCTGCAGATCCTCCGCCTTTTCAAGCAGCTCGTCCAGTTGTACGACCAACTGTACAGCAACAACACGGCAACAACGAGGGAAAGGCAGGCGGGTGATTGCACCAGGCCCGCTGGCATTGGCAGGTTACCGAGCGGAGGAGATACCTAGAAGAGAAGACAGCCGATGCCAGGAGCATTAGGAGTGCCAAGGAAGGGGACAGGTTACCCCGTGCGTGTATCGGTAGCCACGGAAGTAACCTTGCGCAAACATGACGTGCGGAATCCCTTCAATCCCGCCATTGTTTTCTTCCTTACAGATTGCGAACCTTATCCCCTCTCAGCAATCTAACCCGGGGGCTCCTTTCGGCAGTGAACGCACCCACAAGCAAGCACGCCGCATGCATCATGCCCCTGCGCCCCCTGCCCCACCAACCTGCTCGAATGTGGGTCGGATGGTGGGGTCGGCGGCCCAGCACGCCTCCGCCATGTCCACCAATTGCTTGGGCACGTGGGGCGGGAACTCCGGCCGCATGCCCGTCACCGCCACCTGAGGGCGTTAAACGGGCGTTACACGGGCGTTACACGAGAACACGACAGGATATGGGCGCTGAACGGCACGCTGTGGACGTCGGAAAAAGCGACAAAGAGCATGGTTGTTTCCACCTGCCGAGTAGGCCAACAGCCACGTTTCCTACACACGACCCCCAGCTCTGCAGCTGCCCCAGACATCCGACATGCCCCCGACATGCCCCGGGAACCCGACCCATGCCCCCGACATGCCCCGGGAACACGACCCATGCCCCCGACATGCCCCGGGAACACGACCCATGCCCCCGACATGCCCCGGGAACCCGACCCATGCCCCCGACATGCCCCGGGAACCCGACCCATGCCCCCGACATGCCCCGGGAACCCGACCCATGCCCCCGACATGCCCCGGGAACCCGACCCATGCCCCCGACATGCCCCGGGAACACGACCCATGCCCCCGACATGCCCCGGGAACACGACCCATGCCCCCGACATGCCCCGGGAACCCGACCCATGCCCCCGACATGCCCCGGGAACACGACCCATGCCCCCGACATGCCCCGGGAACACGACCCATGCCCCCGACATGCCCCGGGAACACGACCCATGCCCCCGACATGCCCCAGTTACCTTGTACACGATCTCCGCGTAGCGCATGTTGGCGAAGGGAGTGCTGCCAGTTGCCATCTGCCACACTGTTGGGGCACACAGGTGCAGCAACAACAGCCGGGGTGGGTGGAGGGGTTCAGCGGCGGTGGATGCAAGACATGGGCAACGGCTTCGAAGGAGGAGGGAGCATACAAAGCGCAACTCAGACGATCAATCAACAGGTTACAACCAACTCACGCATGATTCCAAAGCTGAAGACGTCGCAAGAGGGCCGCATCTTGCCCGTCAGCAGCAACACCGGGCACATGTGCGTCACCTGAGGGGCGAGGGAGGGGGGGGAGCGGGAATTGGAAGGCGCATCGCACCAACGTAGGTTGGGAGAAAGCTAGTGGAAGGGACAGGTTTTCGAGACGAAGGAGTGCGATGCGCTTGGAGAGGCGTGCACTAGGAAAGCAGCGCACGACACGGGCATGGGTTGCTGACGTGTGGGTGGGTAGAGAGCCCGCCCAGTGGCCTGGGCCCTAAACCCCCCTTCCGTTTTCGACGCTGTCTAGCTCCATGCATGCAGGCGTGCATGCATGCAGGCCCCAAAGGACGGCAGTCCGGCGGGCACGGCAGTACCCTGTTCGAACCGCGCTGCCAGCAGGCCATATGCCACGCCAAAACTCCACGACGCGCCCGTCACGTCACTCACCGTGCCCACTGTGGCGGTGGACATGTGGGTGGAGGTTTCGTTGAAGGTCTTGCTCAGCCCGAAATCAGCCACCTGGGGGGTTGTCGATTCGTGAGGGAACAGTAACAGGGGTTAAAACGTCCAAGGAAAACGAAGGCAGGGGAAACGTGAACTGGGATTACGATGCTAAAAGGTCGGCGGCCTTCTGGTACTTGAACCTACTTGAATATTCTGCCATATGTGAAACATTCCCGCCCACAGCGCCTCGGCTGCCTCCTCCCTCCACCCACGTGCTTAAACCACGCCCCTGTCCACAGGTCAGCCTTCCTTCCCCCACCTTCGCCACAAAGCGTCTCCCGCTGCACGCCGCCTGGGACTGACACGAGGACCGCTCCGCTGCTGCCGCCCCAACCGCTGTCGCGTACCCGCTGCCACTGCCGCTGACCCTGTTGTCGCCATCGCTGCCTTGCTGCTGCTGCTGCTGCGAGGCTGCTGCTGTGGCGTCTTGGCGGCACAGCAGCACGTTTTCGCACTTGAGGTCTCTGCAGGGGATGCGTTAGGGTCACGTCTGTCGAGCATAGCTGTACGGTACTGGGAAGGGTGCTATACATGCACGAACACACATGCCACCGCAGAGCGTTAACTGCAGCTTTGTTTTTCGCGAGCTGCATTAGCCAAGTGTTTGTAACGGTGAGTTGAGGGTGCACGTGCAGTCGTATTGGCAGGACCAAAGACGTCCGTGTAGTTGTCACCATCAGGTACATGCCGACGGAGGGCCGGGTCAAGTTCGATATCACATTATATCCATAGGGGCTATAGCGCCATAGGGGCTATAGCCCCTATGGCGCTTGTGTGGCCGAAACGCAACAATGTGCTCTACCGTGATATCGAACTTGACCCGGCCCTCCGTCGGCATGTACCTGATGGTGACAACTACACGGACGTCTTTGGTCCTGCCAATACGACTGCACGTGCACCCTCCCTCTCAACTGTAGCACCGATTACGCCGTCGGTGCTTCAACAGGCTTCCCGCAATCCTTCCTCCCTGTGTTTTTGCCTTCCGCTCGCAACCCCCGCCCCCTCCCTCCTCACCCGTGGCACACGTTCAGCGAGTGGAGGTGGGCCATCCCCGCAGCAATGTCGCGCGCTATGCACAGCATCCCATGCTGCGAGGTCCAGGACGATGGGGCGGGGCGGGGCATTAAGTGGATACACACAGCGCGTATGCACAGGCTAACATCGTAACATGTAACATGCTGGTGCGGGGCCCTGGGACGTGAGGAGTGCGGCGCCATGCATGCCCCTTCATGCAACCTCCTGCCTAGCTGGCTTTCCCTCCTCCATCCTTACCATGTGTAACAGTACTGCGCCCGCTTCCTGCTGCTGCTGCTGAGCTGCTAGTGCCCCGGATGCGCTCATGGCCGCTTCACCCTGACCCTCGCCGACCCGTGGGTCAGCCTCGGTCCGCTGTTGTGCGGACAGTGCGGAGGGGCCCCCTCCCGCCGCGGTACCCAGTGCCGCAGCTTTGGAGCCCAGATGTGAGGCCAGAGATCCTGGAGGCACGGGATTAAATCAATGAAGGTAAATGATAAAGACGGAATAAGGAATAGGAAGTATGGTATCTTGGTATGGCTCCTTACTGGTGTAAGAAAGAGCGGCAATGACGGCGAAGTGCACCTGGGCCCCACTCGTCATCCCCTATGTTGCTCCCTCAGCAGCACCAGTACCCCCCACCCCCGCGCAGACACATTCGGACTTCATCTTCCGACAATCACAGTATGTTCCTACTCGCGGCCAGTTTTCTTAACACACGCACCACCCACACACACCCGCGTTGCAGAACTCCAGCACGATCCACGTCTCCATGGTGAACGCCCCGCCGCCCCCGGGCCCGCCGGCGCCCGCAGCGGAGGTGGGGAGCGAGCCGTCCTGTTGTGAGTGTAGGGTGGCGGGGGGGGTGGGGGGCGTTGCATGGGGGAGGCAATTCGAATAATTGATGAAGGGTTGATAGATAGCCTAATAGGGCAGCCATTGGGTGCGTAGTATAAGCATCCTACGTTCTTGATACAGTTACGGATAGGGCAAAGCCAAGGCAGCATGCGCACTGGGCGGTCTCCTTCCTCCTTCCTCCTCCTCCTCCTTCCTCCTCCTACTCCGCCCCCCGCACCTGTGTGGGCATCTCTTGTGAGCACGCCTCGAAGGTGGCGTAGTAGAGCGAGCGAACCACGTTGGGGTGGTTGAACCGCAGGCATAGCGCCACCTCCTGCTGCACCTGCGGGGGGTTGGGGATAAGGAGGAGAAAGAGGGGAGGGGAACACGCCGCGCGTCACATATCTGTACAAGGCAGGGGTCTGCGGCTTCTTGCGTCTCAGTCAGTGCAAGCACAGCCAAGATGACGGTTACACCTGGACGGCGTTATGATGGGAATTGCGTGACGCCACTGGGCGGTATGTGTGGGACCAAGCGAGGCCACCACCCGGTTCCAAGGTTCCTGGGTTAGGGTTCACACTTGAACGGCCGCCAGGGCCAGGATAGTTTGTATTATCCACTTCGCCTATAACCACCGTCTCAATGCCACTTGTTGTGGTACCAAGCGAGGCCACAGAATCGTCGAATAGGTAGATGCCTTTCTGGGCGGCGAAGTGGATATTGCTCTACGAAAGAAAGTCGATAAAGATTGGAAGTGGTATCGAGACGGTGGTTATAGGTGAAGTGGATAATACAAACTATCCTGGTTCTGGTGGTCGTTCAAGTGTGAACCCTAACCCAGGAACCTTGGAACCGCGGAAACGCATGGTGGCCTCGCTTGGTACCACAACAGTGTGGCATGCCCCGGCTTGCCTTCCGGGTTTTTCCGGGCTGCTTACCTTGTGGTGTGCTGCTTCCGAGTGGGGGATAATCTTGATCGCCACGCCTTGTCCCTGCCACGTGCCTGCATGCACGTGCACGTGGGAGTGCAAAGCCAGCCGAGGAAGATCATCGCCAGTCTAGCGACACACGCCCATGTGTCATGCACTTGCCGACCCATGGGACCGTCCACTCCACCATCACACCTCCAAGCAATGCAGGCGCACCCATCAGTGTGTAACCCAAACAACCGCTTGGCGTGTCCCTGTATGCCAGTCTCCCTTTATATGCCCCCCGCCGGCTCCTCCTACCGTAATACACGCGTCCAAAGCTGCCCGACCCGAGCATGTGGTGCAGCGCAATGCCCCGCGTGGGGTCCGCATTGGCGCTGTCGCTGGGACTAGCGCCGGGCGAACACGTCAACGTAAGGCCCGTCAGACTAGACGACAGCCCCGCCGAGCCCATAGCGGCGCCGTTGCCGCTGCAGCCCGGCTTGCCCTCGCCGCTGCCACCTCCGCCGGCGCCGCTGCTGCCGGCGCCGCCAGCACCCGCACCCGCACCTCCGCCTCCCCTCAGCAGTCCCATGCCCAGGCTGCTTCGCCTGCCGTACTTTGCTAAGAAGCGCATGTGGGGCGCGGGGGGTGTGGCGGGGGAGGCAGGCGGTGTGGAGGAGACCTTGCTGCCCTTGCCGCCGCCGCCGCGGCCACCGCTAGCAGCTCCCCGGCTGCCGTGGCCGCCTGTGCCGCCGTGGATTTGTAGCTGCGGGAGGGAGTGTTACAGGGTTATTGTGGTGGTGTGTGGGTGTTCATTGTATTGGAGGAGGGAAATGGGGGGTGGTTGGCTGCCAGCTAAGGCTGGTGAGAGGCTGTGACGCGTGCGTCCCGTGCCTCTCCTTCACCGCAGCCGCCACTGCCGGAGCTCAGCTCACTCATCTGCAGCTTGCATCACCACGTCCCCTTACCTCCCGCGCCGCACCGCACCGCACGGCAGGAGTATCCACCTCGTCGCAACCCCCCCCCTTCTTGCTCTAGCTGCCGTGATGCGTTACAGCAGATAATGTAAGCCGAAGCCAACCAACCGTACGTCGCCTCCACACCAAGAACCCCAACCCTATTAACCCACACATCCCGACGCCCAACCCATGTTTAAGATGCACTAGTGGCCGATTGTGCTGAGCACCCAGTGTGCTCGGTGTCCTGACAGCACCCCTACACTACCTCCCTTCCTACTGCTTCCCCTAGCTCTCTTCCCCCCTGCCCTCTGCGGGATATCCTCCCACCCTCCCGCCCCCACCTGCAGCACCTCCGAGTCCTGCTCCTGCAGCTTGCCGCCCGCCCCCGTCCCCGCGCCGCCTGCGGGTGCCAGCTTGCCGCCGCCGCCCAGCCGCCAGCGCCACCACAGGAAGGCACCCAGCACCGCCACCACGGGTGCCAAACCCACTGCAGGGAGGGGGAGCAGGGTATGGAGGAAGGCTGGGTTGGTAAGCTGGTAGGTTCTTTTCCGACACGTCTTAGACACCCCTTCACACACCGTTTTCAGGACCGAATCCCCGCCCTATCCCGCCTGTAATCCTCCACATTCCCCTAGCGACACCACCCAATCAACCTAACCCACCCAGCAGTGCCGGCAGCAGCACCTCCAGCCTCCGAGTGCTCTTGTGCGACTCGGAGGGCTGCGGGTCCACCTGCCCTGGGGGCGAAGGCGCGCGGGAGGAGGGCGGCGGCAGGACCGGAGACGAGGACCCCACGGAACCCAGCGGAGGTGGAGACGGCGGCGATGGGGGACGTAGACTCCTGCATGCATGGGCGGCGGGGCGGCGGGAGGGCTGCTGTTTTGCATGTCGTATGGGTTTCCCGAACACCCCCACCCCAGGGCTTGTGCCCCGCCCCGGCCCCCTTCCTCCCTCCTCCATTCCATCCAACAGGAGCTTGTTGTTCTTGTTTGCCATTCTCATTCAAACCGCATTGGGTGTTCTTCTCGTTCCCCTCCCCACCTTCTGTCCAGCAGCTCCTGGATGCATGCCGACAACGCGGCGCCGGTCTGCTCGGAGCAGGGCGGCCGCACGAACACGTCGCACAGCAGGATGGTCATGTTGAAGGAGAGGTGCAGACCCCGGGACGAGCCGGACAGGCCGCCCGCGATGTCGGAATCCTGGGGACCGCCTGTAGGAGGGGGAAAGAGCGGTGGTGGTGGTGGAGGGTGGTGGGCGGTTGGAACCGTTGGTGGTGGGTGGTTAAGAGGTTGGACAGGCGGTGGTACAGCAGGAGGAAGGTGTGTGGGTTGTACCGGCTGGTGGAGGTAATGGGTGCCTCGGCATTAGGATTACGGTGTGAGGAAAGACGGGTGATAGTAGGGAAGAGTAACAGGGGCGGGCGTAGATGTCTAGGCGAGGGAGTCGTCGGGCACGGAAATGAGTCATGCTGCGTATGGAATACCGTATTCAGGTAAACTGAGCTGAGGTGGTAAGTGAGCGGGTTCCATATGCAAGGGTTTGGGGAGCGGAGGTGCCATAGTGCAAACGTCCCCGGTAACTTACCCATTGTAATGGTGAAGGTCAGGTCCTGGAGCAGGAGCGCGGTATCATAGCAGTCATCTGTACCCAGCGCATCCATGCTCTCGCTAGAGAGGTCGGAAAAGCACATCGGGCTGTCGGTCAATAAGGTTGCGGAGTCGTCAATGGATGGAGGTGATGTGGGGGGCGATGCCGGCTTAAGGCTGGGCAGGCCGGGCGGAAACTGAGCAGCAGGTGACATCGGTGGCGGTTGGGACGGTGCATCTGTCGCGTTAGTTTCAAGAGCAGTTGCTTTTGCTGCGTTCATCTCTTTTTCAAGCTGAAGCTGTGGGACCAAACATGCTGTGCGCTGGCTGTAGACGTTATTGAAGCGTACCCAACCGATACTATCATTCGTAAAAATGATTGGCGCGTCGTCCAGTCGCTCGTAAATTCCACGCAGACGGAGTGCACGGAACTCTATGCTTATATTGACTCCCAGGCGTATCAGGCTGGGCGTCATGCCGAAATCCAGGAGAGGGAAGTTGGATGTGCCGATGACCATGACTGACCGCGTCAGGTTCACCACGCCGTCACCGCCTACTGCCCGCAGGAGCTGATCACGTATGCTGCTACTGTTGAGGATAATGTCACGTACTATGCGGATTGTCGTCGTGTTGGGGTCAAGCAGTGCAAGGGTAAAGGCATCCGCACTTTCAACACTTATGCTCCCAGTATCGCTGCTGCTGTTGGTGCTGCTGCTGGCGTCCGGCACAGATAGCGATAGGATACCATCCTGTGCCAGGGCTCGGCGGGGCTGCGCCGCGGCAGCGCCCAGGAAAACGCTGACGACGAGGATGCTTGCTGCAAGGCCTCTGCTGCAACATAACGCCATTGATCCTTCGCTTACGGGTAAACTATATGTACTTTCTAATGGCTTATGATACCAGTGAAGCACATTCAGAGCTAATCAGAGGAGTTGGAGAGGCGCTTGCTTCAATGCCGAGGCGCTACCATTGGGGCTAACCAAATATCAACCTAATGCGAAAGGTAATTTCAAGTACAAAAGTCAGGAAAGCAGTGATAATGCTTAAATAGCGAATCGTTAGTCGTCGAGCCTCTCCAACACAGGCATGCCTATAGCATTAGCAGCAAATATATAAGGTACAAAGATTTCTGTAGGATAAGTCACATTACGTGGAGAATGCTCGCTGACTGGTTGCCCAATAAGCTGCCGTGCATGGTAGCTGCCGACGTACGTTTCCGTACCGGGATGTAGGTGCCAAAATTTGCAGAGTTCATGTATCCTTCTTCATGTAGGCAAACCAGTCTGATGTATCATAATCGGCATATGCAGTTGTAGCTGAGCTCATGGGGCCGGGTCCAACCGACCTTCCGGCTTGGAACGGCGGTGAGGCGAACTGTTTGCCCTTCCTTGCTAATCCCAATGAGGGTAGCCTCAAGGTGTCATCTTCACGTTCTGGTCCGACATGCTTGGCGCATTCACCCTGATTCCATGCTTCGCCCAACTTCTTCCATACACTCGTCGTAACATGCCACAGCCCACGACTCTCCCTATTGGAGAACCTGCGGTACAAACGGCTGCCTGCTTGCTCCCTGGTCGTTTCCTTTGGCAGTGCGGGGGGTGTTTGGTAATTAAGCCTGCAGCCCTGCACCTTACCTGTAAAGGGCATGTTATACATATAGCCAGGGTTGGCAAAAGAGGGCAAGCTAAGGTTTAAACAGCAGACGTGTATGTTGACACCCATCCCCTACTCGACGGCTAGCTTGTCCTGGCCGGATGCCCATGTCACGATTGGTTGGTTGCACATGGACACGATGTACGACAACCTGAAATATGTGTTATGCAAAGCACCCGCTCTGTTTCTTGGTCAATAGGTTAATCTTCATCCCACAGGCCGTATGATAGCAGAACATTGTTATTTCGTTTGATCTCGGCGTATATTAGGGCCTAAGCGCTAAGGACGAACCCCGAGATGTTGCTCGCAGACATTTTCCAGGCCTTTAAGGATGAATACAAAAAGAGCCCTGTTAGGGTAAAGGTGAGGGCATAGATGTCCTGGATTCAGGAGCGAAACTTGAGAGATCGTAGTTCTTTCTTCTGCTTTTTTCGTATAGTAGCTCAGCGATCAACAAGTAATCTTATCTTCTTCAGGTTCTTGACGCCTTCTTGCTGTACGCGCTGGCGACGGCAGGCGTGCAGGTAACAAAGACGCAGCAATGGAGACGAATCCAATCCGCTCCTCCGCTAACATTGTGCTGCGCGTGTTACGCAGTTCGCCTATATGCTGTTGGTTGGGTCGTTTCCATTCAACGCCTTCCTTGCTGGCTTCCTCTCCTGCATCGGTTTCTTCGCACTGACGGGTAAATGCGTAGCCCCCGCGTTCCCGCTGCCCGGCATTGCGCCATGGATTGTCACGATACGCTTTACACATTGGGCTGGTCGACAAAAACAGTCACCGGGTAGACTGGGAGGGCTCAGGCAGAGAGGGTTCACGTGCATGCACGTGGGTAGCGGTGGCGCCTTCTAGGGACCAGAGGGCACGCTAGTCCCTGCATGCTTACGTCCGAGCACGTCAAGCCACGCATTGCAAGCACCAGCTCCCTCCCCTTACATTCCCGCGCAATGCCAACCCCAACACCCCCCGCTACGCCCCCGTCCATGCCCTCATCCCAACCAACCATGTTGCAAACGCCCCGCCCCAACCCACCACCAGTGTGCCTGCGCATGCAAGTGGACCCCGCCAACAAGGAGTTCGCGGGCACGTCCCCGGAGCGCGCCTTTGCAGATTACTGCCTAGCCAACCTAGTGCTGCACCTGGTGGTCTGGAACTACATGGGATGAGCTGGCGTGGGCGGGAGAGGCGCATGGAGGCGGGAGGACATAGTGAGGAGGGGGTGCGGGAGTAGGGGGTTACGGGGAAGTTTTTTATAAGTGAAATAACGAGGAGGGGTGTTCTCGGGTGGTGTACTGAAGTCAAGTGGTGCGGAGGGCATGGGCATGGATGAGATTGTAGGGGGTTGTGCAAGCGAGAGGTAGGAGGATGTGCAAGCGCAAGGCTGTGCGAAGCTCACGGGGGCGTTCTCTCTTAGGAGTGGCACAGGACAGCACGAGAACATGGTCAGTGAATCCAGTTTGTTGGGTACACCTCTCCGCTCCTGGGGGTGAGTAATAACAATTCCTGGTTCTGGCCTTAGGTAAGGGTTTGGGTTGTGATGCACGGTTGGATGCTGTGAACGGGGAGGTAAGAGGCGTTATGCGGCGTTGTGCAATGCCGGGTTGTGAGGAGGCGCGCAGCCAAAAATGCGTGACGTGTAGCAAGGTAATTCGCATGGCTTGCCCCTTGCTTGACTTGCCCTGGGATGAAGCCCAGGTTTATGTATGTGCCCGCGTGTCCGCTTATTTCAATACCCATCAACAAGGTTCATTTGGTTACGCCGAGGCATGTAGGCCATCCGATAGCCATCCAGCCCTATGACGCATCCGCCTGCAGCTGATGCAATGTGGTTTGTCCGTACTGGCGCTAGTGATGGTGGCAATGGCAGGAACGCGTACCGGTAGTAGGCCCAGTGTAGGGCATAGCTCATCTTGCTTTTGCATGGGCCGGGCAATTGCCGCAGAATTGTTAGCTAAGAGCCTAGGAATGCCGGTGTACTCGTTGCCATTCCACCGACCCTTCGCGACAGCGACCAAGGACCCGTGGGTCGGCGTTCCAGTTTGCCTACCCATACTTTACTGCCCACGCCCTTTGTTCGCAGTGCACGCGTGTGCCCCTATGCCAAGCACGATAGTGCCCTAGCTCAGCAAGTGCTATGGAGCTTAGCCATGCAACAGACATGGGCTAGTTCGCCCCGCCTACCGGTATGCGGCCCAGTGATCACACCATTCCTGCAGTGCTGCACCTGTCAGCCTGTCCTGCACAGTGTAGCGAACAACCTCCTGCTTGCATGCGAAGCTGCTATAACCTCGTAGGGCAGCGCCATACCGCAGAGCACTGCTGCATGGCTGTGCCCCCACCGCCGCGCATCCACTCCAACCCGCATCCTATATCACGCCAGGGGCATCCTACACACGCCCCGAGGCCTTCCTCCAGGACCCCTCCTCCAGTTGGAGGTGGAGGTGAGGTGAGTTCAGCGCCGGGCGCATCTGCCTCCCTCCGTCCACTTCCGCCTGCTCCTTCGTGCCCTGGAGCTGAGACGTCGGCCCCCGCCTGCTCCAGCATCCCAGGCCTCCGGAGTCCCAGCCCTGTGCCCCCAAGGCCTGCTGCCTGAGGTGCGGTAGGTAGGCCACTGGCAGGGGGGCATTGCATTGCAATGCAGGCCGCCGCTGGTCCGTCGCCTCGACCCACTCAACCGCTGGGCGGCCCCGCGCATGGACAGCCGCCTCCGTAACCGCCCGCGACCTGGTGCTGCCGACTGCCGTGGGGACCTAAGGAGCAGCCGCAGGGCAGGTCTGCTGCTGCCGCTGTTGCCCCCCCCCTCCCGCGCGCTGCAACCGGTACGCTACTCCGCCATGTTGGCGTCCTCCTGCCGTGCCGCCGCCTGACGCAGCGCGGGGGCGTTCTCCCCCGCTATGGACAGCGGCGTCTCACCCGCCTTGGTGGCAACCTGGGGCAGAGAGCAGCAGGAGGAGGAGGAGCGGCACAAGTTAACTATGGAGGGAAGGTGAGCTGTTCGGGCGCCCTGCTACGAGCATACGCACCCGCAGCCCCTCCCTCCGAGCCCCCTCAGCCTCCCGCCCCTGCCCCACCCCTCCCTCCCCACCTCCAGCCCCGCTCCCCTGGCTGCCAGGTACATGGCCAGCTGCGCCCGGTCGCACTGCACCGCCACGAACAGCGGAGTGGCGCCCGTCTTGTCCTGCGGGCAGCGCGGGGGCGCGGTGCAGAGGGCGGGTCAGAGATAGGCCAGGCAGGCGGGAAGGGGAGGGCTAGGTGGCTGCTCGTCTGCCTCCTCCGCACCGCCCCCCACCTGCAACGCCGCCTGCGTTCATCGCCTGCGACCAACTGTCGTGCTCGCCGTAAGCCCCTCATCCCCCTGCTGTTGCCCATGGTTGTCGGGTACCTGGCATTGCTCATTACCCGGCTCCTAGCCCACCAAGTCCCCACTGCCCCGCGCCATCCGCTTGGGCAGAGTGGGAATGTCCTCTTCTTCCGCGCCCCGCCCCCACCTGCCGCTTCCTATCCCCATTGTCTTGCCCCAACCTGTGGTTTCCTATGGTTTGGTACCTGGTCTTTGGCCCCCCACCTGCGGGTCCAGCCTCGCGCGCCCCTGCTCCACCAGCGCCTGCGCCGCCTCCAGCCGCCCTGCGGAGGCGGCCCCGTGCAGCGGGGTGCTGCCGGTGCCGTCCGCCGCGTCCACCGGGGCGCCCGCGGACAGCAGCTGCCGCACCACACCGGCGCGGCCCTTGCTGGCCTGGCACGGGAGGGACGGGAGGCGGAAAAGAAGGATTCGCAATGCGTTAAATGAGAGGGGTATGGCAGAGGGGTGAAGAAGTGGAGACGAAGGATGGTGGTGGATGCAGGTGTGCAGGGTCGGGGCGCGCAATACGGTAGATGCCGGCAGGGGCCAGGCGGGCAGAGACCCTGTTTGTGACTTCCATATCCTGCCTTCTTCCACGTTTCCCCACCACCGTACTGCTGGTACCCTCCCCGTTTGCTTCCCACACCCCTACGACCCCCTCTTCCCCCAGTCCCCCCAGTCCCCTCAGCCTAGATCCCCTCTTACCGCGTAGTGCAGGGGCGTGCGCCCCCCCGAGGTGGCGGCCCGCACCTCCGCCCCCAGCTGCAGCAGCAGCCCCGCAATCGCCTCGTGGCCGCAGCTGGCAGCAGAGTGGAGCGGCGTCCAGCCCTGCTTACACGGGTACGGCGGGGCGGCGCAGGGTGCGCGTGGGGGTGGGTGGTTGAGCACCGCATGCAGGTGAGGACAACAGTTTCAGGGTGAGGAGATGCAGGGATGAGGAAGAGGTGTTATAGAGAGGTGTGTTGGATGATGGTGGGGACTGGGGAGGGCGACCGGAGGTGGACCGTACCTCCTCGTCTGCGTCGTTCACCACCGCCGCCGCACCGCCCCGTGCCACCAGCAGCTGACACAGCTCGAGGCAACCGCTGGCGGCGGCGCTGTGCAGCAGCGACCGCCCGTCCCCGTCCTTGCGGCTGCACAGCCGTACGAGCTCGTTGGCTGGCAGGGACTCAAAGTACGACAGATCGCCCTCACGTGCGCGGTCCGAGGCCTTGTCCATGTTAAGTGCGAAGTGTAGGATGTAGGGTGTGTGCGGAGTGGTTGGATAGGGGTAAGCGCAGATGTGTTGAAGGAGGTTGTTTGGAGGGTTTAGGTTGGTAGACGGCGAGGCAGCAGCGTCGTCGGAAACTAGCTAGAAGCGTGCGTCGGGCGTGTTGCGACTTGCTCCGTTCCCAGGGTTAGGCTATGGCGTAAGCACACTTAATCCTTATGGGTATTTGTTGTATGATAAGGGCAGTCGGTGGGGTCTAGTGTTATGATGAGTGTTGCTAGATCGGAGTTCAGGTCCCTATATAGCCCGTAGGTGCCTACTGCTTAATACATATACCCCACTTCTGTGTTTAGCTTGTGAATTGCGTTTGTTTGCAGGGGTTTGACGCAAGATGCACGGCGGTTTCGCCACGTAGATGATTACTGCCGGGTGCATATACCGTAGAAACTTGACAGCCCGCCTAGAGCAGTAGTGTAGAGAACTCATAACTCAATTTTTTTGTTGTAGCCGTGCAATAATGCGTCTTGCAGTTGCGTTGCCTGTCATAGGCACTACCGCATTGGCACTGGCCGTGGCCTGGCGTAAGCTCCAAGATGCTCCTTTATCAGTTGATTATGAGCAGAAGCTTCAGGTCCTACTTAAGCGGTACAAGGAGCAACTGTTGGCCAGCCCAAAGCGATTAGCCGAGGTCGAAGCTGAGTTTATTGCGCAAATGCGCGAGGGACTGGCATCTCGTACTACGGTGGACGGCAGGCGGATGATGATGCTGCCGACGTTTGTAACGCGCTTGCCGGATGGAACAGAAACGGGCGAATGCTACGCGCTGGTGAGACTCCCAGCTTTGATTCACCCTGTCAAAGCCTATAGTCACACTCTGAAGATAACGGTTTCCAAAGCACGCCTGCCTTGTACGCACCCTGCCGCGCAGCACACGCATCGTACACATCCCCGCCATTCCAACTCGGACCCTGCAACCACCTTCCCTCTCAACAAATCCGCCTCAACAACTCATTAGCAATCCCTTCCGCTATCCCATCCATTTCCTTTCCTCACCGCCCTCACCCACACCCACACTCCCCGCAACCCTTCCTCTTCCTCCATCCCCACCTCTCCCCTCTCCCTTAACCCCCCTCCCCTCCCCTTCCCCCCTCAGGACCTGGGCGGCACCAACTTCCGCGTCATGTACGTGCGCCTGGGTCCGGGGCGCGGCGAGATGGCGGCCTGCGACGTGGAGGAGGTCACCCTGCCCCGCGAGATCTACACCGGCCCGGGGGACAAGCTCTTCGACTTCCTCGCCTCCACCCTCAAATCCTTCATCGACCGCCACCAGGCCTCCGCCTCCACCTCTCAGCCTGGGGATTCCTCCTCCTCCGAAACCGCAGTCACCGCCTCAGCCTCAGCCTCATCAGCACCCCAGCGGCCGCTGCCGGTGGTCGGCTTCTGCTTCAGTTTCGCGGTGGAACAGTCGGGTCTGGCCTCGGGCAAGCTGCTGGGGTGGACCAAGGGCTTCAGCTGCCCGGGGGTGGTTGGCAACGACCCGGTGGCGCTGCTGGCTGCGGCGCTGTTTCGCGCGGGTCGGCCCTGCCGGGTGGCGGCGCTGCTGAACGACACGGTGGGGGTGCTGGCGGCGCAGCGGTACCTGGACAGCGACACGGAGGTACGGCAGGTGGTGGGGCGGGGCGGGGCGGGGGGTAAGGGATGGGTGGTTTTTTAGGGTTTACTTAGGTCAACTGAGTCGCGAGGGAACACTGACCGTGACCATAGGAGGACTCGTTGATGATGGTGGCGTTGGCAGGGGGCTAGGGGAGGAGGAATGGAGGAATGGAACTGATAAGGGAAGGGGAAGGGAAACCATGGTGGCGTGGAGGGCTGGTGGGGCTGTGTAGGAGGGAAACGGTGGGAAGAGGGAAAGGAAGGAGGAGGAGGAGGAGGTTGCGGGTTGATGGCCGGGCGAAGGGCCCTTCTAACCCCAGCACTGCCAACCTTCCGCTTCCCCACCCTGCCTCCCTGCTCCCCTCTGTCCACCCATCCACCCCCCGTCAGGTGGGTGTCATCATCGGCACGGGCACCAACGCCTGCTACGTGGAGCAGCTGACGGCCCTCACCAAGTGGACCGCACCCCCCGGCGCGGCGGCGGGCGGCGACGGCCGCACCGCCGTCAACATGGAGTGGGGCGCCTTCTTCTCGCCGCAGCTGCCCCGCTGCATGGAGGACCTGCAGGTGGACGCCTCCTCGCCGCACCCGGGCAAGTACCTCTTTGAGAAGCTGCTGTCCGGTATGTTCCTAGGGGAAGCCGCCAGGAGGATCTTGTTCACGGTGGCGAAGGAGATCCCGGGGCTGCTGGCGGCGTCGCCGGCGGCGACTGCGGCGGCGGCGGCGGCAGCAGCAGCCGAGGATGAGGCGGCGGTGGGTGAGGAGGCCGCCGCGGTGGCGGCGGGCATTCCCGGCCGCCTGGCGACCCCTGGGTCGCTCGGCAGCGCGGCGCTGTCAGCGATTGTGGAGGATCGTACTTGGGGGTTGCGTACGACGAGAAAGCTGTTGGCTTCGGAGCTCGGCGTGCATGCGCCCAGCCGGCGGGCTGCGGAGGTGGCGAAGGAGGTGTGCACGCTGGTGGCTCGTCGCAGCGCGCAGCTGACGGCGATGGCGCTCCTGGCCATCCTCAGACACAACGGCTGGGCCAAGGCGGTGCCGCCGCGGCCTGTGACGGTTGCGTTTGACGGCGGCGTGTACGAGCGCTTCGGCGCGTACCGTACGATGCTGTCGGAGGAGGTTTCGGAGCAGCTTGGGGAGGCGGCGGCGGAGCTGCGTCCGTACATTCGGTTCGTGTTGAGTCACGACGGGTCGGCGCTGGGTGCTGCGGTGCTGGCGGCGGCGGCGGTGACGGGGGAGGAGGCGGCTGCGGCTGCCAAGGCGGCGGCTAACACTGCCTAGAAAGCTCAGTCGGGGTGTCACGCTCTTTGTGTTGCATGGTGCTGCTGGCGGTGTTGGGATAGGAGGAGGAGTGCATTGTGAAGGGGGATGTCAGGAAAACTTGCATGCGTGGCTTTCGGCTTGAGGTCCGCGCTGGCTCGCTCTATGCGGAAATGGTTTGGATTGGGATGCGGGGTAGCGGGTTGAGAGGGGGGGGCTAAGCGCGCATATGGCATGGGGCGATGTGGAGGGCGCATAAGAACCATATATGATCATCAAGTGGCTTGCTCAATGACGCCGTTTGCAACCTTTCGGCACGGCGCTGCTTTTGTGAGTGATCACTGTCAAGAGCTTGTCCGTATGTCCTTTTGCTTTTAATGTCCTGCTTTTCAGGGCCCTTCTTGTCGCATCCTGGGGGCGGCAAGGGAGGCCTCATGAAGGTCATGATTATTTGGTTGACATGGCTTGTGGTGTAGGCGGCGGCATACGAATGGCATCCGGGTGCTGCAGTGCCGCTTAAAAGCCGTGCGGCAGCCGGTTCAAATGCTGTTAATGACCTGACAATGATAAATAACCGCCACCGAATAAGCTGCCACAGCGCGGCTCCCTTCTTGCGTCCCTTTTTAAAGTGGGGCAACATTTACCGCATTAACCGGACTTTTTGTGCGTTGCTGTTGTTGTCGCGGCGTGAGGTTGGCCTGAGGTTGGAGCTTTCGACAGTTGGCGTGCGGCCAAGGCAGGCGAGCAGAGGGGACTGGATCCTGAAGCCTTGCGCGAAATGCTGCCAACGGATTTTGCGAGAGTGCACGATATAGGGGAATATGAATTCCGTACGGAGATGGCTGCGGTGGGTGGCCAATGCGTCAAAGGGCTCGTGATCCGCTTGGTGCCCCGCTTGCAGGGCGCTCTCCCTCCTGTTCATGCCGTCATCATCTAGTAGGGTGTTTATCACGGCTATGTGTTTCAAGTACTGCCGAGGACTTGGGTACCGCTATCGCTGAGGAGTAGAAATGCAATGAAGTTAGCGGCGTTCTTGTTTAAGCGCTACAGTCTCCGGCCTGGTCCCATACAACAAGACACCGTTTCCCAGGCACCGTTCCTCTGTCAGGGTATCTACACGTCAATTGTAAACGCCCTTGTACAAAACCTGGTGAACAAGGCTGACCCTGGTGCCTGTTTAGGCCTCTCAGGCCGCTGCCTCCACTGGACTCCTGTGAGCAGTGCGCAACACTCCTACGACCTAGACGCCCTCCATGCCTTCCCTCGCCTTCATCCTCCCTTCACTTCCTCTTCTCCTTCCCTCGCCTTCCTCTTCCCCGCCACCTTCCCGCCCTCCTCCTCCTCCCCCGCCGCCCCTCCCCCCTCCCGCTCCATCTTCTCCCTCAGCGCCGCCACGACCCCCTCGGCCGCCGCCACCACCGCCTCCTGGTGCGCCTGCAGCCCCTGGTAGCCCCAGCGGCTCACCTCCTCCAGCCAAGGGTCCTGACAGCCGGGAGGGGGAGGAGAGGGTTGGGTTAGTCGCGATTGCATGGGATAGAAGGCAGAAGCACAGTTACTACATAAGCTGTAGTGGCGTGGAGGAAAGGGGAGGGGGCGTGCACGACAGCAGCACCCTCTACCAGTACGGCACATTCGGTATGGCGTCCAGGGCATGGCTAGGATTCCTAGGAAGCACCCGGCATGATAGGTTGGCGCACGGGTTGCAATCCCGTCTCTTGACCCTTCCTTGAGATGTCAAACAGAAACGCAGGGAGGAACCGAAAGCAGCACCTTCCCTCCTTTCCCCTGCCTCCCTGTCAATGCTTCCGCGGCTCAGTTTATGTAATCCCCCCCTGCCTCCCCCCACGCCCTCCCCCCCACCTGCACCCCCGTCCGCACGCCGCTCATCTCCTCCAGCGCCGCCAGCCCGCAGAAGGGCACGTACAGCTCCGAGTAGCCGCCCTCGTGCAGCGCCACCAGCCGCCCGCCGCACAGCGCAGCGGAGGCGGACACGAGGCTGCCCATCATCCAGCTGGCGGGGGGAGGGGGTAGGGGGGGAAGGGAGGAGGAGGGGGTGGGGGAGGGGGTCAAAGAGAGACCAAACAGAGCGCGGCGGAGGGAAGGCTAAGACTTGCATTGTGGACGCATGGTGACGTGGGTGGCAGTGGGAGCAGGGGAGGCAAGGGGGTACGGCTGACCATGTGGTGAGGTACCGCAGCAGGGAGCGGAGGTGGACGGGGTGTAGGCGGGGCTTAGGACGGACAGGACCCTTGGGACAGGGCGGTTGCAATGCACGCAAGCCTCACCCCCCCCCCCCGCCCCCCCCCGCCTCCTCACCCCATCCCTCCCCTTCCCACCGGAAGTCCTCGCTGCTGAGTATCATGGCGCCCAGCATGTCCATGTACGAGGCGTCGTACCCCGCCGACACCAGCAGCAGCTGCGGCCGGAAGGCGGACAGCGCAGGCAGCACCACACGAGTGAAGGCGGCGCGGTAGGCTCCGGAGCCGGAGCCAGGCGGCAGCGGGACATTGATGGTGGTGGCCTCGCCGGGGCCCACACCCGTCTCGGTAACGGCGCTAAGGAGGAGGGGGGAGGAGGGGGAAGAGGGCAGGGTAAGGTACATCGTATAGGATTACTCAGAAGGGGAATGGGAGGATTGGGAGGAAAGAGAGGTATATACGGAGAAGTAAAGCACTGGAGGAAGGGGGATTGTGGGGAGGGGAGGGGAAAGGCGCAGTGAGGGCAGAATACACAGGCTGGAAGGGCGGAGGAACGGAGTGCTGCCACCGCCCGGCCTCGGTCGCCCCCCACTCCCCGCACTGCTGCACCTCTCAGTCCCCACCCTGCCCCTCCTCCCCACCCGGACCCCAGTGGGTAGTTGGAGTCCTGGTGCAGGCTGATGAAGAGGACCCGTGGGTCGGCCTCGAAGGCGTGCTGCGTGCCGTTGCCGTGGTGCACGTCAAAGTCCACAATGGCCACCCGGGCCAGCCCCAGCGGGCCCAGCGCGTGTGCGGCGGCGAGTGCGACGTTGTTGAAGACGCAGAAGCCCATGCCCTCGTCCCGCTCCGCATGGTGGCCTGGGGGTGGTGGTGGTGGGTTGGCAAAGAAGCGAGGCACAGAGGGGTGTATAAAAGACCAAACCATAGGAGACCACAAGGAGGCGGCAGGATGCCACAAGAGACAAGACAAAGCCGGAGGGTTAGCGGCCCAGAGGGTTAGCGGCCCAGAGGGGTGGGGTGGGGACGGGTTGAGTACGGAAGGACCCGCCCCCCCCACCTGGCGACCCCCCCCACCTGGCGACCCCCCCACCTGGCGACCCCCCCCACCTGGCGACCCCCCCACCTGGCGCCCCCCCCACCTGGCGGCCGCACCACCTGGCGACCCCCCCCACCTGGCGACCCCCCCACCTGGCGGCCGCACCACCTGGCGCCCCCCCCACCTGGCGGCCGCACCACCTGGCGACCCCCCCCACCTGGCGCCCCCCCCACCTGGCGGCCGCACCACCTGGCGACCCCCCCCACCTGGCGGCCGCACCACCTGGCGACCCCCCCCACCTGGCGGCCGCACCACCTGGCGACCCCCCCCACCTGGCGCCCCCCCCACCTGGCGGCCGCACCAGTGCGTACGCGTTGCGCACGCTGCCCGCCACCACCGCCTCCACCGCCGCCAGGGCGCCACCCGCGGACAGCCGGGCTAGCTCGTAGCCGCCGGGAGCAAAGCTGCGGGGGGGGAGCAGCGGGGCAGCAGGGGCAGTGGTGATGGAAAGAGTTAGGTGCGGTGGGATTCCGGGATGCTCCTGCATCGTGGGGTTGGGGACAGGGCCCCCAATGTACGGCCAGGTCAGCCAAGCCTGCATGGCGGTCCGCTGTCCCCGCCTTGGCTCCCATCAGAGTCGGGATGTGGGATTGGGGCTCCACTTTTTTTACTTTTCATCTATTATCTCCTCCCCTAGTAGCTGCATTATGTACGGCACCTACGTGGCCACATCGCCGCAGGTGTGGTGTCCCTTGCTGTCGTCCTCCGACATCGTGCGCACCCGCCGGATGTAATCCAGGGAGTGGATCCTGGAAGTGTCCATGAGTTGAGGCAAGAAAGTGGCGGGGAAGGATGTGGGGGCAAGGGAGTTACCCAGTCAACGGCTGCATAGGCTGGGAGGGGAGGGCAAGAAGTGGGCATTGCTACCGGTACCTTGCAAGCTCTTCCTCGGTCGCTGGGCGCGGCTTTAAGTGAACGAGTTTGTCCATCAGGCCGCTCACGGCAACCAAATTATGAAACCTGGTCGGGCACGTGGGACAGGTGTTGCTGCTCAACTGGCTATGGTGCTCGACACGGCTCGTCCGACGCGGCGCAGCGTTACAACCAGCCCAGTGGTGGTATTCATTGCTTTTTGAGGTACGTTTGGGGCTTACCGTCGCTTTGTTTCCGGGTTCTCCCAGTGTCTCCATGGCTCGATGCTTTTGCTAAATGACTGTAGATGACCGGCATTGTGCCAGAAGTAAAGTTCATGATGTAAATATCCAGTTTGTTGTGTGGTAGTCTCCGTCGCCATGGCGAAAGTACCAATGCACTTGCAATGTTACAAGTAAGAGTACCGGTACAGCCTGCCTGCAAGAACAATTGCTCGTTACTGTATGATGGGCGTTGCTACTTGCAAGCTACTATAGCATCCTGAGTGTCTCAACCTTCCTAACGCGTGCAACAAGTCTCCTGCGAAGCTCCTGAAGAGGAATCGTCAACTGCCCGCACCGTACAACGAGAGCGTCTCAACAGCTACTCGTGCGCCTGTTGGACCTCCGAGCCTTACAACCTTGGTAGCATACAAAACAAGTACGTGCTACTTTGCGGCTGGACCGAAACTATTGCAATTTCTCAACACGGCATCCATCCATTCCGCGCTCTACTCGGACTCCTCCTGGTGCTTGCGAGGGCGCCCCCGCTTGTGCTCCGTCTCCTGTGTGAGGAGAAGGCAAGGCCGTAAGTGCCATGCCGTGGGGTACGCAGCACAAGCGCAAGGTCTAAGCGACGAAGCCAATCACAACCATGCTATTTTCAGCCAAGATCACCACTTCAGTCAACAAGCGCATGCCTGTATCATGTGTCATGTATCATACGTCGTTACGAATTGGGCAGCTGCACCCCACCCACCCCACCTGGTGCTTCTCGCCCTGCGAGTGCTCGCGCCGGGCCTCACCGCTCTTGTGACCCATCTCCTGTACGGCAGTATACGGCATACAGACATGTACGGCATACAGATGTGTACGGCATACAGACGTGTACAGGAATCCTTTGAAGCATTGAAGTTATCTCGTGCGCAACCCTTTGGGAGGCAACTAACACAGGTTATGCCGCAACCTTTGCAACTTGACCGTGCCGTCCAAACACAGCCCAGCTGCGCGCCCCAACCCCCATGTCCCCCAGCCCGACCAAACCCCACCCACCACGTATCCCTCGTGACCCAGCTGCTCCTTGCGCGCCTCTCCGCCCTTGTGGCCCATCTCCTGTGTAGGATTCCGGCAGCAGGGTCAGAAGGGAGGGGAGTTGAGGTCAGAAGGTATCCGGAACCGGGGGAATGGTTCGCCCTTTACTCGCGCCACAACTACCGTCCCGTCCCGCCTCGCCCGCCTATCATGGACCCCTTGCGTTGCTTCCTACCTCCTCTGCCGCTTCGTCACCAGCCCTAAGCCCACACCCCAAACCCCAAAGCACTCGACGCACGCCGTACCACGTATCCCTCGTGCCCCAGCTGCTCCTTCCGAACCTCTCCGCCCTTGTGACCCATCTCCTACAGGCCACAGAGGGTACGGGCCACAGAAAGGTGGAGAGGAGAGCAACAGGAAAGGAGGGGCAAGAAAGGGCAGGATAGCAAGTTGCGACTCGTAACTGGGTCCCTTCCCCAACTAGATAGGATTTGGTTTACGTGGCAAGCATCGTACCGTGCCCTTGACGTACGGTTTACGAGGCGGAAGTCGTACGGCCATACCAGTAACATATATGGTGGACCTCACAACCCTCCAACTACCTCTACCCAATTGAAAGGGCATTTGCATCTTCCCTCCCGCCCACCCATGTCCTTGGCATCTCCCAGGGTTTCGCACGCCTCGGTTCTCAATTGCAATGCCTCGTGTGTCGTGTCGTATCCAGCCACCCACCACATATCCCTCGTGACCCAGCTGCTCCTTGCGCGCCTCCCCACCCTTGCGGCCCATCTCCTGCATTCAATCAAGCAGGACCATGCAAGGAAGCCAAGGCAGGTCAGGAATAAGGAAGAGGAGGTGTTCGAGGGTACACAAAGAAGAGGAGGCGGTACCGCCGGTTGTAGGTGCACGATGGGAGGGTTAACGAGAGAATGAAAGGAGGGAGTTCAGTGGGTAAGGGAACGCGGGAACTTGGAACCAAGGGAAGGTCATCCTTGACCGGGCGAGCATGGACACGGAACAGGGCAAGCTCATGTGGGTTTCGCATGTTAAGTTTTGGGAGAGGCAGCCCGATCCAGAACCCCTTTCTAGTGCCACGTACCACGTATCCCTCATGCCCCAGCTGCTCCTTGCGCGCCTCTCCGCCCTTCTGTCCGGCCTTGTGGGCCATCTCCTGTCGCACAGCAACAGGGGCACGCAGAGCGACCGTCACAACAGAAAGCGACCCGAGGCAAAAGGGGCCGGCCCAACTTGCAACAAGGAAACGCCCGCGGCGGTGACATCTGGCGGTGAGTCTGGGCAAAACTGCCCTGAAGTAAACCCCGCAAGTAAACCCCGCAACCCCGGGGTCCCGCAGCCCCTCTGCCTTCCCCTCTGCAACCCCCCCTTCACGACTTCGTGCTTCCCTGGAATCCCTCCCCGCCCCCAGGAAGCCGCACCTCGTGCTCCTCGTGCTTCATGTGCTCCTTGCGCGCCTCGCCGCCCATGTGACCCAGCTCCTGCGGACCCAACCTCAGACCCACGGGTCGGCAACTTGGCATGCATCAGGGCAAGCGCACAGCGGACGTAGCGCAAGAAGAGCTGCACGGGAAACGTCTACTTGGGAGCCCTCAGAATTGGGAGATATACAGCTTTCGGGTTTTCCTTCCGGCGCTCTCTAACCCAAGCAGACACCTATCACGGATAGTTCGGAGCTCTTGGCCCTTCCACCCTTTTACACCACCACCCACCTGGTACCCCTCGTGTCCCAGCTGCTCCTTGCGCACCCTGCCGCCAATCACGCCCCCCACCGCCTTCTTCTCATCCGTACTCAGAGTGTCGTACGGCCGTCCGAATTTCTCGTACGACACCTCTTCCAGCTCCTCCCTGGAGTGGTGCTGGTGCTGGGAGTGGCTGCTGAAGGCCACCACGCGGCTGCCGACCCGCTCGTTGTGGCGGAGCCGATGCGGGGGCGTTGTGATGGAAAGGAGCGGCGGAAGTGGCATGGTGGTAAGCGGGGCGGCGGCGACGGTGGCAATTCGGTTGGTGGTGGTGTTGCTGCTGAAGCGCAGACGCAGACCGCAACAGCGCGCGAGGGAGGCGCGGACGGCTAGCATTTTGTGTTGTGTTGGTTTGCTGCTTTGCTATTGTGAGGAGAGCTATTTGAGGCGACCGTAAGTGATAAGCTAATGAATAGTATGAAAGAACGAGAGGGTGGATGTGAAGGAAGTATAGAAAGATTGTTCCGGTACGATTGCTAGCGCTGATCTAATGTGGCTGTCGTGTCGTGCTTTTCAGTGTTTGCTGCGTTTGGACGTTCAAGAAATCAGTGGTTCGATGACGATTGTCTGGCTGCAATAATGTCGTCCGAATGCGTCAAGGTCAGAAGGTCTTATCAAGCGTCACGCCAGAGAAGGGTGACGCGGCGTGAGCAATGCTTGACGTCGGGACTTAGGGGCCCCACGTGCGACCCACGGGTCTTGGATGGCTTTCGGAGTGTGTTAGTCACTTGTATGCCGTTAATTCCAGACAGATGGATTCATTGCAGTGGACTGTAAAGCAAGTATATCCTCTACATTATCAGTTTATCTTGTAATTATGATCGCAGTCGAGCTGACTGTCGAAAAAAGGTTTGACACCTGTAGCTGCAAACAACGAGGTGAAGCCCCGCCAATGCGCTGCTGACGGCGTGAAGCGCTCGCAAATTCAATGGCCAGACGCCGCCGCAAAAGGCAACACTAAGCGGATCCCCGTGCGTTGGGCATGCGTCATGCGTCACTCACCTCACGATCTTAGTCCACCTAGCATCGCCCTCTTTCCCATGTCAACTCGCCAGTCAACTCCTATCCCCAAGCTGGGCCTCTGCCCCTACAGACATGACCAACGAAGTGGCTTAGCACCCGCCTTTCCCGGGCTGTTTGTGAGGCCCTTGTGCCGCACTTTGGTCGCTGGAAGTACGGGCATCATGCATGTGGGGCACATGTGCCATCTCTGCAGCCTGGGGGCGGTTACTGGCAATGGATCGCGCGGTGTACTGTTAACTTGGGACGTTGGGAGCAAGACACCCAGCCTGTTCCACAAACCGGATAGTAGAAACACGTCAGCAGCGATGACGCCATTACAATACCAAGGAGCGTGGCATTCCTCCACCTTGACCATGTGTCCATGTCTCAAGGACACAAAAGTGATACCGGTACGTACATTCCCGCATGGCTCTCGTTCTCCTCGGCAGCCCCTAGCGCCCCTCACCCCGTCACCCGCGTTCCCCCGCCCTCGCCTCCTCTCCCTCCTCCACACACCGCCCACACCCGCACTTAAACCCGTACGACCACTCCAAATGCTTCTGTCGTACATCGTACGGCAGCCCCACATCCAAGTACGACACGGTGAGTTCCTCCCCCGGCGCGATGTCACGTGCCGCCACGAAGGCTGCCGTACCGTCCATGTCCGGAAAACACAACTCCAGGGAAGGTTCGCAGGAGTGGTTGAGCATTGATGCAAGCAGGAAGGCGGCGCTGCCGCTGCTGGCGCCGCCTGCTGTGCCCGCCACCAGGGCGGATGCGGCTGCTGCTAGGTCTGCGGGGTCGCAGCCGGCTAGCGGGTTGTGAACCTGGAACACGTTCAGGTGCAGTCGGGCCATGACGCCCACGAACCACTCCACACCCAACCGCCCCACCGCAGCAGTCGCAGCAGCCGCCAACCCTCCCGCATCACCGCCCCCCGCATCCGCTCCGACTGCCCCTCCCACTGCCTGCATGCCCCTGCTGCCCCCTCCCGCCGGCCCTCCCGCTGCCCCCTCCGCTGCCGCCCTCAGCTCCCCCGGCCGCCCCAGCAGCGCCCTGAGGCTGGCAGCCAGCAACGCGTGCTGCTCCACCCAGGTGTCGGGGTAGGGCGGTGGCACGCGTGCGAAACACAGCAGCCCAAGCCCGCCGCGCAGGAGGAGAGAGTGCGGCTCGCTGTTGCTGCTGTTGTCCTGGGCTGCCGAGTGGGGTGTCTCCGGTGCTGCTGCTGAGGGCTGTGCCGTAGCCGCTGCTGCGGGCTGCGGGTCTGCATGCAGAGGTTGTTGTTGCTGCTGCTGCTGCTGTTCCTGCTGAGTTGAAGACGCTGTATTTAACGCGGAGGATCTTGATGAGGACGATGAAGACGATGCAGGGTCTTGTTGCTGCTGCCCTTGCTGCTGCTGCATGTGCTCCCTGAGTGCCTGGGTGAGCTGCGTGAAGGCCACACGGGCGGTCATGAGCGGGAAGCGCTCCCCCGCCCCCCGGCACTGCTCGTACAGCGCACCCAGCGCACCTCCTCCTCCTCCTCCTCCTCCGTGTCCTCCACCGGAAGGCGCCGGCTGGCGGGCTGAGTGCTGGTGGTGCTGGTGGTGGCTTCCGCCGCCTCCGCTGCTGCAACCCGCGCCTGTTGCCCTATCCGCGTCATATACCGGGTCTTCAGAGGCTGCTGCCCGCCACGCCGCCGCCTCCACCGCATGGTACTGCTTCAGGGCGGCGGCAAGGCAGGACTCGCAGCAGAACCGCCGACCCGTGGGTCCGTAGCGCACCGCGCCGGGGGTGCCGGGCGGCATGGCGGCTAGGCAGTGGTAGCACACCTGGGGGGGGGCAGGTTGGTTGTGAGGCGGGCAGGAAGAGGGATGGTGGGAGGGTGGGGCGGGCGAGAGGTGAAGCGTTGAAGGCGGGGGCCGGGCGTATCTAGAGGTCCGGAAAAAGGCAGGCGAGGGACAGAGCGTCCAGCTTCCCACATAACATGTACCACGCGAGAACGGAGGACTGCGCCCCCGCCTGGTGTGTGGCCCCCAGCTCCCCCCCCACACCTGGTGTGTGGCCCCCAGGTCCGGGAAGACCAGCAGCGGCCGCTCCCGGTGCACCTCCTCGCCCGCGGGGATGTGCCGTACAGCCACCAGACCGCGACCCCGAGCCGGCAGCTGCGCCGGGAGGAGGGGCGAGGCAGGGGAAGCGGGGTAGGAGGGTGGGTCACATGGAGTTGCAGCACCGTAGTTAGGGCGGTTTGTACGGAATGTACACACAGGGATGTCTTGTCGCAATGTAAGGAGACGCTGCTGCATGAATAAAGTACATGGTACGGTATACGGTATACCCCATGGCAAACCGCATAGCCCCCCAGCAGCACCCTACGCCCCCAGGCATCCAAACCTCGCCTCCTACCTGCACGATGGCGAAGGGCTTCCCCTCCAGCAGCGGTGCCAGCAGCTCAGCTGCGGTGGCAGATTGCTGCTGCTGCTGCTGCTTCGGCGGCTGCTGTTGCTGCTGCTGTTGCTGCGAGGGGCTGGTGGGGGCAAGGCTGCAGAAAGGAGCCCTAGCAAGGCTGTTCTTTGCTCTGTTGTTGTCACTGGTCGGGATGCTTGCAGTGGTAGCGATCATGGCGGTGGTAGCGGTCCTGGTGGTGGTTATGACAGTGCGGACTGCGGTCGCCGCTGCGCATGTGGGGGGAGAGACGGCTGTTGTCGCCCCTGCTGTTGCCGCTGCTGCTGCTACATGGCTTGTGGCTGCTACTCCTGCTTCCAGCCCTGGGAAAGGGGAGGGAGAGGAAACGGAGAGAGATACGTCTCAGGGGATCGCATAGTCGCTACGGGAGCACGACAGGAGGGGCGGAATGCGCAAGGGTTCGGGTGAGAAGGGCTGTTCGCAGGTAGGGTAATACATCCACGCAGCAAACAGCGCTTCCGATTAGTCGCAGCCGGGAAAATATTATATTATATTTAATTGAGAGCAAAGTTCTTTAATTGCGATTGCTGCGTACAGACCTGCTCCCGCTAGCGGCCGGCAAGCCCGCAGCAGAATCCTGCCTCCCGTCTGCATCGCACCTAGCCCTGACTACAATCGTGTTATAGCATTGACCAGTTACTAAGAGTAGTACTTCGGGCGTAGTATAAGCGCATAGCGGGACGCAGGACATCATCAACACCAGAACACGACAAATGCCGCGCGTGCTGAGCTCCCGGTTCCAAGCTTTGGCACGATCGATCTACTTGCAGACTGTGCACTGAAGAAATTTATTTATCCTAAGAATAATACGATTATGTGTATGCAATAATTAAGGCGTGAAGTCCTCTTAAGCCCACATCCCTGAACGAGGCGTCCATGCAGCAGCCATGGCCTCGACGCAGAACACCGGCGCTGGGGCAGCTGGCTCGCCCTTCTGCTACCGCGTTTCACTCAATCCGTTGGACTGCAACCTTGACATGGTGCTCAGCCCCGACCTCCTGTCCGCGCACACGCTGTCGGAGGGAGGCTGCGGCTATTGCTGGTCGGGCGTTCGAGCCAACCTGGGAATCTTCGCAAGGGGTGAGCAAGCAACACAGAGCTGGCGAATCTGCCTCGGGGCAGACTTACACACAGCCCCCCACAACGGTCCTTCGGGGCTTTGTCGTACAAGCAGCCCACAGTTGGTTCCCTGAATCCTGCTCCCGCAACCGCACCCCCTCGCTCCTCCCTGCTTCCTCCGAACCCTTACCCCTCCCCCGCACCCCCCCTCTCGCAGGCAAGTTCTTCTTCCGTGTGACGCTGGGTCCGCCCCGGCAGGTGAACGTGCACAACACGGCGACGCTGATGACGGCGTACGGCATGCGGGCGGGCGTGTCGCGCTTCCAACCCGCCGTGGAACAGCTGGGGGAGGTGAGGGGGAGGGGGGGGAACTGCAGCTGGGGCCGGGCGGGCGAGAGGGAGGGAGCAAGCGACAACCCGTGCTGTGAACCCCTGCCGCTCATCCACTTCATCCTCCAGCTCCCACTACTCATGCGTTCCGATGTTTCCAACCTGCAGGAGCCTTTCTCCTGGGCCGTCTGCAGCACCGGCAGCAAAGCCAGCCTGCCACCCAAACCCACACCAACAACGTCACCCCAACTCCCCACCACCAACAACACCAACACCAACGGCATTGCAACAACCAAACCAAACCCCACCGCCGGCGCCGCCGCCAGCAGCGCCGACACTCCTTCTGCTCCCGCCACCGCCGGCGGGGGCTCCCTCCCCACCTCCGCCCCCGCCTCCTCCTCCTCTTCCGAGGACTACATGTCGTACCCTGTGTTTGTGCCGGGCGTGCTGCCGCCGGCGGCGCCGGGGGACACGGTGACGGTAGCGCTGGACCTGAGTGGGACCGACCCGGGGCCCGGGCCGGAAGAGGAGCAGGCGGCGGGGGCGGGGACGGGGACAGGGGGAGCGAAGGCGGCGGTGGGGGATGGGAAGGAGAAGGCGGGCGGCAAGGCGGCGGCGGTGGCGGGAGGTGGTGGGCAGGGCGGGGTGGGGTGGCTGTGGGCTGCGGTGAACGGCGGACCGTTGGTTCGGCTGTTCGCCGTACCGCTGGCGAACCACCCCACGCAGTCCTACTTCCCGCACCTGCTCCTCCGCAACATGGCAGTCACCGCCCACTTCACGGCTGCGGCCCCACAGCAGCAGCAGCAGCAGCAGCAGTCCGCAGCAGCTGGCAGGAAGCAGCAGCAGCAGCCCCCGCCCCCGCAGCAGCAACCGCTGCCCGCCGGGCTGCTGCAACGAGGCTTTAAACCCTGGCAGGTGCGGTACAGCCGGGCAGGGCTACCACACCCGGGGAGCGAGCATTGGCACTTGGGATGGCACTTCGCTTTATCTCCTCCTTTGCACCCCTCCCCCTGCCCCTTCTCCCCTCCCTTTCCATGGTATCTCCGAATCCCCCCCTCCCCCACACTTTGGAATTTCTTTTTTTTCCCTGTTTTATCCCCTCTCCTCTGTTATCCCCTCCCGCCTGCCCCCCTCCCCCCTGCCAGGCTGCCCCGCTGCTAACAGCCGACTGCGTGAGCACCCTGCCGGCGGAGGCGCTGCCGGGGCCGCAGTCGTGCGAGGTGCTGGTCATGACGGGTGGGTGGGGTGGGAGGTCATGACGGGTGGGTGGGGGGGAGGGAGGATTGCGGAAGCATTCCATGGGTGGGCGGGAGGGAGGGAGATGGGAGGAGCCGGCTAGGTGGTGGGAGGGCCTTAGGCGGGGCTCCTTGACATGGTCACGGTTGGGCGGGTACGAAGGAGCGGCACGGGTAAGCAGGAGGAGGAGGTGGAGGAGGAGGAGGATGGAGATGGGAGGAGGGCAACCCGGGGAGGGGGCGGGGGGCGGTGGCGGAGCAGATACCAGGAGGGTGTGTAGAGACGGGGGTGGTTTCACCCCACCCTTCCCGCCCTCACATGCGGCTATCCCCCTCCCACCCCATCCCCCGCCACACACACCCTGCCAGGCCTGCCCGGCAGCGGCAAGAGCACCTGGGCCTCCCGCCACTCCGCCGCGCACCCCGCCAAGCGGTACTACATCCTGGGGCCCTCGCTGGTGCTGGAGCAGATGCGGGTGGGGAGAAGGGAGGGGGGGGGGAGGGAGGGGGGGGGGGGAAGAAGGGGGGAAAGAATACCCAATGTGGCGGTTGGAGGTTGGGACGGGGTGAGAGGGAAGAGAGGTGTGGGGAGAGACGGCAGGGCGGGGCGGGGCGGGGTGTAACAACGGGTGTGCGGGGGTGGGTGGGTTGCTCAGGCAGATCCCACACCCTCCCTATTCCCAGGATTCATTGCCCTCTCCTGCCCCTCCCTGCCCTCCTGCCGCCCCCCCCCCCAGCTGCTGTGTCCCCGCTCCCGGCGGCTGCATTACCCCGGTCAGCCCGAGGAGCTGTTCGGGCTGCTGGCGGACTGCCTGGCGCGGCAGGCGGAGCGGGCGCCGGGAGTGCCGCGGAACTACGTGCTGGACAGGACGCAGTGAGCTGGGGGGGAGGAGGGGAAGGGAAGGGTTAGTCTGTCCCCGTGGTTACCATAGTCTGTCAACCTTTCCCCCACCTTCCCCATGTCTCCGTATGCGGTTACTGCATGAGTCGGGGTATGTAATTGGGGCTCCAGTGGCTTCACTTTTCATAAATTTCTCACCGCCTCCGTCCCCCCTCTTCTCCCCTCTCCCCCCCTGCAGCGTCACCTCCTCCTCCCGCCGCTCCGCAGTGGCTCCCTTCCGCTCCGCCGGCTTCCGCTGTGTGGCAGTGCCGCTGGTGGTGAGCGACGCCGCGCTGTTCGCGCAGCAGAAGGAGGCGTTCGAGCGGGAGGGCAAGGTGGTGCCGGATGAGGTCATGGCGCAGCTGAGGGGTGGGTGGGGGACGGGAGCGGGGGCGGGTGAGCGACTGGGCCGGGTAAGCGTGCTGCAGACTGTATCCAGGGGCGCCAAGCATCAATGCTTCCTCTCTCCTGACGCCCCTCCTCCTCCTCCCCCACTACCGCCCTGCACAGCCAACTTCACGTTGCCTAACCAGGACGAGGGCTTCCACGAGGTGCTGTACCCGGGGCTGGAGCTGATGCGGGCGGTGGCGGGGGTCAACAAGCAGCGCAAGGAGGCCAGGGCGTGGCTGGAGGTGAGGGAGGGGGAAGGGGGTGGAGGAGGGGTGGAGAGGGTGTGCATGAGCAGCTAGATTGGGATAGCGGGCTAAGGGCGGGGAGCTTAGGGTTAGTACACGGTATAAAGTACCCCACGTTCCTTATGTTATCCAGATCCCCGCGCTCCTTCCCTTTCCCCGTGTACCGCTCTCACGATGCAGTACTTCCAACCCGCCAAGCAACGCCGACGCCGCATGCAAGGCGGCGACGAGCCGACGGGGGATGACGTGGATATGGAGGAGGCGGACGCGCAGACGGGCCCGGCCACTGACCCACGGGTCACAGCGACGCACCCAGACGGCAATGGCCACCCCACGGAGGCGGTTCCCATTCACGCCACGCCTGCAGCAGCCCCTCCTCCCGTCCCAACACCAGCAGGAGCTGGTCCCCGCAGCGGCAGTGGCACCGCACCCCCTCTCCCAACGGGGCCCACGGGTAGCGGCCCTGCGCCCCATCAACCTTCAGCTGCTACTACAGTCAGTGCCGCGGCGGCGGCGCCGGCCGCGACGGGTACGACAGCTGCCGCCAGCCACCCCACCAGCGGTGTCCACGCTGTTACGGGTGCGGGCCCGGCGGCCCCATCTGCCTCACGGCCTGCGGACCAGTCGGTAACGGTTGACGTGGCAGCGGTGGGGGCTGCAGCGCCTGCCTCGCCGCTGCCGCCCCTTCCCCCAGATGACGCAACCCCGCCTCCTCCCGAGCTGCTTCAGCCGCCGCCGCCTCCACCGCCAGCACACCCGCAACCACATCCTCGACGTGAGACCCGGAGCTCGTATGAGCAGCAAGGTCTCGGGCAAGACAGTGGGACGACTGGGTTGCTGTCGCGACCGCTGGTGGTGCAACCGCCTTCATTTCGGCCGCAACCGCCGCAGCCCCCGCAGCAGCAGCAGCAGCCCCCAGTGCACCCGGTCGGGCTATGGCCGCAGCGGCCCGACGTTGCCGGGCAGGGACAGGAGCATGGGGCACCCATGTTTCAGCCGCAGATGCAGGGGCCGTCATTGCAGGGGCCGCCATTGCAGGGGCCGTCATTGCATGGGCAGATGCAGTCCTCAATGCATATGCAGCCGCAGCAGCCGCCACAGCAGCAGGGGCAGCAGCTCCAACGACAGCAGGGCCCAGGCCCGGGGCAGCTGCAAATGCCGCCGAGCTTCCAACCGTCACAACAAATGCAAGTGCCGTTCCAGCAACAGACGCAGCAGCACAGCCCACGAGGACAAATGCAGGCGCAAGGATCTGGGCAGCCAATGTTGCAGCAGCGCTTCAGCGGGGACGGTCGGGGAGGCCCAGCCTTTTGCCCCATGCCGGACAGTCTCGTGGATCCGGGAAGCATGGGCCCTCCCGGAAGACGGGATGGCGCTGGTGCCATGGCCGGGTTCGGACCAGGTCCGGGACTGGCTTTCGGTCCTGGCCAGGGGCCGGGGCTCGGTGGGATGGTGCAAGCAGGTCAAGGACAGATGGGGCCTGGCGGCATGCCGCACGGCATGGGCATGCAGGGCTTTGGGGGTCCAAACGGCATGGCTGGAGCACGGCCCCCGGGGGGAGGCATAGGTGTTGGCGTACCAGGAAATATGATGGGAGGGGGAATGCAACCCCCGGGCGGCGGCATTGGCACTGGTATGGGTATGGGGATGACGGGGCTAGGCATGGGGCCCGTGATCGGTATGAGCGGCGGCGGCATGCCTGCCATGAACGTGCCTGGGGGAATGGGAATGGGCCCTGGAATGGGGATGCTCAGTATGGGAGATGAAATAGGCGGCATGGGTTCCGTACGAGGTATGCTACCCCAAGGTGTGCAGCAGCCAAATCCGATGAGCCTTGCTATGCAAATGATGCAACGAATGCAAATGCACGCTTTCCAACCCCCGGGTATGGGGTGAAACATACCACATGAGACATGTGTGGTGGTACTCTCGTACGCGGGATGGAGTGCTTTATCGTGTAATTTTGTGTAATTCTGCTGCTTCTGGGATGTTAAAATGACCGGATGGAAAGTCTGGCCAAATGCAGCGATCAAGATGTTACAACTCCGCATTGTGCAGACGTTGCTCACCAGCCGCACTGAAATGAGCCCGATTTGGCATCCTCAAAAGTCCCAACACCTACCCTCTTGCCACGTTCAAACCGCAATATCCAAAACACTGTAGGGGCCAAGTTGTCAAGCCAAGTCCAGCCTCTTTTGGCGCAGAAGGCAGTCAAGCAGGGTGGCGTGCGCGCAGTTCCGCAAACCCTTCAGGAATGCGATATAAACATCGTATACGCTCAAGCTCCACCAACACGCCGTGCAGACATGCTGCGCGCAGCCAGCCTTGGCTAAGCAACACGCTCGCGCCTAACCACACTTAGAAGGCACCCTCATGCCTCCACCACCGCCCCCGTCGGGTCACCCTTGCGGCAATTAAGAAGCAAAGGGATCACCGCCGGCGCGTCCGAAATTCCCGGCAAACCACGTCATGCCATAGCGCCAGCCGGAACAACTAAACGGCTAGGACTGCTCCAGTAACCGCTTGCTGCATCGGCTGCACGCCCCAGCTCCATAGGCTGCTCCTCACATCGCCGTCCGCCGACGCGGCTATGTAGCCGCGTAACCACAAGCCCCCATGTAGGGAACCGTTTACTTGTCGAGCGGCAGGGTGCTCATCTGCTGGGCCAGGTGAGCGTTCAGCTCCGGGGTGATCTTGCCGTTGCCCTTGAGGATCTTGAAGACCTTGGGGTCCACGTGCTTCAGGATGACATCCTCGCTGCCGGTAATCTTGTTCACCGGCACCCTGTCCAGGTAGCCCTTGGTGGCGGCGTAGACGACCACGGTCTGAGAGGGAACAAGGGGATGTAAGAATAGCATTTTAACGTGCTCTGAAGGATAAGAGATCCATGTATCTCTACGAGGTGCTGTGCGAGCAGCGGAGTTGCAACGCTAAGCGTTTACCCTAACCCTTGGGGCAAACGCGTACCTGCTGCTCAATGGGCATGGGGTTGAACTGGCGCTGCTTCAGCACCTCGGTCAGGCGGGCACCGCGCTCCAGCACGTACTGGGTGGCGGCATCCAGGTCGGAACCGAACTGGGCGAAGGCGGCCACCTCACGGTACTGGGCCAGCTCCAGCTTCAGGGTACCGGCGACCTGAAAAGGGCATGTAAGGGCATGTAAGTATTAAAACATACAGAACTAGCAGAAGCATCCCATTCAGCACCAGGGCAAAGTAAGTTCAGCATGCGTCCACGTCACTCGCGGCATGCGCACCTGCTTCATGCCGGGGAACTGCGCAGCGGAGCCGACACGGGACACGGACAGACCGACGTTCAGGGCGGGGCGGATACCCTTGTAGAACAGCTCAGTCTCCAGGAAAATCTGGCCGTCAGTGATGGAAATCACGTTGGTGGCAATGTAGGCGGACACATCACCTGTGGATGGCAATGGGGATTGGTGTTTTCAGTTTTAGGTTTAGTCGCACATACAGGACACGGTAAAAGGCTTCTAGGCTATGCCGTTCCTGTTGTAGAAGCTTTCCATGCATTTGCTGCTACCATATGTAGCCCAACTTCAGCAAGGTGTACATCCCCTCACACCCAACGCACCGGCCTGGGTCTCAATGACGGGGAAGGCCGTCAGCGAGCCGCCGCCCATCGCCGCCGACATCTTGGCGGCGCGCTCCAGCAGACGGGAGTGCAGGTAGAACACATCACCGGGGAAAGCCTCACGGCCGGGAGGGCGGCGCAGCAGCAGCGACATCTGGCGGTAGGCCACCGACTGCTTGGACAGGTCATCGTAGATGATGACAGCGTGCTTGCCGTTGTCGCGGAAGTACTCGGCCATGGCGCAGCCAGAGTAGGGCGCCAAGAACTGCAGGGGAGCAGCGTCCGAGGCGGTGGCGGACACGATGATGGTGTACTTCAGGGCGCCGGTCTGGCCGAACAGCTTCACCAGCTGAGCGACAGTCGAGCGCTTCTGGCCAATGGCGACGTAGATGCAGTACACGCGCTCCTTCTTGCTGTGGATGCCGTTGAGGTAGTTCTGGTGCAGAATGCAATCCACGGCGATGGCGGTCTTGCCGGTCTGGCGATCGCCAATGATCAGCTCACGCTGGCCACGGCCAATGGGCACCAGGGCATCGACGGCCTTCACACCAGTGTACAGGGGCTCGCGCACCGACTGGCGGGCAATGATACCTGTCATGAGGGGGTAAAAACGGGGAAAGCAGATAAGAGACGTGAGCAATGTGTTGCAGGTGCAACTGGGGGACGTATAACGTAGAACCCATTAACAACAAACACAACTCCCTACAGCGCGCAATGAAGTAAACATGCGCCACTGCTCCAAATCCCTCGTACCGGGGGCCTTAACCTCCACCAGCGACGACTTCACGTTGGTGAGCGGGCCCTTGCCATCGATGGGCTGACCCAGAGCGTCCACGACACGGCCGAGGGTACCGGGGCCGATGGGCACGTTCACAATCTGGCCAGTGCGGTACACAAGGTCGCCCTGGTGAATCAGAGAGTCGTTACCGAAGACGACAACACCGACGTGGTCGGCCTGCAAGTTCAGGGCCATGCCCTTCACGCCGCTGTCGAAGCACACCAGCTCACCGGCCTGCAGAGGGTTGTCAATAAATTTATTGTTAGAAACATGATACTTATTTTGCAGTTACTTAGGGCAAGTAAGAGAAGTCCGGCCCAATCAGACAGCCGCCCGCGAAAGCTAGAGAAGATTCGCACCTGCACGCTCTTCAGGCCATAGACGCGAGCAATACCGTCACCGACGGACAGCACGCGACCCAGGTGAATGACCGGCGGCTGGTACTGCTTCTCCCACTCCTTGACGGCCGGAATGAGCCTCTCGGAGACATGGTTAATCAGATACTTGCTGGTGAACTTGGGCTTGCGCAGCTCATCCAGCGCCTTAGCGTCCGAGGCGAAAGCACGGCTGGCGCGCAGGAGGGCCTGCGACACCGACATTTACGATTGCTTTCGGCATAAAGGCTCAACCAGCGCCAAAGCGTTCGTAAGCTCGATTATAACGCACCTGCTCGGCACGCTTAGAGAGCGTGACACCCTCCTGGGCAAGCAGGCTGCAGGAAACAAAGTGGCCGGCGTGTTAAGTAAAAATAAGAAAGTGACTGCAACGCTTTTAGTTTGCTCTAAACCTTCTTACCTCTGCGAGCCCAGCTGCACGCCTGCATTTAAGGCAAGGGGAAAGGGAGCAAACGTATGAGCGGTCACGACACCAGGCGGCCCAGAGCCATCTTACGCCCAAACTCACCCGCACGCGCGAAGGACAGCGCGGAGTTCCTCATGGTTCCAAAAAGCAGACCAGGAAAGGGGACTACCCGCTCCTGAGAGGAGGAGGGAAGGGATGAGGTGCATCATCAGACTCTTTTCCGACACTGGCGGTGCTGCAGTGAGCCGCCGCCACCGGTAGCTACCGCTGTCCTAGCGTTTTCTCTGCTAGATCGCAGTCACAGCATCTTCGAAAAGCTGCGGAACCAAGTACCTGCTGATGGAGGAGTTCACCGCCGGTCGATCGCTCGGCCCGACAACAAGCGGCACGCAGCCAACGAGCCTAAATGGATGAGCACTGTCCTCCGCACAAGGCTGAAGACTGCACGCTAGAGAGCTGATTAGTCTCGGAGAGAAATGCATTCCCGTCGTACGGTCCAGGAGGGCGTGCGCACTTGGCCAGAACAGAAATAGCATACTGTAACTTTCATTACTTTCCCATGTAAATCCTTTTGATATTATTGCTTACGTCCATGAGCCCTGGGACAAACGCCACGGCTAAAATGTCTGAACAACGTTCTTGCTTGCTTTGCCCCTGGATTGTAACGTCTAAAAATTGTTGGTGAGTGACATGAGTGAAATGAACACGAATGGCTGCAGTTTGTGATCGAAACGTCTTTCAGTACTTTGCATACATGTCGTCATGGCGGCGTTGCTGAGTCGGCTTGCGGTATCGACAGCGCAACATCTGTGGACTTCCGGAAACCCGGACTGGTAAAGCAGCCCTCTCCGCGGATCTATCGTATAAACCTGTCGGTGTTGGCTATCGGTATTCGCTGTTGGCCCGCAATCCTGAACTGTACTCGTCTTTCCTTACAAGCATACCCTTCGCATCATAGTGCTAAAGATGCAAGCACTGGCCCGTGCATGGAGCTATGACACCTTGCGTAAGCAGTATGCATGGCGTCTGTGCATGTGAGCTGTGACCCATGGGCCCATGCATACCGTGAAAGGCCGATAACGGAGGGGGTTTCCCGCAGATCCGCAAAGAAACAAAGCGATTGCAGTTAAAAATAATAAGGGCGTTACAAGTTTTTGTGTAGTAAAGTTAAATCTCATTGGGTCACGGAACCTGCTGCCAATACACACTGTTGTACAATGGCAAAAAACGGGGCCAAGTTGATATACATAAGAATACCTCCTCGAAACTGAATGTCTTCGCGTCAAGTTAGCGCTCCAGTAGGCAGTGTACAAGCCCTGCTGCAATGGATGCTTACAAGTAAAGCACAAGTAAAAACAGCATCCTCTGCGCACGTCAAGCAATGCAACGACGCCTGCCCATGCAAATAGCGCATGTGCGCGTCCCAGCGACGCTTGTGAGTTAAACCGCCCGGTGCCAGTCCTGCTCAACCCCCGTCGTTCTCACCACCACTCCTACCACTCTGTATGTCATGAAACCAAAACACCCTCTCCCTCTCGTCATACGGCTCGGAAAGCACCCAGGCTGACAATACCGGTAGGTCAGCAGAATACACGAAGTGACGCACAAGCTCTGCCGCTCGATTGCGTGTCACATGTTAGGCCAGGAGGCTCACATTGTTGTGCCGTGTTTGGTCCTTGAGCTCCTTGGCCAGCTTGTCACGAGCAGTCTCGACGATGCGCACCTACAAGGACAGGGCAGCAACGACAAGAAGGTTAATGTGGTAAGCCTGAAACAGACATGTTGCAGCGAGAGGCTGGTGAAAGTGGGTCACGGTCTGTGAAATCACACGTCTGTGCCCTCATAGCATACGGTAGTGCAAGTCGTTCCTTCATGGTAACAGAGTCATGAGCCGTAGGGGAAGTTCACGGCAAAGCGTCTCAAGTGTTTTCAGTCATCACCCATCACCCTCCTTTGATAGACTCCGCCTGGTTTCGTGCTACTGAACTTGCACCCCTGGGTGGCCATGCCACAATACGCGCCGGCCAGATGTACTTTCTCACATAGCACCATAACCCAGCTCACTATCATCAACACACCTGTTGCATCGTCATGTACTTCCCGCTTGGAATTAAGAGGATGGGCTCGCCATCGGCCTCCTCAAGCGACCAGCCCAGCGCAGTCATGGCGTCGACGGCACCCACTGCATCGCCAAGAACCGCCTTGACTTTCGGGTTCGCTAGCCGTACCTTGCGAAACTTCTCCTCCTTCGGCTGGACGGCGCAGTTGTAGACCAGCTTATGAATCATCTCCACGGCCTCCACCGACTTGACGGCCTGCGAGGGGTGAACGACGGTTGGAGGCATGTCACCAAACTGCATGCATGATCAGAGGATACATGCGACAAGAACGCCATGGTTGGCTACAAGGATGAAAACAAGTTGTCGTTTACCAGCATTGTGCAGCTTGCATAGGCAAAAAGACCGTTCGCAGAGCCTTCTTCGAGGCGGACTAGGCAAGCCAACCAACGCCGGTCGCACCTGCACCGCAGCCTCGACCTCACTGGGCTTAGAGGGAGGCAGCTTTGCAGACACGTAGCCACCATAGCCCATTTTTCCTGACGAGCGGTTGAGATGAAGAGCGCGAGTGCTCGGCACCAGGCAAGTGTTCAGCCCACGGCAAAAAGAAACCGTGAAACTTGGCGGAAGCAGATTTGCTGGAGGACTCTCACGCTCAATAACCAGCCGCTCACAGGTAAGTGGTGCCGCAGATGCACAAACAGCTTAAATACTAATCGCCTTATATAACATTGACATGCTAAGCAAGTTTCCACATGTAGCATGAGGCCCTATCAAATTCAATTAAACAGGTGTACGACAGCAACTTCCGCACCTGTCATGGGGCGTACCGTTTCGCCTATTTCCCATGGGCTAGTGCTCTTCTTTTGTCAACACGTAATGGCACAAATAACTAGAAACCAGCAAGGACATCTTTGATGAATGGAACGAGCAATCCTCGGCCCTACACGGTCGTTGCCTTTTGCAAGCATGGACACCTTGAACATTATTTCACAGTATTTCAAAGTGTTTATTGACTGTATCAAGGTGACCCAAATGAATAAAAGTCCGATCGGGGCGGGCATTTTGCGACTCGGGAAGTGGTCGGCGGAGTACAGATGGTGTCTCGGCTAGGTTTGCCCGCAACCTGCGTTTTTTTACTTCCTGGTACCGGTCGTATACCGGTAGCGTGCCTATTTACTTCTGTGCCCTGCGGGAGTTCTTAAGAGGATGTGAGGTGTGCGTGGCCACAGCCTTACCATTCGTTACCCAAGCGTCCCCCGAAGGGCTTCATTTGCAAGTAAACGTGCAGTCTCAGCAGGCCACGTAGCCTCTCAATGCGCGCCACACCAAAAACCTTCAACTCACAGCCCCATGCAGCTGCTGCTTGCCTAACGCCAACAGCAGAAACAACGTGAAGGCGGGGGATCAACCTCAGTCTGAACAGGATGTCTCTCGAGAAGCGCAAAGCCGCACCCAACAACTCATCAACCCCTCTGCAAAGTCATTGCGCAAACCTCTTGCCCATTCTCTGGCACTTGCGACCTCAATCCGGACGTACAGCAGGCTTCCTTCCATACCCGCTGCCCCGACCAACTCAACCCAGCCCGAGGGGGCCGAGGAAGCGAAGGTCTCCCATTTCGCTCCATGCCTTCTTGCACACCGTATGGCATCCGTGACCCACATCGTGACCCTACTCCCGCCCTCCTCCTCGGCCTCACCAGGGGATGCTGCTGCGCTCGCCCCAGAATCCGCCTGACGTGAAATCCTGCGGGCTGCGAAGCGCCAGCCACACCGCCGTGTCGGCACCCTCCGCCGCGCTCTTGGTGCCGCGCTGGGGTGGGTTACATGGGGGTGGTGAGGGAAGTAGGAATAAAGCATAAGAAGCGGACGGTGGTGGAGGTGCGGGTGGCAGTGCGTAGAGGTGCGGGTTGCATGTACAGAGACGGAGAAGCGAGAGCATTGTGCGGTGCGCGTGAAGGGAGGTTAGCGGAGCGGAGTTAGGCGGACTTATGTGGAGCCCAAATTGTGCCTTATGTATTCATGTGTGGCAGGTCTGGCGAACTGGCACGGGACCGTGGCCAAAGGTAACGAAAGCAGCATTTACAAAAATATGCTGGCCCCGGAATGCCCAGGAAGGCACATTGCCGCACGCGCTTATGTTGTGTCGTATTCTTGTATACCGTAGTTGCTCGTGTTAAAGATGCTCAACAGCCTCCATGCGCTGCCCTCACTGACCTGGCTGGACATGTCGGTTCGGCACCACCTGCAGAGGGAAGGAACGGTGTGGGACGGCACGTAAGCTTTGAAGTCCTGGGCTTTGGGCCGGGTCTATGCGTATGCGCATAACGCACGGACAGCGGCCGTCTGGTGCGCTATGGCGCCTGCGCCTTGCAATGCCCCATGCAATGTCCCATTCCTATCCCAGTCCCTGTCGCCTCTACTCCCGATTGCCTTGCCCTCACTTATGGGTTGGGTTTCCTCGACCCCCGATCCTACCCCGGGCACATTGCGTTGACCATGACCTTCTCCCCCTTGAGCTGCTCCGCCAGCTGGGCCGTCCACAGCGACAGCAGCAGCTTGGAGATACCTGGACGCGGGGGGTGGGGGGGGGGGGCATGCAGGGACACGCGCAAGTAGGGCGAAGGGATGAGCACGCCAGCGAGTAAGGCCAGTAGCGATACATGATCCCACGCGCTAATCCCTTTTGAACCCAACCCGCAAGTTCACAACCCCCCAACACCCTTCCCTGGTCTTCCATGGTCCCAATCCACATTGCTTCCGCGGCTCTATCACTTGTGAACCCTACAGCGCCCCTCCCTCAAGCAGCTCTCACCAATGCACCGCACACCGCACTCACCGTACATGGACTCCGGCCAGCCCTTGTCCTTATAGTCCCCCACCCGGATGGCGCCCACGAACTCCCCTGCCAGCGAGTCCAGCTGCTGCGGCGAGGTGGCGGAGGTGAGGCGCGACAGCAGTGCAGAGGACTTGACGATGGAGCGCGAGCCGGCACTGTGGGAAAGAGCGGAAGGGTGGTGGTGGTGAGGAGGACGAGGTAAAGAGATAGGGGTTTGTAAGAAAACGATCCACGCAGAAAGCAAGGGAACTGTTGAAGACGCATGATGGCGTTTGCCTGAGACGGGCGGTACCAGACGTAACACGCTGGGCGCTGGACCCAGCCGAACATGTGACGAGCTCAGGATGCGGTCTGTTCCTCCCTCCGACCCATGGGTCGCACACAGCGATCCCGGCCTGGGGGCGCCTCGGCCACCTCAGCGTATCTCGGCCACCTACTGCCACCCACCCACCCACCGGGATGACACGTTGACGATGCGCGACGGGCCGCGCAGCAGCGGGATCAGCTTCTCCGTGAGCTCCCGCGTGCCGAAGTAGTTGGTGCCCTGTGGGGAGGTGCAGGGCAGCGGGGGCGGTGGGGGGTGGGGGTGTGTGGGGTTACCGGGTATGGCGGATACTAGCCAGCATGTTGCAGGTAGGTCCCGTGGTGGGTTTGTATGTGATGGCCACAGGAAGGGTGGCAGGGCGGCGCTCGCGTGTAGTCAGTATCATATAACGTCATGCAATGCGTAACAATGTAACAAGCCATGCAAGCCTCAACCCTGCCGGCACCCCCAACCTACCAGCGTCACCTGCGCCTCGTCCGCACCGAAAATGCTGCCCTTGTACGCGAAGCCTGGCAATGAACAGCAGGGCAAGGCTGTTACGACCCGTGGGTCACCTAGCTGCAACCTTGAACGGCCCCGCCAGCAATTGTTACGGCACAAGGACGACATATACATCCACACAAGCGACAACGGCGACGACATGGGTTGCAGCAGCAGCGGCACAGCTGCATACTTGTACTACTACCCCCGCCTGCAATGTTGTTCCCTCTTCCCCCACCTGCATTGTTGATCAGGATGGTGAGGCCGCCCAGCTGCTCGCGCAGCCAGGTGACGAAGCGGTCGATGGAGGCGGGGTCGGAGATGTCCAGCTGGTGGAACAGCACCCGTGAGTCGGGGGCTGCGGCGGGGTGCGCAGGAGGACGTCGTGACAAGCCCAGCAGTGGTGGAGGCGGTAGAGGTAAGCCAGACCAGACGAGCTAGCGGCGGCCCGTGCAGCAGAGTGTTTTGTTGGGCTATTTGGACTGTTAGACTATTCACAGGATGTTGGGGTCGGCCCAAACAGGTGTACGAAGTGCAAAGGCGTAGGAGAAACCTGTAATGGGTTACAGAAGACGGCTCGAAGTCCTAAGAGCTGCCGTACCTGCCTCTTGAATTTTGGCCGCTGCCTGCTTGCCCAGTTCCTCTGGTGGGGGAGGGTTGCCAAAGAGGGGGGTTGCCACGGAGCGCCGACAAGAAGGCAAGAGCGGCATGTGGGAAGACGGCCCGGTGGTGGGACCGGAGAGGAACTAAACCCGGGTCATGGGGAAGGCGAATGGGCGCACAGCCACAGAAGCTGCGAAGGACAAGGCTTCAAGCAACGACCAAAGAGACTCGGTTGCTGCAGCATTGCCATGCAAAGGGATTCCGTGCGAGGGTAGCCTAAGCCCTTGGACCCACCATTGCGCGCGGTGACGACGGTGGTCAGCCCTTGCTGCGGGGCAGGGGAGCATCGACACCACGCACGTGCGGTCGGGAGCACCGGTGACAAGATTATTATTTGACACACATATTGTAAGAGAAGGGATGAGAGAGAAAAGAGAGAGGGGGGAGACCCATCCAGCGGCGCTAGCCACCTATGCGCACCCGACCCACCTCCGCCAGCATCCGAGCTGCTTCGAACCCGATTCCCTTGTTGCCGCCGGTCACAACCGCGACCGTGTTCCCGTCCCACCACTTGTCTGTGGCGAGGGGCATGTTTGCACCGGTTGGGCGGAGGCCGGCAAGCACGCTACCCAGCCTGTGGTGACAGCAAGGAGCGTATGAGGGTCCGAGGGAGTCAGGGATGCGTTGACAGGGATGTTGCAGGGGTCTTGCGTATATACTTATCCCGCAATCCTTGGCATAGATATAAACGGACAATACTATATAGACGGAAGGTAGCGGCTGCTGCCGGAGACATAAGGAAAGCGTGCGTGCGATGACACCGCGAACGTCATACATATGCGCGAACCGCAGCAGTTGGACGTTATCGGCAGAAAAGTATACATATTGTACAGGATGCAAATGCAAGCACCTGGTGAGGAAGGCGTGAGGTATCACACGAGCTGCTTGCTTGCTTGTACGCGATCGACAGGCTACTCGATTTGCTTGGCCGCGAAGCCCCAACATTGAGGACTTTGCTAGTAGAATTTCTCGAATAGCAACCAACAATCTTCCGGTTGCGAGCAGCAGCAGTAGCCCGCATCATTCTACAAAGTACGGCACCGCCAAGCAACAATCCATGGGCTGGCTGCAGCTTAGCACACTAATGTGGAGCAGGAGGACGCCGCATGCGACTGTAGCGGAGGTTAGGGCGACCCACTGCTAGCTTCCCTGGCCTGGGCAGCGCTAACTGCAGTTGCATGCAAGGCTGGTCGGGTTACAGCGATGGGCGCTTCCAAGAGCTCGCCCCGTGCGACAGAAGGGGTAAGTGATCGAAGCATACACAGAACAGCCAAGCCGGCTTCAAGGACCCTGCGTACCTCCTCTCGACCAACCGGCACCAGCCCGCTTATGCTGCATACATGCACATGGTGCTCCTCTGCCTACCTGCGCTGCGGATGCCTCCTATTGTTGAGGTAGGTGGTACCAGTAACCGGACTACTGTTAGCGGTCAATAGCATAGCACGCGTTATGCCGCGTCCCACACACGGCCCCTACCTAACGATACATTAGCCGATCAACTCGGCAGACGGAGTCATGCTTGTACCGCCCGGAAAGAAAGCGGCTCGACACCAGCCACGGATATCAGCCAGTTGCGACACCCGAGCGCACTCCCATGTCCTGCAGCAGACACCGCTGCCTCGTAACCACAGGAGGGTACGGCGCGGTGTGCCCAAGTGCTTCTCTGTACAGCTATACAGCAGCCCACATAGCTGGTGTATGACACAGGTATGCAACCCAAGCACCCATAGCAACACTGCACCACCTTACACGGCGCATGTGCCCCAAGCATAGGCGCTAATCGCTCTCGCCGCCATTGCCTGTGCAGCATAAAATCACACCCCGCCTTAACCGCTTACAGAGGGCATGGCAGCCTCCTTCTGAGCCTCCCCTGGGAGGGGTCCAAATGCAGGCGCAACACTCCCAACCCGTGCCTGCTCCCGACATGCAGCGGTCACGGGAAGCTAGGTACGCGGCTGCTGGTGAGACACGGCCTCCGGTGAGTTCAATGGCCCGCCGCACAAAGCCACCCTCTCGCTGCGCCCGCTGCCGCCAATACCAGCACACACGCCGGTATTGACCTCCTCCCACAGCCACGCGGCCAATATGACACCCCATGCACGCTCGGCACCCATGTGGTGCGGCACCTCGCCACCGACACAGGCCCCACCCCGCGCCGCCTCACATGCGCTGGCAACCAGAATGCAACCCATGATGGAGCCCATAAGTCACATGTTAGTTGTTCCCTCTTCACCCCCCTTCTCCTTCTCATCCCACATGCGCTAATCTACACCTCGCCCCGCAGCTGCCGCTGCTGCCGCTTCGCCTAGGGTCCCGCCCACAATGCGTGCGCGCCGAAGAGCAGGAACATGACGCCTCCGAAGATCTGAGGAGGGGAGTTTGGGGGGGTTAGAGGGTGCAACGCTACGTTTCGGAAGGCGTAATCCAGAGAGCGAATGTCAGCTAGCGCACGGAGTTGCGGGACTACCGGGGTGCCGTCCTCCTCGCCCCATGCTGTCCTGGCGGCTGTTGACACCCGTAAGTTAATACGCGTGACCTTGCGGATGGCGTTACTTCCCAACCGTGCTGATCCCCACCGCGCGGCTTTGGTAACGGACGGACGATGACCAGACAACGTGCGTGCAATCCCCCTTTCTAGGCAGCGCATCAGGCATGCCTGCCTGCCGCATCGCAGCCCCCATATGCAGCTCGAACCTCATCTGGGTCGGGGACTTCAGGCTTCCGGCCCTTAGCAGGGGTAAGCACCCACGCCCTGCACCCGTACCGAGCCTCACAACCACTGCCACTAGCCCTCCACTCCGCCTGCCATGCAAACACCACTCACCGCCACCGTCCGCTCGTTGATGTGCGTGGCCAGGTGGCGGCCTCCGATGACCGCCGCACCCGTGCATGCGCTGTGTCCCAGGATGCCTCCTAGAGTGACACCCACCACATCCTCCGAAGCCGCCAGGCTGCGTGCGTAGGGGACAGGACAGGACAGGATGACAGCGGCTGGGGAGGAGTGTATAGGTTAAATACATAGGATGTCACTTGGGAGCATTAAGCTGTCAGGGGTAGGGTTTGGGTGTTGCGGGGTACGGCAGGAGCAGGGTGCCCTACCCGATGGTGGCTATCTGGCTGCGGTCGCCCCACTCCGCCAGGAAGGTGAGCGTGAAGGACTTGAGGAAGATTTGGGAGAAGATCATGCCCAGCAAAGTCACCAGGAAGTTGGTCTTCCGCTTATCCATGTCCTTCATCTCCTTCCCAGCGCTGCGGCTCTTGTTCAGGTCGCTAAGCTCGTGCTCCACCTGCTCCAGCTCCGACTCCTCACCCTGTGAACATGCACGGATGTGCCATCAAACCGAGTTCAACTGCAACGTGGCAAGGGACACGTGCCATGGACGCACCTCGTCCTTCTTGAAGAACACGTCGTAGAGCGTCTTCAAACCGAAGAAAAAGAACAGAGCGACCGCGGCGTAATGTGTGTACACCTTGGAGACCTGTAGAAAGGTAACCGGACAGGACATAAGAGCGATGGCTTTCTGATTGGCGCCACCAACAGCGAGAACGCACCAGATTTGGTGCAGCCCAGCCCAGGGCAGCCGAAAGCACCGTCATTGCCGCAAGGGCTCCAATAGCACCAGCAAAGACCTGTTCGAGGCGGCAGGAGACGGTTGACTTTCCCGGACGTTGGGGCGTCTTTTACCTAGCAGCTCACCGTCATCCGAGGATTGCGCATCGCCATTACCGCGGCAATGAAGAACGTCTTATCGCCAATTTCAGAAGCTAGGATCACACCAAAGGACTTGGCAAGACCAATGACAAAGCGATTGTGCAGCAGCGGCGCAAAGGCCGCGCTGACGGTCGACATTTTAAAGACTTTTACGAAAAATAGTGTAACTATGGATGTTAAAGTAAGAGCAACGAGGCGTGAACATCTGAACAAACAGGATGGGCACATGCACGACCGGTGGAGGCGTTGGACAAGGACCGATTATTGCCATCTCCAAGCCATTTGCACAACTCTCATTACAAATGTTAACATGATTTAGGAGTGTAACAGCGTCTTTGCATTTAGCACAAAGTTCGAGCCTCGCAACTCATCCATCAAACCGAACGAGTCTACGCTTCTAGCCCCTAGCTTGGGTGTTTTAGCTAAGTTTGTTTGGGTTAGTGCACCAATGTCAGGTTGGCTTGTTGGTCGCCTTGTGTCGGGGCTTGGCGTCGCGACGAAAGCGGCTGTCCTGCCCCTTACACGCCAGACCGCAACTGACTTGGTGTCTAGCTGCCTCACACCTACAGCATGTAGTATGTGGAGGTGTTGGTCCGTTCCGGACCAAGGTAAGGTGCAATCGACCGCGCAGCATCAGTGTTAAAGGGGCACAAGCAACGCTGATCGACGCACTTAGGGCGTGTCTTCTGATCCAGATACATTCGGCGATTTGGCTTGAATAGCTACGCGCCGGGCCCCTTCACCTGTGTCCCCTTACACATGTCCTGACGCGGGGTCGCCTTTAACGTCCCAATCCCCTCTCTCCTCATTTTGGCACGGACGAACGTGCGTGCCCATACGCCCTCATCCCTGATCCTTCCCTAACGTACGGCCCGCCCTCCGCAACCCCTGCTATTGCCCTGCTACAGCCTTCCTCTCCACATCAGCTGTTTCATCCGCCCAAGCCTCGCTCTCGGCGATGTCTGAAGCCTCAGCAGCGGCAGCAGCCGCTGCTCCCTCCACCTCAGCCAGTGGCGCCTCCGCTAGTGGCGCCTCCGACAACCCCGCTAGCAGCTCCAGCGGCGATGCGGCCGCTCTGGAGGCTGCACAGCAGCCTCCCTCAGCGCCGCTTCCGGACCCAAAGCCGGACCTGGTAGATAAGGTGAGCTCGCTCGCTAGCTAGCAGAGGGGGTTGTGGGGACGAACGGGCCGTCAGCTGGGCGCCACTGCCCGTAAGCCGCTTGGGGGCGAAAGACCATGTGGCATATCTCCCAATCAGTGGGGCGCACCCCGCACACAACTATCCAGGGGCCCGCATCCACCTCGCTCAGCCACGACTCTCCTTTCCCTTCCTGCGCACCTCCTCCTTTCTAGTCATCCCTCATCCCAATGTCAAGGAGAGGGCCCCGGGGCATGGGCTGAATCCGATGTCTCCCTTTCCCCCTTCCATGCGCTCCCTTCCCTTCCTTCCCTGCTCAGTTCCTGTCGACCGAGGTGCTGGGTCTGGAAGAGCGCCGGCGGCTGGAGCGGCAGGCGGTGGTGCGCGACTTCCAGCGCCACCCGGCGGACACCGGCTCGCCGCAGGTCATGGGTAGGTGCTTGCGGAGCGGCGGCAGGGGCCGCAGGGGGTCAATGGGCAGGGGCCGCTTTTGAGAAGGAGCAGGAGTGGCCGGCATGCAGCGACAGTATGGTGGGGATGAGGCTATGAAGGAGGGGTGGATGCTTGGCACCCTGGCCTGGGGGTCCGGTCAGCTGCTTTCGGCCGTCACTCGTCATTGCTCCTCGTGTGCACGGTGCACCACACGTGCGTGCTGACACACTGCCGTTAGAACCGCTTCGTTGGTAGCTCATTGGCCGTCTGCTAACAGCCCCCCCCCGCGCTGTTCCCCGCTCTTTCCCGCTACCCAGTCGCGGTGATGACGCACCGGCTGCGGGAGCTGGTGCAGCACTTCGACTCCAACCGCAAGCAGCTGCCAGCCATGAGGTGGGTCCGGGCAGGAGCGCGCGGAGCAGCGCCGGCAGAGGGGCACAATGGATAGTGCATGACACGCTGTACGGATGCGCGGAAGGCAACACCATGGGTTGGTCTTAGTAAGCGGCACATATGGCTTTGGCGTGGCTGCACTCTGGTCTTGATGGCTACTACCACCTGCGCATCTTGCCGGTGAAGGCGGTGATGGCTGCTGGGGGTCCCTGGGTTGCGGTACCCGGCGCGCCAGTAGCCATGTTGTCCCCTGTGCCCTCAACCCTCGGCGGCCTCCTGCTGTCCCCTGCCCCTCCTCAGCCCTTCTTCTTCACTCCCCCCCACCCCGCGCAGGCACCTGGAGATACTGGTCAACCAGCGGCGCCGGCTGCTGACGTGGCTGCGGGATGCGGACTTCGAGTCCTACTCCTACACCATCGCCAAGCTGGGGCTGCGGGACATCTACACGCCCACGGTGAGGGGGGCTGGGGCAGGGGGGTTTGGGGTTGGACAAGAGGGCGTTGGGTTTAGGGTTTGGGTTTGGTCTTGGGTATGTTGTGCCGGTCGCCTGTTGGAGTGGAAGGGAGTGAAACGGTGCGCGTCTCGGGGTCTGGATGGCCATTCACCAATGTGTACACGTGCGCGCCTGCCCTCATTGCGGGTCTGACCCCCCTTGCCCTGCCCCCCGGCTCCCCCCCCCCCCGCCCCCACAGGGCTTCTCCGACCGCTACCGCGAGGGTCTGCGTCCCAGCGACCCGGTGCCGGACGACTCGGTCAACCGCCTGCGCTTCAACTTCCACACCAAGTACCGGCAGGTGGGTGGGAGCGGTGGGGGGAGCGCATGATTGCGGGGCATGAAGGGGGCCCTGGCGGCCTAGGGTCCAACTTGTGTCGGTGTTGATCGTTACCATAAATCCCTCCCTCGTGTCTACGGTAATGCCCCCCCTCCTGTCTTACATGTGCACATGCACCTGTCCTTCCCCCGCCCGCCCGCAGAAGAAGGCCAGTCTGTGGCAGCGGCTGCGGCCCCAGCTGGTGGCCGAGGACCCCTACCTGCAGGCGACCGACGCGGCGGCGGCAGCGGCGGCCAAGCAGCGCCAGCAGCAGCAGCGCGTGGCGGCGGCGCAGCAGCGGCTGTAGGCGGGTTGGTTGGGGGTGTACGTGTACTGAGTTGGTCCCAGGTTTTGGTCCCCGTGGAGCTTATGGTGAGCCGGTCTGATTTGATACATAGGCATTGATAGGCTGTCTGTGGAGATGGGTGTAAGGAGGAGAGACGCGCGAGGCAGGGGGCTTGCGCTGTGCCCCAACCTGTGTGAGGGGGGAGGTGAACAAAACAGAGCCTGTTCAATGTGCGCGCGCTGCTTCGAACTATGGCTTTATTAATGTGGATTGCTAGGCTGAGATCCTGACTGGCGATCTCCTTAGCCGGTACTTGCTGACGGCTCCTTTGCTGGACAGCAGGGTATCTTTACGTCTGTCTTCCGGTGGCTCATTCGTGAGGTGCGTGACCCATTGTGGGAAAGCACGCTGTGCTGGTGGCCGAGAGGCTTATGTGTAACGAAGTAGAAGATTTGCGACAAGGTAGTGGCCTCACAAGCAGCCCTCTGCTTTTGGTCTGGTAAACCCGGTGCCTTCATGGTTCGCTCCTGCCATCTTCGTTTCCCCTCCCTCTCGCAGAACTCCACTGCCTCCCTTGCACGGTACCAGCTCACCCTCGCCAACTCATCAGACGCTCACCTCACCTTAACAAGCACGCTTCCTGACCACATTGCTCGAGCGCTAGTAAGGAACCCGCATAGGTCCCTCCGCATTGCGCATAATAAGACAAGCAAAGAGACGCCTACCATAATAAAACCCAAACGCAGACGTAAATACCAAGGAACCCAAACCTAAACACCGGTACAAAGCGTCCCGGAGAAGTGGCACCACTAGAACCATAACAGTCACAAACCGTGGCCCAACAAACCCAAAACAGCTAGCGTCTACGGTAATAAACGGGTATAGCGCAGAGAACCACACTACAGCCGAGATCAACGAGCGGTAAAAGCCCAGCACAGGTGAAACACATGCAGGGATGTGTCGCCAACCCCAACTTATAGAGTGCGCAGGTGGTTGCTGCCGCAAAGAGCTTATGATGTTATCAGTTGGCACGAGCAACCGCGTAGACCTCGCCGCTGGGTATGCCCCCCTGCTTTATGCCGGAAAGCTCTCCACTGCTGCATCCCTCAAGACACGCCATTTTAAGATATGGGAGAACGCTATCGATGCTCCCCTTCGCGCAACGATGCTTTACCTCACCAATAAGGCTCCCGTGACTCTTATCAAGTTGTGCAAACACAGCATCACACGCAAAGAATGTTAACCCACCAGACACAGCTGACGCTCACTACATACATGTTCCGTAAATCACCAATAACCAAGCAAGATACCGGCTTCATTGCAGCCCAGGTCCACCTCTTCCATGCTTTTGCACAAAGCTACAATACACATAACTCACGAAATAAGGTACCAATGAGCACCCCCCCAAGCTACAATGCAGAACCAGGCTCATGCCGAAACCTCTCCTGCCCTTCTCTCTCGTACCGCAGCACAGCGCCGGCTCCCCCCTGCAGTGCTGCTTACACACTGTTCCACGAGGCCGACAGAACACCCCTCGCATCAGCCACAGACGCAGCGCCACTCTTGCCCACCGACTCCACAGCCGCATCGACGACACCGCTGCCGAGGACGGCACCAGCCTCATCCACAGCGGCCGCAATCGTCATGGGCTGCGCCTCGCTCCAAGCCACCGCAAGCGCCCCCGCCGCAGCAGCGGATGCGGGCGCAGCCTCGCCTGCAGCGAAGGTGGCCGCGGCGCCGTACTCAGCTGCAACGTAGGTTGCGGTGGCGGCCACACCGACAGCAGCGGGCTGCACTGAGTTCCAGGCGAAGGAGATGATGCCCGTGGCGGCGGCGGCAGCCACGGCGGCGGCAGCGAGGGGCTGCGCGCGGTTCCAAGCGGTCGACAGCACCCGGGTTGCGCCGCCGGAGGTGGAGCCGCTCTTGCCCCCGGGGATGGTGAGTGCAACGGGGGGTTCCTGGGGTTTAACAGCCGGAGCGGGGTTCGTCCTGGCAGCGGTAGGCTGCTCGGAGTGCCAAGCAGCGGACAGCACGCCGGTTGGGCCGCCAGCAGCTGAGCCGCTCTTGCCGGTGGAGCCGGTGGAGGGCACGGCGGCCCTGACGGCGGGTGCTTGCTCATCATGCCATGCCGAAGACAGGACGCCGGCGCTGGTGCCGGTAGCGGAGCCGCTCTTGCCGGAGGGGCTCACCAACTCAGGGCGACTAGCCTCAACTGCTGGGGCACTAGGGGCCGCAGCAGCAGCGATCGTCCTAACAGCAACCACCTGCTCCTGGTTCCAGGCTGCAGACAGGACGCCGGCGGCAACACCGGCGGCTGAGCCGCTCTTGCCAACTGGGTCGGCGGAAGCAGCGGGCGACTTAGCAGCCACCGCTTTCTCGTAGTTCCAGGCAGCCGACAAGATACCAGATCCTGCGCCGGACGCAGCGCCGCTCTTGCCGATGGGGTTTGCGGACCCGTCGTGGCGCGGCACAGCTGCTGCGCAGGCCGACTGCTCGTAGTTCCATGCCGCAGAGAGGACGCCGTTTAGGACACCGGACGCGGCGCCGCTCTTACCTACGGGTCCACTCGACGCAGCGGCGGTCAACGTAGCAGGGGCCAATTCCTGTTCGTAGTTCCAGGCCGCGGACAGGACGCCGGATCCAGCGCCGGTTGAAGAGCCGCTCTTGCCAACAGGGTTGCTTGATGTTGCAGCGGCCAACATGACCGGAAGCGCCTGCTCGCAGTTCCAAGCGGCGGAGAGAACACCGCTCCCTGCGCCGGTAGAAGAGCCGCTCTTCCCCACGGGGCCGCTTGACGCAGCGGCAGCGGTAACCATCGGCTGCTCGTGGTTCCATGCGGCAGACAGGATACCGCTCCCAGCGCCTGTGGCAGAGCCGCGCTTGCCAGCTGGGTCTGCAGATGCCGCGTAACGCCTCTCCGCTGCTGCGACAGCGGCCGGCTCATTGTTCCAGGATGTTGACAGGACACCCGCTGCGGCGCCGGTGGCCGCCCCGCTCTTTCCAACAGGGTTAGCAGTTGCGACAGCGGGCTTGGCTACCAGCTTCTGCTCGCAGTTCCAAGATGCTGACAGGGCGCCGGCTGCGCCGCCCATGGCAGCGCCGCTCTTGCCCATCGGAGGCACGGACGAGGAGGTGGAGGGAGCCCTGGCAGCAATAGGTTGCTCGGCATTCCAGGCAGCAGACAGGATGCCGCTTGCGCTGCCAGCCGCAGCGCCGCTCTTCCCCACAGGATTTGTGGGTATAGCGGCAGATGCAAAGAATGCCTGCTCGCGGTTCCAAGCGGCGGAGAGGACGCCGCTCCCTGCGCCGGTAGAAGAGCCGCTCTTCCCAACAGGGTCCGTGACAACGGCCGTTGCGGCGCGTAACGACTGCTCGTAGTTCCAAGCAGCACAGAGGACGCCGCTACCTGCACCGGTAGATGAACCGCTCTTCCCCACGGGGCCGCTCGATGCAGCGGCAGCGGTATCCAGCGCCTGCTCGTAATTCCAAGCTGCTGACAGGACGCCGCTGCCTGCGCCGGTAGCAGACCCGCGCTTGCCAGTGGGGGTGGCGGAAGCAGCTGCGACAGCCTTGGCGGCGACCGCCTCCTCGCAGTTCCAGGCAGTGGACAGGACCCCGGGCGCGGCAGAGGTAGCGGCGCCGCTCTTCCCCAGGTGGGCCACGGCTGCTCCACTAGCGGTGACGGAAGGTCTGACAGCAGCTGCCTGCTCCTGGTTCCAGGCTGCAGACAGGATGCCGGCGGCAACACCGGCGGCCGAGCCGCTCTTGCCAACTGGGTCGGCGGACGCCGCGCCCTTCCTAGCGGCAACCGCCTGTTCACCGTTCCAGGCGGCCGACAGGACACCCGCTGCAACAGCAGCAGCAGAGCCACTCTTCCCACTGGAATGCGCGGACGCCGCGGCCGGGACACCTCTCGGCGTGACAGCGGCAGCGACAGTGGAAGAGGAGTTCCATGCAGCCGACAACATGCCGGCTGCCTCCCCTGAAGCGGAGCCGCTCTTGCCCACAGGGCCGCTAGCAGCTGCTGGCGCCGCCGCCGGGGTGTGCTCCTGTTCGTGAGCAAGAGCCGCCGCGACTGCAGCACCTGCTGCTGCTACGGCGGGTGAGTTCTTGAGCATGGCCATGCCGCGACGGATGGCCAAGATCTCGGCGGTAGCAGCTGCCAGTGTGGAGACGACGGCGATGGCGATGCCAGCGCCTTCTACGGCGTGCAGGATCCCGTGTGGCACGTGCAAGCCAACCTGTGAGGACCCAGGCAAGCGGACAACGGAATGCTGTAAGTTCTGATGCCGCATACTACGCCATGCCGCGGAATGCGGGAGTATCGTAATGCTAACCCATGCAAGGACTCAACCCATATCTTCGGTTCCTATGCTGTTTCGGGCTTGTGAACTCCGCCCCTCGTGTCATGCAAGGTACAACCCCCTCCACGCATGCATTGTATCCTCCCCCCCCCCGCCCCCCCGCACCTTGAAGTGGTGGTGCAGCAGCCCCACCACCACCAGGATGTGCGCCAACACGTCCAGCACGTCGAAGGTGAAGGCGATGAGGAAGCCCAGGAAGGCCTGCCAGTGGCCCTGCGCGCGCTCCTCCATCATGCGCTCATAGTCCTGCGTAAGGTGGAGTGTGGGGGTGGTTGTGGGAAACCGTCGAGGGCAACAAGAGCAGAAAGGTGGAGGAGACACGTGAGAAGAGTCTCGAGCCCTTCGGTCACTGTTACCATTTGTTTGTGTTATATTTTCTTAGTTCACCCTATTACAAAAGCAGGCTTCATTCCTGCGATTTCATCGCTGGACCTCACAAACGATGCGCACCCCCCTGCTTGCCGTTCCCTCCCTGCCGCCAGCCCACCTGGTGCGCCAGGTGCGCCACGAACAGCGCGCCCACCGCCGGCAGCGCCACCATGGCGCCGCGGCCCACACGCGCCAGAAGCTGCGGACTCAGCAGCCGCTGGCCCGTACGGCTGCCCAGCAGCTTGTGAAGGAGCTTGTCGAACAGGGACAGCGCACCCGAGGAGCCGGCACCATGGGCGGCCGCGGCGCCGGCGCCGTGGTCTGCGGCACGGCTGGCGGCCTTGACAGCTGCGGCGGCGGCGGTGCGCTCGCCCGCTGCTGCGGCTGTGGGCTCCAGCAGGCGGCCGGCTAGCGCCTCAGCGGCATGGGCGCCCACACGCGTGCTACCGTGGGACAGCGCTTGCTCGCCTGCGAGGGTCAAGCAATATGTGGGGAGTAGGATGGCTTGGAGGTGGTGTGTTCCGGCGGTGGCTGGTTACGTTAAGGAAGCCGCAATTGCATTGGGAATGCCGCTACGTTCCCAATGGGGCGCGGTGCATTTTCAGGTAGGACAGCCACCCAGCGACAGGCCAGCAACCCCGAGCCCCAACAAACTGGCGCCAAACCCATAGGACTTACCGAGTCGCTCCGCAACGCGCTCTCCAGCTCGTTCTGCCAGCCGCTCGCCCACTCGTCCAGCGACCGCCTCTCCCACGCGCTCTGCCACCCTCTCGCCCACGCTCTCCGCCACCCTTTCGCCTACACGCTCAGCGACCCGCTCGCCCACGCGCTCTGCCATTCGCTCACCGACGCGCTCCGCAACCTTCTCGCCCAGGTGCTTCGCAACCCGCCGTCCTGCTTGTCCCGCGACCATCTCGCCAGCGCGCTCGAGGATGCCCTCGCCCATTCGCTCCGTCAGGCGCTCGCCGGCCCGCTCAGCCAGCCTTTCCACAAGCCGCTCCCCAGCACGCTCACCGATGCGCTCGCCAGCCTTTTCCGCAGCGGACGTGAGGACCTTGCTTCCCACATGCTGCATGACCTGCAGGAAGACGGCAGCAACAAGCGAAATTGGGTGTTGCTACCGACACCGCTTATGGGGTACTCATAAGCGCCAGCAAGAGCAGATAGTGGTATGTGGTATACACGTTGAGATTACATCCTTGTAAACCTCAGCGCTTTTCCGCTGGTGCAGAAACAACCGACATCGAACGAGGGTTGACTGCTATAGAAATAAACGCAGAAGTTGCATAGGTTTGATTGTTGTTTGCGTTGCAGTTGAGAAGACATGGTCCTACCGCCGACCCAGACGATGTTAGACCCTTAACCCCTAGCAACATGCAACATGTCCGACCGTCACCTGCTGACTGGTAAGGCGCTCCGCGACCGCCTCCATAAACTTAAAGGCAGACTTCTCCGCCGCGCGATGTTGCACTTGGTGTACCGCGCCTTCAACTCCACCATGGTGAGCATGATCGCTGGCATGGTGACCCTCCTTATGTTCGTCAACAAGCCCAAGCTCAATCTTGTCTTGGCTAGGACTGGTTACGTCGCCATCTGCTGCTTGACTGTCTCCCCCGTGGTGGCCTTTTGCGGTACCGGCAGTATCTGGTCTCGGCACCGAAGCGTTGCGTTTCAGGATACACCTCCGCGAACCAGGAAACAGCACGCGCGGTGATCCCTGTCCTAACTTGAGGGTGGGCTTGCGCCCTGCAGCACGGCAAGAAACTGGCTGCAGCAACATGGCGCCCTAATGCTTCCCGGAACCAGTATATTGTTTAGCCAGGCGCTCCTTCGAACCAACAAACCTAAAAGGTGACAGGTACTTTTGCTAGACGTCGGTGCAAGACGACAAAAAGGCTAGACGTTCATCCGGTACGGCATTTGCCATAGATTGATGCGGATTGCGCAGGAGCTTCCACTCCTTCCAGCTTCCACATCCCCCCTGATGCACCTTACGTGCGGACATGCGGAACACGTCTTTAAGACAGCCAACCCGCCCTCTGCTACCGACATGATAATAGTTACAGCGCACCCTTGCATGCCTGGCGAACACCAGTTGTTGCACAACCGTGCAAACCGCGTTTTGCGCGTACACCCCTAAAGTCACAACCAAGTGTGCCTGCAGAGCTCGCCGCCCAAGCCACAAACGTGTTTCTTCTCTGCCAGCAACGAAGGCGGCATGTCAACCAACCACCAACCACCTTTGACCCATGCAAGGAAAACAATGTCCGCGGAGAATCGCCTACGCGCGGTGCTAGTTGACGGCAGGTTGCTGATCACATGCGCCTGGATCCCCCCCACACCACTAACGGGGATACACCCCATGTCAGCGCCGCAAATGCCTCCCTATTACCTTGCTGCCAGCACCTCGCGCCTCACTCCGCCCCAGCCTAAGCCCAGTCTATTATTCCGGAACAGGGCTATTCAAGACCAACGCAACCTCATATCCCGTCGCTCCAAGCCAACCCTTCAAACCCATCGCACTCCTTCTGCCCCGGACAGCCCTCACCAATGCAACCGAATTAGACCTTCAGCATCGCCGGGGCCCTCCCATACTTCCGGCAGCACCCGCCACCACCACCCCTGCCGCCTACAGCCTGCTGCTGCTGGCCTTGGAGAACATGCGGCGGATGACCACCACCTGCAGCAGGCTCACCACCACCAGCACCCCCGAGCGCAGCAGCGCGTAGCCCAGCACCCGCCGGTTGGTGGACTCCACCGTCATGCGGTGCCGCCGCTCGCGCCAGTAGAGGTACTGCTGCGTGGCGCGCAGCTGCTGCAGCTGGGCATCCACCTGGTGCACGTAGTGCCACAGGGACTGCAGGGGGGGGGAGGGGGAGGGAGGGAAGGAGGAGACGCGAGGATGGAGTTGGGGTTGGAGGGGTAGGTTTCATGTATGCATAGGGCTTAGGCAACGCTACAGCGCAACTGCAGAGGCTCTAGCTTGTGCGGAGAGCCTAGCCTGTGTGGCCGGCAACATGGCACCAAGCGCTTTACTGTGCATTTGAAGAGCTTGCGTCCATGTCATGTCGCTGTTGGAACCTCGTGTGGCCCCCTTCCGTGCCAAAACCCGGTCAACCGCCAACCGTCAGCAGCTGACACCCAACGCGGAGCTTGCAACTCCCTGCTTTCCTCTATCCCAACTGCTTTTCCATAAACAGTGGTTTTGGTATACCTCAGACCCCCTCTTCCCCACCTGCGCGTCGTGCTCCTTGACGTTCTCCGCGTGCGGGTCCGCGTGCCCCACATGCAGGTCCCACAGCACCTCCCGAGACAGCACGTAGCGACTGCCCGTCTTCTCCTGGTTCAGACGCAGGCAGAAGCGGTACTTGCCCGTCTCGTACGGCACCAAGTGGAACCTGCGGGGGTACGGCAGGGGAGGTGAAGGGGGCGGGAGCGTGAGTGGAGGGGAAAGAAGGATACCACATGTGTTGGATGAGAGTGGCAGACAAGATGATAAGCTGGGTGGAGGGGGGCCGGGAGGGAAGAGGAAAGGCGCGGCCGGGACATTGCTAGCTGGAATGATAGCAGGGTTTACGCGTTGGAGAGATGTCAGGCGTGCCGTACATGTATAACAACAGCTAGACGATACGCGTGTGGGGAAGAGGGCGTTGTGGTGCAGAGGGACGTACATGCACGGGCTTGTAAGCTGGATAGAGGGGCATTTAGGGGGGGCTTGCTGGTGACTTTTGCAGGGCAGAAACCGCATTGCGCCGGTGCATGCAGGAAGATGGTCAAACTGGGTTTGACTTGACCGCACGTAAGCTGCATAACAACCGCAGGGTAAGGCTTGTTCACATGCATGAAGGCAGGGCCCTGCGGACAATCTGACACGTGCAAGCTAACCCACTTCCCCCAGCCCATCCAACACCCCGAGCCCCGACGACTTTTATCTAGTAGTGCTTACTTGGCCTCCGTCTCCCCGATGGTTTCATGCACGCGGGTGCCACTTGGCGACGTAATAGTCAAATCATACCTAGCCTGCAGCACGGGAAAGTAAAGTCAAGCAGCGACCAGGGCCCCTTGAGGGGCACCGTCATACCCCAAAGGACCACGCCTTCCGAGACATGCTTATTCTCAGTGGCTGGGGTTGTTAGGCATTAATACGCCTAAGCCTTTATGTGTGCGCGAGCAAGCAAACGGGCAGTTGCATGCCAACCTGTAGGGCGTACAGGTCCGGGAGCGCCACAAAACTTCCGTAGAAAGGCTCATACATGTTCATATCATAATGCATGCACTCATCGTATCTAAATTTCAGTTTAATCGCAGTCGCTTGACCCAGAAGTAAGTAGATGCACAACAAGATTGGAAGCCGTGATAGGCCCATTGTAGAGAGTCAACTACTTTATCTATGTATATTTCCTGCGCGTTGTAAGTGTGCGAGGTTGTTTCTGTGTGGTGTATGTCAAGGCTCTGAGGTTCAATGAGGTTCAATGACTTCACCAACTTCCAAGATTGCGATCACCGGCTTAACTGCCTCCACGCATATACAAGCCGCATAAAACATTCTTCAAAGTTTACACAAATACATGATACAAACCGCGACAGCCTCTTTTCGGTCAAGAACATCTTTCACAGCCAACAGGTCTTGTTTGCACTAACGCGTAGCGAATGGTTTGTGGCTTGCGGGGAAGTCCCCTCTGCCAAGTACGCACTCTTAATGCTCCAGCGCCAGTTTCAGCTGGTGGTAGCGCCAGGAGCGTTGTCGTCAGCGCTGTGAAGCAGCGGTCAGGGGAGCTGCGCAACGAGTCGCACCGACGGGGTTCTAGATATGAGCCATGCGAGCCGTCTACAAGCTCGCTGGCTGATTTTGGCGCTCGTGTGACTTTGGAGCGGCTGTATACCTGGAATGCGTTGGATGGAATACCCAGTGGAGCACCACAGGGAGCATTTCTGTTGTCGGTCAACGACCGTCCGCAACGCGCACGCAACCAGGATCGCTCGGAGGACTACTTTGCTAACGTTGGCGATGCCATCCGCTGCTTGCGAGAGGATGTCCCCTTACTGTTTCAGCGAGAGCTGAATTGTAAGTTCCAATACCTGTATGTGTGTTACTAGGGCTTGTCTAGTAGCTTTTTGCACCTGAACTGCTCGGGGTTGTGGTTTACGATGTCAATTGCAACAGTGGCTAAGCTGTGTTTATGGTGCCATATGCAGATGGCATTTACCGGGACGACATCGTCTTCAGAGACCCGCGCAATTGCTTTAAGGGCATGAAAAACTACCAGCTAATTTTCTGGTCCCTGAGGTTCCACGGGAAGCTCTTCTTCAGGTCGCTGTACGTGGATGTCCAGCGGATATGGCAGCCGGAGGACGGGGTTATCAAAATGCGCTGGACTGTCCACGGCATTCCGCGCGTGCCGTGGGAGGCGGAGGGTACCTTCGATGGCATATCGACGTACCGGCTTGACAGCCACGGCAAGATCTACGAGCACTGTGTCGATAACGTCCTCCTGCGCGACCCCCCCATGGCCACAAATCCGCCTCTCCTAGCGGGGTTGAACCTGCAGCCGCTGGTGCCCTCACAGCAGCCCGTACCAGGTGGGTGCTCAGGTGGGGGTCAGGGCTTGGGGCCCTGGGTGGGAGCTGAGGCATGGTGCTGTAAGTAAGTAAGCGTGCCGGTAGGCCGGAGTGCTCCGCGTCAGCCTTTGACATTAGCGCCGATGTTCCTTTGTGGGGACGGCCTCCCCCAACTCTTGCGCCTGAAAGGTATAGGAATCAGCGCATTTTTGACCACCTAACCATTTTGCTGCCGCCGCCCTAAACACTGCACAGGCGCTTGGTGCCAGGGCGCGGCGGAGGCGGACGCGCAGTGGGGCTCCTACGTGCATCGCGTGGTGGCGTCCGCGCTGCAGGGGCTGGAGCAGGAGCCCGAGCCCACCGCCGCGGTGGCGGGGATGCCACTCAGCCGCCCGCACTCGCATGCAGCAGCAGGGGGGGCAGCGCACGCGGCGTCGCACACCGTGCATGATGGCAGGGCGGCGGCGCGGGGGCAGCAGCTGCAGAGCTGGAGCAGCAGCAGCGGCGCTGGCGGCCGCAGCAGCGGAGGCGGGAATAGCGGGTTCGGCGGGAATGGGGGAGGGGGGCGGGAGGGCGGGGTGGTGTGCGTGCGGGATGGCAGCAGGTCGTTATGGAATGGCGGCACGGAGGATAGGACTGTCCGGCGACAGCTGTGGGGGCGGAGGTGAGGTGCCGTTGGCAGCCATTGTGGCAGCAGGAGCGGATTGAAGGAACCCACGAGTGGCACCATGTGTTGTCACCACGTCATCAGCTGCGGTGGGCTGGCGCAGTTGGGCAGGAAAGGGGTGCCGATGGGGATTGACTCCGCTGCATGGTTGGCAATGCCCAGTTGGTCTGCAATCGAGCCAGCATTCCCTCCTTGGTTTTAGCACCCCGGTGTATCTTATTCGTACGCGGGCCACCTCTGCTGGGGTCGAAGGTGTGGGCGTTGACAAGAAGGTTGTATGGGAGGTTGGGCAAGTTGTATGTTCTGGTGAGACGTGCATGTTGGTTAGGGTTAGGGCTGGATAGATGAGTCGTGACGTCCCTTATTTTGAAAGAGCGAGCATGCATATGTACGTTCCCCCGGAGGTGTGCTTAGCGCAGTCTACTATTGTAGAGGGAGTTCTGCTACATAGGGGAAGGTGCCTGGGTGCCGAGAGTTTCAAGGTTTGGTATTTCCGTTCAGTTATGAACGCACCGGGGAGGGCTGTTGGGGAAAGAGAGGAGCCAGCTCGTCTCTGGCTTGTAGCGCCTAGCTGCACGTGTTTCTCCCCGTTTTGTATTTGGTCTCCTGGCGTGGGCTGGAAACAGCTGTACCCAACGGATGCTGGAGGTTTGCGAGAGGTTTGGGGTTGCTGCGGCTGATGAAGTGCATACCCTTGCATAACCTCAAAATAACTGTGCAGAGATGTTGCCTGAGTTTGCATATGTTCGTTGTTCTGCGTTATTTGACTGAGTTGGGAACCTTCGTAAGTCCTATTTCATTTATGCCACGTCCCGGCGCTAGTAGCCACACATATGTAGCGCCACCAGGGTGCGAATGTGGCAGACGCTTGTATCACTTGAAGCCGTGTTGGCGGGCGCTGTTTGAGGGATCGCTTCTTGCGTCTATGGGTGCTGTTAGGGTGGCCGACAAGCAGCAGGTACGGCAAGGTGTGAACCCTTGCAATGCAGGGTGTACGATGGAATTGTTTGGTGGCCGGGTGTTGACGGTTGTGGTGTTGGTGGTTGCCCATTAACTGGGTGGTTGTAAACATCCAGTTTAATTGAAAAATGCTTCTCGTCACGGATGGTCCCCTGGCCCAACTGGCTTACTTCTCGTAATGCTGTCGACCAACAACCATCCTCCATTCGCGCCGACATGCAACCGTTACAAGACCGGCTCCACTTGAGCCCACAACTCCCACATTCATACCATCACCACCACCGCCCGCTTCCCTCCACGTCAGCAGCCGCCCGCCCCCTCACTGCCGCATCACCGCATTGGTGCTCAGCGAGGAGCACAACGTGCCCGGCACCCAGCCGTTGTTGAAGGCGTAGGAGAAGCTGCCCACGTCGCCCTCGCGACTGGGGTTCCAATCCACCGGCCGCGGCCCGCGTGCCGCCAGCTGCGCCTGCCTGTCCTCCTCAAGCAGTCGGAACACAAGCGCCAGCAACCGCCCCTGCGCCAGCTCCGGAACGTCTTTGGCCTCCTTGAAGAGCTGTAGCTGACCTGGGGGTGGTGGTGGGTGGTGGGGCAGGTACATATTCATGTTACAGCAGCACATCAGGTGGCCGTTGGAGCCTTGTTGGAGGGCACAGCTGCTCCGTGGCCTTCTTCGCTGCGCTGCAATGGACGAGCCCTTCCCGCCCTTCCGCTTCTCCCACTCACCGTTAGCCAGGTAGGCGACGTGCGAGGGCCAGAACTCGAGGCCGTCAAAGATGTGAGTGGCGTAGATGATGGTTGACCCACGGGTCGCGCACTCCTCCTTCAGGAAGCGCATCAGGTCGGCTCGCCCTAACACGTCTAGGTCCACCGTAATCTCGTCCAGCAACAGCACCTGGCGGAATACATTGTAAGAAGTTAGAAGAAAACGGGGGCAAGTCAAGGGGCCAGACAATAGGGGTGGGGGCAGCGGGTCAGGGTCGAGGTAGTCGCAAGCAGTACGTGGAAGAAAGCGAAGACAGAGAGGGCGCTAACGGATGATGGATTGTGGCATGAAAGCGGGTGGTGGGTTGGGAGACGGTCTTCTGGGCCAATCCAACTCTATGACATATACGTTTTTTTTGCCGACGCCCTAGAAGATAAAGGTCCTTGATTGCGCAAGCGCGCATAGCAACACTACCCGTACTCACCTTGAAGGGTTTCAGCAGACCCACACAGATCTGCACTCGTCGGCGCTGGCCCTCCGAAACCGTGTGCATGCGCCAGCTGGGGTCAATGTCCAACACCTTGATCAGCCGGGCCTTGCGTTGGGGATCCACTCCAGGGATGGAGTCAATCATGCGCGACGCGGGGAAGTCGCCCGTGAGTGGAATGCTGGTGCCCGCGAACGCAATGTCGCGCTGCCAGTTGCCGCCAATGTACGACAGATCACCGCTGACGGTTAGCTGCGTGTCGTGGAAGGGCGGCCGGCCGAGTATGCGTACGGCATCTTCTGAGATCATGTGCTTGCCGCCTAGGATCTTGAGGAAAGTGGTCTTGCCGGCGCCGTTGGCTCCCAGGAGTAGGCAGGTGGAGCCCGGGGGCAGGCTGAAGGAGAGGTCTCGCAGCAAGGGCGGGAGGCCGGGTATGGGTCGGCCGTCTGAATGCATGGGGTGAGGGGTTGGGTGGAGGGTGGGAAGGCGGAGCAGGGATTTGACGTGTTGGCTGGAACGGGATGAGTTCGGAAGGAAGCCGGAATGTGACAGGAGGGGCGGACAAGGGTGCAAGGTTGGAGTGCATCAGGCGCGCTGGCATGGAAGCATAGCTAGGTGGAGGCAAAGACGGCATATTGCTGTGATGAAGTGTCACGACCTGTCGTTCACCATCAGGCCAAAGTGACAGTGCGATGTACTGTGTGCCAACATACCGCATCAAGCGATGACACCGTACGAAAACAACAGCCTAGGCGCCCGCCCAACACATCTATTCGCCCTGCGTCCCGCACATGACGTCCGCCACCACCCCCTCTCCCTGCGCACTCCGTGTCTCCCCCACACCTCACCTAAGCCAGGATAGGCGAAGTTGAGGCCGCGAACCTCTACGCTGGCAACCGTCCCTGCCGGTGCGCTAGTGCTCGCAACTGGCTGATCGGTTGCATCAGATGGGGGGCGCGGTGGCTCCTCCTGGACACACTGCGGCTGCTTGCTGGCCGCGGCTTTTAAGCGCGCGAATGGACCATCGGTAGGCAGCTCCGATGTCACCGCTGCTGCAAGTCCCTTTCCATTTGGGTTTGTTATAGTCACCGGGATTGGCATTTTAAGACAGAGGGATAGGTTTTGCAGCAACGAGCGTTCAGTTCAGGTGCGATATTGCAAAATCAGATTCCCTTCGGCGCTAAGGTTGTAATTATACTTGATGTGATCAAGTAGCGAATGTAAAATAAGTATGAATAATGAATGCCGCCTTGCCACCAATTGAGACCATGCACTAAGCTGTGGCCCAGAACTGTTTGTACGGATAACCACCGAAGCTCAGCATGAAGCTCAGCACGCATTAAAGGTTACAAAACTTGGCTGTCATGCCTGTTTACACAGATTCGCAAGGAACCTTCTATTGATTAGCTAACGCTTTCGGCGTAGTTCCTCACGTAAGACAGCCCCGCTGCGTTCCGTGAAACGCATGTCTCGCGTCTCACATACAAACACTAAACTGCAACGCCATCCCGCTTCGGAGCAAGCATTCTACCGCCGCCATTCCACGGCGCTGCTGCCGCGGGTCGCAAGCTGCTAGTAGTACTGCTGTTGCTACTATTCCCATGGGCAGCCGCCTTGCTGCGGTCTTGATCACCCCCTGTCACCGCAGGCATCACCGGCGCCTTCAAAGGCAGCGATGGCGCTACTAGTGTACTTCTCGCTGAGCTAGCAGCGTGTGCCACCATGCCTCCACCGTTTCCACACTGTGGCCGTCGCTGCGCAGCAGCTTCCCGTGCACGAGGGCCCTTCGCACCAACCCAATCTCCATCCTCTTCTGCCTCCCACGCACTAGCTAGGTCAGCTGCCGCAGCCTCTGCTGCGGCAGCCGCGGCCACAGCAGCCACAAGGCTTCCGCTGCCGCAAAGGCCCTCTCCCTCGCCGCCTTGATCACCCGCCCTTGGTCCCTCCCTGCAGTCATAGCCAGCTGCTGCGGAGCTGGGAGCTGCATCTGTAACAGCACTTTCCGAATCTGCAACGAGGAGATTCTCCCACCGTCCGACGCTGCCGCTGCTGTTGCTGCCACTACTCCAGCTGAATTGGGGCCCGGGAACCGCCATGGCCGCATTCTTTCCTAAACCCAATGATGCGGCGGGTGCCGGCGGCTCGCGTTGTGCCTGGAGAGTGGCTGGGAGTGAGGTTGCGGACCCCTGTGACGGAGCACGACCGTGCTCCAATGGGGGATGTGGCGGTGGAGGCCCCGGTGCAGCACCACCTCGGGACCCTGCCGGCGTCGCGACTCGCGCAGGCGTCCTCTCTGCTGCAACGGTAGCAGCTGCGGCTGCCACACTTTGGGAGCCTCTAGCCGCTGTGGCTACGGCTGCGGTCAGTGTGCCAGCCTGGGTCCTTGGTATGCAGTTGACATGCTCTGCTACATGCGGCATCACAGGCGGCGGAGCGCGGTTGTCCGCGGGCATGGAGCTGTGTCGGTTGAGTGCGGGTAGGGGTCCTGCAGGGCGACGGAGAACAGCACCGCCGGGACTGGAGGCCGCGGAGGTGGTTACGGAGCCGGATGCTGAGCGCAGGGGTCGCAGCGCTGGCTGGGGCTGCGGTGGTTGCTGCTGCTGGGGCTGATGACTGCCTGGGCTGCTCTTGGAGGTCCCTGAAGAGGGGCTGGGGCTGGCGGTGATTCCGTAGCTAGAAGGAGCCTGGGTTGTGGAGCCTGGGTTGACAGAAGTGGCAGCGCCGCCGCCGCCGCTGCTGCTACAGCGGGCACGGCTAGGGCTGCTGCTTGTGTGGCTTGTGATGCTGGTGCAGGGCGTGAATGCGCGGGAGCTAGCTGCGCCTGTGCATGTAGATCCGCCGCGCGCTTGGGGCAGCTTGCCCTGTCGCTCTAACCGACGGAGGCGCACGCGGAAAGCCTGCTTGGGTGAACATGGAAGATTGGCGGTTAGCGGGGCCAGCGGACAGGTGGACGGGGAGCAGGAGGTGGATGCGGACAGGTGCGGCTTCAGCTGAGGAGGTTTCGCTGTTGCTACAAAAAAGCATTCACGCATTTAATTGCTCCGCTAAACAATCAAACATCGGACAAGGCACACGAGACACAAACACACACGACCAGTTTTCGCGGCTTTTTTCCTTAACACACATGACTACCGGTACACTTGCAAAGTTCACGTCAGGCCGGTTTATCGCGGCAACCCATGCTAACCCACCTCCCTACACCGCACCCACCTCCGCTGACTGCTGCATGGTGAGGGTGACGCCTGCTGCCCTGCCAGCAAAGCGACTGGACACGTTCACAGCTAGCTGGTAGGATGCATGCGCCGGGTGCCACTGCTGCAGGTGCTCCTGCGCGTTGTACCAACAAAACAAGTGGGGTTACCGTAAGCGGCTTTCAGTCTAGACGTGGCATGTGCAGTCTTTTGGTAAACATTCCAAAGCAGGCACGGACAGCAACACCGCATGCAAGGGCCCACTAGTGCCACATGTCTCATATGCTTGACCAACCAGAGGCTTTCCTTTGCTTGGGCCGCCTGTAAGGCTCCAACTGCATTAGCACTCACCTGCTCCACCGCACGGTTGTAGTAGGCCATTGCGAGCTGCGAGGTGACCCCTGGGTCGGCCCGCCGCAGCTGTGGCAACGCCTCCAGCAGCTGCGCCTGTGGCAGCCCCTGCAGCAGCAGCTTCTCTAGCGACGCTAGCGACACCTGCAGGCGGGTGCAGCGTCACGGGCCTTCTTACACTCCGGAAATGGACACGGAACCGTGCTGGGCCTACACCAGTGCATGCAAGGTCCGTTTAGCAAGGGAAACTTGCGCCGACCCTAGCTCGGCTAGACACCAGAAATCGTCTAAAAGTCATGTCAAAGTCCTCCTGTCAGACCCTTTCCATCCTACTGTCATGCACCCACCTGCAGCTCCCGCGCCGCCGCCAGTACAGCCTGCGACGCATAGGACAGTGCCGGCCCGTGCTGCCCTAGGCTGCTGCAACATGCAGCCATGTTAAGCAGTGTGGCCGCTGTAGGACCCGGCACACACGCGTGTACGGCACCTAACCCGCTGGCCCCGCTGCTAGATCCGCACGTGGATGCGCCCCCATGTGTAGAGTCACCCACGTCTTCCCCGTTACGTGCATCGCCTCCGCTGTCGAGGCTAGCTGCGGCATTTGCTGCTGCTGCTGCTGCTGCCGTCTCCAGGCCCGCGGCGCGTTGAAGATGCTCCAGGGCCTTAGCAGGCTGCTGCAGCCGGCGGTGGTAGCAAGCCAGGTTGTTCAGCGCTAAAACCTGCGGAACGGCAAACAGACGATTAAAACTAGGCGGTTGGAAACGGTTTGACGCAATTGACATGGACCAGATGTCCTGGCACCCCACGCCCTGACATCCTGCTGATTAGGCAACACTCATTGCACACCAAGGCCATGCTTGGCCCACATTTCCTCCCCTCCATCAGCCAGCCATTCAACCACCGCAACCTCCCTCGCACCTGCAGCTCCCGCTGCTTATCCGGTCGGCCCTGCAGCGGCCCCCCCGGCCCCGCCAGCAGCATTGCCTTATCCAGCTGCTGCCGTGCCTCCTCGTCCCGCCCCGCCTCCATCATCGCAACCGCGCAGCCGTTGTAGCTCCGACACAGCCGCTCCGCCGCCGCTAGAACCGCTGCCACGTCATGTCGGTCATGCGACATGCAGCCCGACCCAGATCCCGCGCCTAAACAACTAGGGTGCTGCGATTCCGGTGAAGCGGTTGCCGCTGCTGCCGGCATCGTAGTCGTCAGCAGCAGCTCTTGCAACCTGGCTTCCAGCTGCTGCACATCTTGCAGCAGCTCCCGGGCGCGTCGTGAGGCAGGCTGGGATGTGGGGCGGCAATGGCTGGTGGGCTGCGTGGGGACGGCAACCACTGCAGGGGAGGTTGTTGTCGGGGTTGGGTTAAGACACGCCGTCTGCATTGTCTTCATAGACGTCCTGCGTGCAATGCTGGCAGCGCCATTGCTGCGGCCACTTATGCTCCGGTCGCGCATGCCCGGGCAGAGCACCGACATTCGAGCGGCCGTGCTGCTGCTGCAGCTGCCACTGCCGCCCGCTGTGTTGGTGGCAGTAGAAGCCAACGGGGCCACGGCTGAGGAGCGCCTACTAACGGATGAGGACGAACTAACCGCCCGGGCTGCCTGGGAAGGGGCTGGATTGGGCCTTGGCTTTGCCGCAGGGGTCGCAGCCGAGCCCACTGCGCCGCCGCCACCGCTTGTCCTGCCAGTGCTGCTGCTGGTGCTGCTTACAGCGCTGGTGCTGCTGCCAGCGTCACTGTGTGAGTAGCTTGGAAGGCGAGCCGGGGGAGGGTGTGGTGGTGATGAGTGGGCCGCGGTTTGAGCTGTTGCTGGTACTGCTGCTGCTGTGCCCTGTTGTTGCTGCTGCTGACGCATGTGGTATGGGGCCTGATGTCGGTTGGGATGGGCTGGGAGGGCATCTTGTTCCGTTGATTGCAGTATTGTTGGCAATGGGCTGCTGAACGTGTCAGGATGCCCGCTGGCGCTGCTGGGCACAGGTGCCGGGCCAAGCCCCGTGGCATTGGCAAGGAGCGGCGCCCCGGCAGGTCTAAGCAGAAGGGCAGAATTGTACGCAGGACAGGAGGCGGGCATCGCCGGGCTCTCGTGCTTTGGATGTACGAGGGGTGTGGCGCCAAACGACGGGGCCCAGGGTCCAACCGTGGGAAGTCGGGTTTCGACATCCTGCGATGAGCGCGCCGTCGACCCAACACTAGTAACAGGGGCAGCTTCCACGCCGGCGAGTACATCCTGAAGGAAAGCCGCCTCTGCCTCGTCTAAAGCAAGTTCCATGCTAGAAGCCCCCTGACAGACAGCCTCGCCGATGCAAGCTAAACGCAATATTTGACAGTAGTTACGTGAGTAGAGTTGTACTGACGTGGTGCACTACGCTCGATGCCTTAGAAATAAACAACGATAGCATTGACATTCGAGACGTCAGTAGATTAATGGAGTTGTACATCATCGCGTTATATTCCTTCAATTTACTACAAGCGTAAACGCCTAACAAATCTAAAGCGGCTTGGTAGGAAATTTTGTTGCCAACTTACGTAGCCATAGCAATCGCATGACCCAGATCCGCAACCGATACATCAAGCTCACTCTGACCCCTGCTGGAACAGTAGCATTAAGAAAACTTCAGCACATAGGTTTCCGTATGCCGTACATGATGGAAGCTTGGCAGGATTACAGCTTGCTGTGGATCATACAAGAGAACACGTGAGGACTTTCAGGATGGCGAGGTGGCCCTTAGGTGCTGCAGGGGCAAAAAGGGAGTCTGTATCTTGATGGGTAATTGACGCCCGTGAGCATATGAGCAAGCCAGAGCCGCCAGGGAAACGCCATACAGCTCAAAGTGTCTCATGAGGGTGTAATAGGAGGTATTGGAATGGAGCGGCCAAAGCAGCATGGGCGATTCGTCCAAAGGGCATACATGGTGGCATGGTGGCTTTGGGTTATAGAGTGGGCTACTAGCAACTAGGAGGTCACGATCAAGGGGTCTAACTCAAGATTATTTACTCAGATAGAATCCACGAGGTGCGTCTGTTAAGGAGAAACCATGAACGTGTAAACTGTTCATGTCCGTATCCGTACTTGGATGTCCCCATACATAGATCATGGTTCGCAGCTGAATTACTAACCTATCGTTTTCATTTATGCATGCCTATAGCGTAGCACCAATATACAAGGAGAAGGCGTGACCACTTTTCTATATTAACCAGCGGATTATCAGCGTCTTTGGCTAGGCCTCCCGTAAGGGAGACCCGTGCCTATACATTACTTATATAATTAGACTTAGTTGCTAGAAGTCTGGGTGACACCTGAAGCCGTGTAAAGCAAAGTTGCTTACTGTTTACGAAGCGAATAAGTTACAATGTCGAAGGCGGAGTCAGTCAAGGTACATATCGAGATCAAGCATGAATTTGTGCCACTCTTAAATACACGCGGCTAGATTGGCTGGACTTCTGCATTGTGCAGGTGGTGGTGCGTTGTCGGCCTCTTAACTCTAAGGAGAAACAGGATGGTCGAGAGCGTATCGTTGAAATGGATGTGGATGCCGGTCAGGTCAAGGTGGGTGCAGACGTGCCTCTCTGTTTCAGCGACTGCATGTATGCCAGGGCCTTAAACTCTTGTACTTCTGCATGTGCAGGTCCGCAACCCGAAGGCGGACTCCAGTGAGCCTCCAAAGGCGTTTACATTCGATCAGGTATGCGTCATGTACGCTTGCACAACCGAAGGGGCGCTTGCGGGGATGTGAGCATGTTGCGCTCCTCACCTCTTAGGGGCAACGCATCAGTAAGCACAAAAGCTTGCATAACCATCTGCCGTGGGGTTGCTCGGGGCACAGAGCCTATCCATGAGGAAATACCTAGGACCCAGATGGCTTGGTGCTAGGGTGCAGCCATCCGCACCGCAGGCAGACACCCGCCGTTTGGATGGGGTGATGTTAGGTAGCATCCCTCTGTAGGTGGACTCAGCGTTGCTGTTCCCCATCTATCTCTCCTCCCGCACACCTTGAATTGACTCGTCTTGCGGCGGCCATCTGACCCCATACTGTTACCCGTTTTGGGTCGGCTGCAGGTGTACGACTGGAACTGCCAACAACGCGATGTCTTCGACATCACGGCACGCCCGCTCATCGATTCAAGCATTGAGGGCTACAACGGTGAGACATGGGTCGCTGGGGAAGGTTGTGTTGCGGATGAGGCTTCACAGCACGGAAGAGGTACCCTGCGCCGCTGATGCGGCCAACCGTCATGATGCCGTATTTGGCACGATAGTACACAGCAGCTGCTCAGCGGCGGCGACGCAGCAAGGCAGCGTTGCGCCAGCTTCAGTAGTGGCCGACGCAGTTGGCATGGTTCAGCGTATATCATGCGCAAAACATGGAGTCTAGGCGTGATGCTCCACAGTCAGGTGTTGCCATCATCCACACTGCACGGCGCGCGCTCTCTACCAGCCGCAAAGCGGATTGCTGTAATGTGTCGTTCCAGCGTGTTCCGTGTGCGTGGCAGCCGCCACACCAGGGAGAGAGAGGGAGTGTGTTCCGTTGCCATAAGATTGTCTCAGGTTGACTCCCATGTAGAGCAGATACCCATGACTTCCGCCTTGGTGCAGCCATGGCAGCTGACCGCCTGCCCGGTACCCGCACACCGCACAGGCACTATCTTTGCGTACGGCCAGACGGGCACGGGCAAGTCGCACACCATGGAGGGCAAGGATGAGCCGCCTGAGCTGCGCGGCCTGATCCCCAACACCTTCCGCTACGTCTTCGAGATCATTGCACGCGACAGTAAGTGGGTTGCGGCTGCGCAGCTGTGCGGAGGGAATGGGAAAGGGGTTGTGCTGCGATACCCCGCTGTTCGCCCTGCTTGGTGTACTTTGCTTGCTAGCGGTTGGACATCCTGTTAGAATCCTTCCTCGTAACTATCTGTGTACCAACGGCCTGGCTTGGCCTGTTTCGCATCGTAGGTGGCACCAAGGAGTTCCTTGTCCGCGCCAGCTACCTGGAGATCTACAACGAGGAGGTACGGGCACACGGGCCTGGCGCCTTGAGGACGCCGCCCCTTGCGTAGTCATGCTTGCTGCGTGCGGGTCCGTCATGCCTAATAGGGTAATAGCTATACGACAGTCGCAGCGCAGACCAGCATGGATTGGGTGATATCCTTCCGTGTGCGTCAAGCTCATGCGGCCTGCTCTGCCCGCAGGTGCGCGACCTGCTGGGCAAGGACCACACCAAGAAGATGGAGCTGAAGGAGAGCCCCGACCGCGGCGTGTACGTGAAGGACCTCTCACAGTTCGTCTGCAAGAACTACGACGAGATGTTCAAGGTCCTCAAGGTGGGCCCGGTGCTTGTGCTGTGGGACACATGGCTGGTGGTGGTGGTGGGGGAACAAGGGGCTCCGCTGAGGCTGCGCGGAGCTGCAGCGTGAGGCGTGTCAAACCATGGGTTAAGGAGGGGCACCCTGACGCTTGTGCTTTTGCCTTTTTCGGTCGTCGAGTCTGCGTCGAGAGGCATTCTTGTTGTCCGCGTGCCTCTTGAGCTATGTTGTTGACTCGGCTTTACACCCTCACCTCTCCTCCACCTTCCCTCCACCTCTCCAGGCCGGCAAGGACAACCGCCAGGTGGGCGCCACGCTGATGAACCAGGACTCCTCGCGCTCGCACTCCATCTTCACCATCACCATCGAGTGCATTGAGAAGCTGGAGGGAGCCGGCGGCGCCCCGGCCGCACCCAAAGCAGGTAGGACATGGATACATGGTCCGCGGCAGGGCACTGCGCAGCGGGTACTGTAGGCTATCGAATGAAGGGACGGCCTTCCATTACCGTGGCCGTGACACTTGGACTGTTCCCGATGCACAACTCGTAGGCGCCAAGAGTGGTGACAGCAACCACGTCCGCGTGGGCAAGCTGAACCTGGTGGATCTGGCTGGTAGCGAGCGCCAGGACAAGACCGGAGCGACGGGTAAGGGTGCACGCCAGCCTCGTGTCACCATTTCGGGAAGGTGGCGTGCATGCGAATGGGCTATAGAACTTGGTGCTAGGCGGCTGACACAGCCCGCGTAATCCATCTGGGAGCACCCTGCCACTCGCTTTGTGCTTCTTGCATCATCCTCACCGCATTCTCACCCTCGCTGCCCGGACGAACAGGTGACCGCCTGAAGGAGGGTATCAAGATTAACCTGTCGCTTACGGCGCTGGGTAACGTCATTTCCGCGCTGGTGGACGGCAAGAGCGGCCACGTGCCCTACCGTGACTCCAAGCTCACGCGTCTGCTGCAGGTGATCTGGGTTGCTGGGTAGGGGTGCCCCGGAAGGCCGGTAGGATTAGGAGGTATGCTGTGATGAGCACAGCGGACGATTTAGTTACTTCCCGTGGTACTAAGCGTCTTTCCTTACTATGCAAGTCGGAACCCGTTTGCTGCAGTGGAAAGCCCTCATAAATGCTTTTCGCTGCCGTACCGCTGCCCTGCAGGATTCGCTGGGTGGCAACACCAAGACGGTCATGGTGGCGAACATTGGCCCCGCTGACTGGAACTATGATGAGACCATGTCGACGCTGCGCTATGCCAACCGCGCCAAGAACATCCAGAACAAGGTGCGTGCATGGGGCAAGCAGGACGAGGGCTTGGTGCGGGTCCATGTGGTCCGACTTCAAAGACAGAAGCAGAATGCAAGCAGCATTTCTTATGGCAGCTGTTTTCCCTCCCTTACGTACGACATGAGACCCGTCCGTAGCCTAACACTTCCATGCCCCTGTTCCCTCACCCTCTGCGCTCCAGCCCAAAATCAACGAGGACCCCAAGGACGCCATGTTGCGGCAGTTCCAGGAGGAGATCAAGAAGCTGAAGGAGCAGCTGGCGGTGAGTGGCCGCGATCATGGTGGGAGCTGACCCCACAGCCTTGAGGATGACGGAGGTGCATGTTGGAGCCTGACGCAGCACATGGTTTACGGCACACCTCTACAGAGCCATACCATCACCTTCATCGCACATGCCCCTGCTGCTTGGTTCCCCTTTCCCCTCACAGGCGCGCCAGGCCGGCGGCGCCGGCATCCCCGCACCTGTAGCTGGCGGCGGCAGTCCCACGCAGCGCATCGTTGAGCGGACCGTCGAGGTGGGTCGCTTAGGGAGACCAGGCACACAACCTGTTTTCGGTTTCACGCTGTGCTGTCCCGCACGACATGCATGATGTTTAGTCTTGCCTTCTTACTGCACAGAACCATCATTGCCTTACCTCGTTTACCCACCAAGGCACTGTGCGTCACGGGGACTAAGCCTTTCCTCTTGGTTCCATTCACGGCTGCTGTGTTCAACAGGTTGACCCCGACGTGGACGCCATCAAGGCCCAGATGCGCGCTGAGCTGGAGGCGAAGATGAAGATCGACATGAGCACGGAAGCGCTGGATAAGGCGCGCGAGGAGGCCGAGGCGGCGGCACGCAACCAGCTGCAGGTGGGAGTTGTGCTTGATGGCGGCTTGGGTTAGGGGATGGTACTGTGAACAGGCCAGTGCAAAGGCCGTCAGGATTGTCGTCCATCCTGTTGGAGGCTGTCGTTGCTCTTCCAATGCTGACCGGGTTTGGTTCCTGCCCTTTTGCTCCACGCCAGGCAATCATCGACGACCAGAGCAAGACCGAGGTGCAGCGCAAGGCGGCGCGTGAGGCCCTCAAGAAGCAGGCGGAGGAGGCGCGCGCCATCGCAGCTTCCATTGAGAAGGAGAAGAAGGAGAAGGAGGAGCTCGAGCAGCGGATTAAGGAAATGGAGGGCAAGGTAAGGACCCTCGTCATGACAAGCGGCTTCGCTGCTTGTGCGCACAGGCGTGCCTTGTTGTCCACGCCTTCATTCGTCGCTTCACCCCACGCATCAGCATTCGCACTTCCGCCCCGCAGATCGTGGTGGGAGGTGTCAACATGCTCGAGAAGGTGGATGAACTAAAACAGCGCAGCGAGGACATCAAGCGCGAAGCGGTGGGTCGAGTGTGGGTGCCAAGCATGGGGCGTTAACCGCGTCTGTTTTTGCCTGGCTGCATGCTTATATCACATCTGACGCGAAACGCAGGCTATCCGCAAGCGCCAAGAGGAGGAGGCGAAGCGGCGCCTTGAGGAGCTCGCAGCGGCGCAGGTGGACGTGGACTCCAAGTTCGCATCGCTGGACGAGGAAATCAACGTAAGCTTTTGAACCCCGTGAAGCGCAGCGCCCCAAACCAGTTTCTACCCTACCCCTTGGTTCGGTTCTGCCTGGTTGGGTCTTCTTTAACCGTAATGCTGGAAACGCCCAACTTACCCCACTTCAAATCCATCCGCTGTCCTGAGTGCAGGTCAAGAGCCGGCAGCTGAAGAAGCTGTTTGAGAAGTACCAGGCCAAGAAGAGCGAGCTGACGGACCTGCAGGAGCAATTCCAGCGGGAACGCGAGGGCATGCTGGAGGACTACCGCATCCTAACGCAACAGGTGAGCCCTCGACGGTTGGCAAGTGTGGCTCAAGTGTGGCGTATGGTGCAATTATTCCCTGCTCTGCTTCTGAAGGTCGTTGCTGACTTGGCTAAGCTGTTCCTTAGGCTTTGTTCTGGCTTCGTTCTGCTGGCATGGAACCCAGGCTGATGTGCATGCTGCTCCCTCCTCACCTGAAACCCTGCTTCTCCGCCCGCAGATCAAGTTGAAGAACCTCATCATCGCGTGCTTCATTCCGCCCGACTACCAGGACAAGATCATGCAGCACTGCCACTGGCAGGACTACGACAGCTCCTGGTCCATCGACTGCATCGCCTACGCAGGTGAGCTGACGGGCTGGGGCTAGGAGAGAGGGGTTGTTCATCATTCTGTCGAGTAGGCACACAAGGACTAGACGGGTTAATGCATCATGCTGTCGAGCACATGGGCTTTCCTTTCCGCCTCTAATTCGTCCCCGCCGCTGTAACCTCCCCGCAGGCAACGCCATCCGCACCAACCAAGAGCTAGCGGCGCAGGAGCAGGACAAGGAGCACGGCGGCGAGAACCCCGACAACGAGCGCCTCAAGAACTGCTTCTTCAGGTATGCCGTTGCAGCCACACCATGGCCTGTGCTTTCGGAAGGATCCGTCTGTCTGGCGTTAGGTCCTTACCCCTTGTCCAGTACAGCATTGCACATGCAGCACGTGCACCTTAAAAGCACTGTGTCATTGGAACGATTTTGCAAGGACCTGCTCTGACCAATGTCTTCCTGCTTTGCTCCTTGTTTGCAGCTACGCGCAATTCGAGGAAGCCGGCGCCGGCAACAACACCGGCCGGCCGGGCACCTCTGGCAAGGCGCGGCCAGGCAGCTCGGCAGGGCGGCCGCTGGGCAGCGCCGCGCGCCGTGCTGCGGGTGGCAAGTAAGTGTTCCATGTAAAGGGCTTGGCTCGTCCATACCGCCTGCTTAGTACACGCGTTTTGACCCATGCATGGAGACCCCCTGGGGTCTCCGTGCATGTACCGGTATGTGGGTGGGCAGCGCATACGGTATCATGCATAGTGTTTGACATGTCACGGCATTCCGGCACGCAGGCCCCTGGGCAAGGACCCCACCGACATTGGCTCGCTGCGTGACTCGGTCAACTGGGGCGATGACGACGACAAGAAGAAGGCGGCGCTGCCGAAGGCCAAGGGCCTGGTGAAGGACACCGTTGACCCGCGCCTACGAAGCAAAGCGCTGTAGATGCTGCTGGTCTGCTGAGCGGGGTGCCTGGCACGCAACCTGTCGTTGCTTGCCATTTACGGCTTGGGCGGCGTCGGTTACCTGAGGGCTGCTTAGAGCGGGATGCCTGCTTGCTTGCTCGCCGGAGCAGTTTGGCTGGTTTGACTCCTCTTCACATCTTTCACCAATATCGTGACTGCATTGCAACAGTGCTGGGAGAATTGTGACCTATGGCTTAACCTACATTACCTTGTACATAACCGTCGTATGATTACAAACGAGGCAACGAGACACCCGTTTTACAGACCCCTTGGTTCTTGGCAGTGCGCCTTGACAGGTGTGGTCGGGTGGCCAGGCGTGCGTGTGTATTAGCTGTGCAGTAAACGTCTATATCTAGGGCATGGGCTGAGGTATGCTCTAGCCCGCATCCTTAGACCAATGACGGGCAGGTTTCGTACGCGCGCGTTATTAGCGGCAGGGGTTTTGGCGCAGCGCAGAGTGCAGGAATGCAATGTGAACGGCGCACATGTCTAGCGTGTACGCCTCCCAGCCCAATGCTGCTGCGACCTGGGGGATCAAGCTCTGGCTGCAGCATGGTGATGGCGCATGGGGACATGGCGTAAGGAGTTGGTTATCTTTTCAGGAAGAGGAGCCGTTATGCCACATATGCTGCGCACCATTGTAATCTTTCTTCGAGATTCCTCTGCTCATCGCTGAACTGTCGCGCTGCTGCTGCCAGATCGTTAGTAATGTCGCCTGTCGCCACCAATCATTCTTCATTATTGCAGATCACAGCTTAGGCATCGTCATTGCTTACACAACGCATTTTTTACTCCATCCTTCGGACCACGCGAGGCCTGTTGCACTATTCTTGCGCGCATACTTACAAGTTACAGCACGTATAGATACATTCTGCTTTTGTAACTATCCGTGTTCACACTTTATCAGCGCATCCCACCCGCTAAGCCGACCGTGGACCAATGCAAACATACCGATAGACCAAGCGACGCTTTCCGCCAATAGTCCCAGCGCCTACTTGGTTCTCGCCTAGCATCTTCGCCTTCACATTATGGCAGAAGCTGTGCGACATGTATTCCTCACCGGCGAGCCCGGTGCCGGCAAGACCACCCTTTGCAAGCGGGTTCTGGAGCGAATCCAGAAATCGGGCATGTGCGCGACTGGGGAGCTCCGCGGCTTTTACACCCAGGAGCAGCGCGATGCGCACGGGGAGCGCTGCGGCTTCGACATCATCACCCTGGAGGGCCCCCGGGGGCCGCTCGCCCGCGTTGGTGCGGTAAGCTCACCTGCGCAGCTACGGCTGTACAGCATCAGAGGGATCCCGCATGCAACGCGGGGACACCCCGACGCCCCAGTTGTTTCCCCTAGGTCACCTATCCTCCCCCCATGCAGCTGCTCTTCCTGTACCCGAACGAACTGCGCAGACCCCACGTATGGGATTCCTGTCTTGCTCTTGTCATTGTCCCTGCCCGGCCGTGTCCCGTAGGGCTCACGCGGCCCACGAGTCGGCAAGTACGTGGTAGACGTGGGCAGCATAGAGCGGCTGGCGGTGCCGCAGCTGCGACCCAGCCTGACGACCCGACTGCTGCTTGTGGATGAAGTCGGTGGGTAGCTTGGGGGTGGGGGCGGGAAGCCGGACTTACAGGTAGGAGGTACAGGAGGGGAAAGCCATCTGGCAACGAACGAACACCACATGCCTCCCAGGGTGTGAGCAGGGTGTGAGCAGGGTTAAGCCAATTTGCCCAGATTGTCTTCAAGGCGCCCTTGCCGAGTGTTGCAGAGGGACTGCTGCAGTGGCGGATGTGTCATCCTTGGTGCGCACATGCACGCCCTCCCTCTGCCCTGCACGCGGGTGCGCATGCAGGTAAGATGGAGCTCTGCTGCCGCGCCTTCTTCCCTGCCGTACGCGCCGCCCTGGACACCCCTGGCGTGCTGGTGCTGGGTAGCGTTCCCCGCAACCCCGGTCGCAGCGGACAGCTGATAGCGGAGGTGGCGGAGGTGGCAGCGCGACCGGATGTGCAGGTGGTTAACGTTACAATGGCTAACCGTGAGGCTCTCGTGGACGAGGTGTACGACAAGATCCAAGCAGCGCTACAGCTGCTGCAGCGGCAACAAGGAGGTCAAGGACGGCAGCAGCAGCAGCCGCAATAGCAGTAGCAGCAAGCCAGGTAAAATGACAGTCGTGTGTTAACGATACGTGCAGTCCGCAGGTGGCGAGCGCCCAAAGGCAACCCTGATGGACTCAGCACGATAGTGATGTGATATCACATGGTGGGGGCCCTATTAGGCCTGTCAGGAAAGGCTTTGCTGTGTCGGATCTGGTAGGGGTCGTTTTGGATGCCCACCGGGTTGCTCAAGGCGCTGTGACCCATGGGTCAGCGGCAAGCTCATGGGTCAACACTAGGCTAGTACAAGGTGCCCCTGTACGTCAATTTGCGGGTTTACGGTATTTTTTGTATGTCACGAGCAACCTCGGGATTGAGGGATAGCATGTGATGGGTTGCAAATCCGATACTCATTAACACCTTCGGCCTGCTTGCACACGCACGGTTGCAATCTTGCAGTTGGATGAAAGGTATTGTAAGGCAGGATGAACATTTGCGGTGTTCGCAGTAACAGAAGGCCCCTGGCTACTGCATGCGCTGCTGCCCCTGCCCTTGTCATTGTACGCAGCCACAAGCAATGCGCTGGGCGCCCTCCTCTTTCCTAGCTCCTCAGAACACAGATCGCACGACATGGCCGCGCTTTGCAGCGACGCGCCAATTCCCATGCAGCTATGCAGCACACCCAATTGCACTCCCCCCCCTGCCAAATGTCGCCCGAGACGGAGGTCTGGAGACTGTCCTCTGTACGGCATAAGAAAAGACTAAAGAACGGTTAGCCACATGACCACATCGCCACCGCCAACCCCCATGCAATGCTACCGCCCTCTCCAAGCCTGTTTGCAAGCAAAGGAGCCGTCCATGCTTCCCAAACCCCTACCCCAACATCCAGCCGACACCCCCATGCGACAACGTCCTTGCTGTTATCTCTCAAGCTGTGTTGCCAATCAAGCGTTACCACACTTACAAGTCCCTGCTCACACCAAACGCCCCCGCAACAGCACCACCACCTAAGCCGGCTTGTCCAGGTCCCCTGCCGTGAGCCGCATGCCCCCCCGCCCCACGCTGCGACCGCAACCAGGGCAGCGCGCATGATCTATGGCGTTGCCGCAGCCGCCAACCACGTAGTAGCATCCGCAGCTGCACCTGTGAGCCGCAGCAAACGAGGAGGAGGAAGGTTGTAGTTGCAGGTAGGTGTGGGATGCCCTCTTGGGGCAATCCTTTCCTTAGAGTAGAGGTCTAGGGAGGAAGAAAGGGCAGGTTGAAGCACGACACAAGCAAGACGCATTCGACTGCCGTGTGCTTTTGCACGCAGAAGAGCCGCGCAGAAGGACAGGTGGATGCTTCTGAACTAGGCAGCGAGTGGCCAGCGACCTACGGCACATGGCTTAACCAGGTCTCCGCATGCACGACATGCGGAACAACAACTCACCGGGGCGGCCCAAACGTTTTATTCGCACCTGTAAGCGTGCTGGTCCAGGAAATATGGCATATCTCCAACACCTTTACCGTAGTGCTCCCGTGCAACCGTCTCAAGAACGTCGCGCACCGTCATGGGCCGCTGCTGCGGGGAAGCTGAACCGTCGTTACTTCCGGGTCCGGAAGCTGCGACTGCGACGAAGGGCCTCGCTAGACGAATCCTGGTGGCACCAAGGCGCCTCTGTGCTGCGGCATTGTTTTTATTATAGCTTGTATTGCTGCCAGCAGCGCTGTTACGGATGCCGATCCGGCCGCAAGGTAAACCGTTGGCTCGGTTGGCCGTAGCTGCCGCATCGCGCGGTGAAACGGCAACTGCCCTCAACTGCCACATCCTGGTTACGTGTAGACCTGGTTTCCAAAAGGTGTTGCAAAGTCAAAGTAAATTGCAGTTACTGGGACGTCTACGTGTGTAGCTTGCGCTGTGGGACGTACAGCAACGTTCAACTTGTAATGTACAAGGTTGCAACATTGACGCAGCGCAAGCAGCTTTCCCTTGAAGCATGACACCCAATGACGGCCCCGACCGTGAAGCGCACGGCCACGAACGCAAACGAAGCAGCTTTAAGCAAGCACGTGCTGCCTACTGCTCTTGCTTGGCCAATCCAAGACGCGTATAAATCCCCTCCTCATCCATTCCTTACGTAGGTTGCCAGACACCTCTAGCCAGGAGAACCCACGTTCATTGTGCCCACAAACCATCCCAACACAGCGTACAGGCTCTGCCAAAGGATGCGTCCCGTCACGGCTATGGCTGCACCTGCAGCCAAGCCGCTTCCTTTGCCGGGCCCGGCCCTGAAACGGCGCCAACCGGGCCCCACGGCTGTAATGACGACCCCCACACTCCCTTCTCGCCACCTCCAGCACCTTCCCAAGTTCCCCTCCCCATGCTCCATCCTTGCCGCCCACCGTACCCCCCGTCGTGCCTCCGTCCTCCTCTCCACCGCAGCATGTGGCAACAGCAGCGGCAACAGCAGCAGCAGCTCCGGCTACTCAGCGCAGCGCGTGCCGGCTCCGGCGCCGCCTCCTGATGTGCCCAGTACTGTGGTGACGGTCAAGCTGTGTGGCGGAGGGGAGTTCACGGTGGCTGCTCGGCCGTACGACACCGTTCGCACCCTCATGCAACGCATTGCGGACAAGACGGGTGCGACGGGTGCAGCTGCTGGGGGCGGGATGGAACGATGGATGGAGGGAGCTTTTGCTTGTTTCGAGAGTGTGTAGTACCTACTCTAGTAGATGGCATGGGTTTAGCCGTCGGGCCCGCATGTTATGCACCTTACGATGCTGTTCGCAACGCTGCCGGGTGTTGTCGTGTGGCTGACTGCATCACATTGCTTCGCTGCACCTGAACGGTACATGTACCACCTGCACACGGCCCGCCCGCGGGCATCCCTCCTGTTTCCCTTTCCGTCCTCCTGTCCTCCCTGTTTACCCCCGCCCCCTCCACACCTCCTACCGGCCCCCGCCCTCCCTGCTTCCCTCCCCCCACCCCCTACCCCCTCAAGGCACCCTGCCCTGCAACCAGCACCTGGTGGTGCGCGGCAAGTCGCTGGACGCCTGCGACGCCAGCCTGGCCTCCCTGGGGGTGCAGCCCGGGGAGCAGCTGGTGATGGTGACACGGCTGCAGGGGGGTTAGAAGGAGGGCAGGGGCGGATAAGGGGTTACAACGATCTTGAGACCACTGCCTACAAGCCAGGTGGGGACCCTTGCGTACCGTAGTGGTTGCACGGTACGGCAACGTCTGAGGTACAGCACCGCCTAGTGAGGGCTAACTACGGATAGTTGGGTTGCATGCTTGCATCCGGCCGGTGGTTAGATTGCTGGGGAAGATGACAACGGCGTTACCCTGGGGGGCTGATTGTTGGAAGAACAATCCTGTTGTGTTGCTGTAGGGGCGGATAACATGACACCCAGTTGACGCCTACCATTTCGTTTTGTTGGCGACGCGTTGGGATGCTCCTGTTAGGGAGTGTTGTATTGGTGGTTGCGCTTGAAGCTGTTGGAGACTAGTACGGTACCGTACTACCGTTATGTTGAACTGATGCTATCCTGGCCAGATAATGAAGAAGAGCGCTAATGTTGTCTAACAGCGGCAATTGATGTGTAAGAACGCGCACCACGTTACAGCATATGCGGCCATTTTTTGCATCGACCCTCAGAACGCCGGCAGCCGCATGCTTCCGATGAGCACCCGCAGGCCCGACCAGCCACTGCGCTGCATGCCACAATTAACAGGAGCGGCAGGGCGCTGCAAGGGGCTTCCCCAGTGCACCCCCAAAGCCAACCAGCGCATACCGGTAGCACCGCCACATGCAACACACCAGCATTTCACAGGCAGGCGGAACTCCTGCTAACCGCTGTGGTTCACTCCAGCACATAACCACTTCATACATTCCCAGACCCATGCAAGAGCCTCACTGCCTCCCTCCGGCCCTCTTAACGGTGTTGCGCCTGCAGTCCAACCTATGTATCTAGCACCCTACTGCCTTTAAACCATTCTACTGCAATCCCCTAAGCTTCCAGCACTTCACGCAATTCAGCACTCCTCCATCCTACTCTACCCCGCTTCCCCCTCCATGCATCTTTCTTATCCCTCACGGCCCCCCGCTGCCCCCTCCCACACCCCCACACCGCCCCAGGAAGGCCCCCGCCGCCGCCCGGTAGTCTCCCGGGTGCAGCCGCAGATGCGCCACGTGCCCCGACACGTCCCACGCCTGTTCTTGAACCAGCACAGGGGAGGGCGCCTGCACCTGCGCTGCACCCCCAGCGCTTCCGCTGCAGTTGTCGTCGCTGTCGCTGCTGCTGCAGGCGACGCTGTCGCTGCTGCAGCCCCCGCCCTGCTGACCGCTCCCCTGCCCCGCTGCCGCAGCCGCTCCCGTCGCTGCCCTCAGCGCCCTCGCCAGCGCATGTATGGGCTGCGGGTTCGCCAGCTTGTCCCCCCGCCAGCTGTACAGAAACAACACAGGCAGTCGGAGGGCCAGCAGGCCTCCCCGCAGCACATCCCACATGCGCTGCCGCTGCGCCTCGAAACGCTCGTAAAGGCAGAAGTCTAGCAGCCCGGCAGCGGCGGTGCTCGCCGCAGCCTGCAGGTGACGGACCCATGGGACGCTTGCAGTGGTGAAGAGTCGGACGCCGACTGCGGAATCGAAATCCACTGGTCCTGAGTCGAATATGATGCCACGAAGGTGGGTGCGCAGCAGCCGGGCTTGGGGTTCTCGCGGCAGGGGGCAGGGGGATGCGGAGGAGGAGGACAGCTGGGGCTGGGGTTGCGAGGGGAGGTGCGGGGTCTGTTCCCCTGCAGCCCTGGAATGGGGTTGGGCTGGAAGGGAGGAAGGGGTGCCGGAGGAGCTGGGGGGAGGTGCTAGGGTGGTGGTTGCCGCGCTGTGAGGCGCTGGCTGACTGGGGGCAGCGGGTGGCGAGGAGCCTGCAGCCTGGGCCGGGGGGGCCGCTCCTGTTGTGTTGGCTGCTGTGAGGCGCTCCAGCAGCGGGCAGAGGACGCCCTTGGCGGCGCCGCTGTAGCAGGCCAGCAGGACGTCGCGAGGGGAGTCCCTTAGGTGGGCTGCAAGTGCGTTCAATAGCAATGAGGCGTTGCGGTTTGCTAGGAGGGGAATCCATACAGCCAGCGCTGGCCAGCCGCGGAACACCGCGACATCGCAGCCGAGGCTGTGGTACAGGGCCACGTGCTTGGCGATGGCAGAGCGCTCAGCCCACATCCACGGTAAGATGACGACAAGCGGCCTGCGCGTCTCGGACTGAGGCTCTGATACGCACGCTGAATAGTATTCCATGCCATGAAGGGCCATGGTGGCTGGTCCCAATGCAGCTGACAAAGCAGCTCCAATAAGTACTTATCGCACAACGCTGGCGACCGCTTAGGAGATCTATCTATCGCAGGCAAAGGCGACCGGATACCGTATTGCCCTGTCACGCAAACAGGAAGAAAACGGCAACCCAGTATTGCATCATCTAGGATAGCATCGCAGATGAAAAGTTGCAGCCTACAAAGTATTGGCGTCACGAGTGTCACGCAAGCTCAGTAATATCCGTACCAGTCAGCCAATGTTCAGCTGCTTCAAAAGCTTCTCCAACTCAAGAGCTTGCTCCTCACTGCGTTGGCTGTTTGAGCCCAAATATTAAAAGGGACATTCTGTCAAAAAGTGGCAAACAAAAAACCTGTGTGCTGCAATAGCAAGTCACGTCTAACTTACTCCTCCTTTTGAAGGAGGGAGATAGCCTTGCGTACCACAGCTATGCGATGCTTTGCGTACGCAGACTGCCGAGGCAGTTTTTCGTAGCTGGTCAACAGAGCTTGCAAAGCGCTGAGTCTACCCTCGTCTGAGCGAGCTGTGCTCTTCAAAGGCAATTGCTTCTCCCTCCGATCGATGTTTCGCTTTGTAATGCGCTGAGGGTGTGCAACAGTATTGCTCGTGTTGGGCTTCGGATGTTGCTTCATTTGTTCTTTAAACAAAGACTACCTCAGCACAGTACTTTGCTTCCGCGGGGTATGGCAATACGAGGGTAAACCTATGCTCATCTCCTCCTTACGACCTGGTAGGAAGGCGTGTACGACCTGGTACGGCAGTAGTAAGGCATGTACGCTGTACGGTAACGTGTACGGCGCTGAATGCTGACCTGTTGATAGAGTATTTAGTATCAGAACCTGGCGAATTACGTGACGGCTTCCAAACACGGAAAACGTAGCATACAGCTTACAATACAAAGCAGCATTGTTACTGAACCTTCCCTGTAAGCCATCTACATACGAGGCAGATCACGTCATTACCCATCTTTCCACAAAACATAGTAGCATTTCTCACAATAAGGCATTCCCCCTTCAATAAAACCCACGTCCACGTGTTCACAAGGCTCAAGAGCACATACCCCCTAGGCAGCAACACCATTGCAACATTCGCAATCACCGTGAGCTATTAGCGCATTGCTTTTCTACTCCCTACGATCACACGGGTGCATTTATTCCCCGTAACATGTGCTTCTCTTGGAAAGCAACAAAACATGCGGGACAACATGAACACGGACCCAAACCGCACATCTTGACAAACAGCACATACGGCAGCAGAAAGCCATGCTCTTAGCCATGCCCGGACGCAGAGAGGGCTACAAACAGCGAACGAAAGCTCTGTCGGGTTCGGGGTTTGGGTTTGGTCTTGGGTTCATCATTCGATCGCACAAGGGTCCGGGAGTGAGTGAGGACAACTGAAGAACGCCACGCGCATAACCCCATGAGACCACACGGGGGTGGAAAGGATGGAGGTTGAATCAAGAGTAACACCATCACCGGAAGTTCCAACTAACGAAGTGTGACGTGGGAAAGGAGGGATGGCAGCCCCAACCCCCTTTCCCCAACATAACAAGTGACACGAACTTCTTGCAACAACTCTGACTCAAGGAGGGTACTCCGCCTGCTGATAAAAACCTCGTGCGGCACCCAGCACCTCCCAACACGCTTTTCCCCCCTCCCAGCCGCACAACGCCCAATCGGTCCAAAAGGATAGGAAACCAACCCTCATTCTTCACGACATGCCCTACCATCATCATACTTTGCTTGCAGCTACACGGTCTGTTGCATATTTTCGGTAGCTACACAGCAAGATTTCAGTTCCACATGTTCAACGTACATTGACATCGTTTTGGGTTTCTCTTATAAATAGGAGCGCATGGCAATGAAGGAAACATGAGGGCAGCCGACCATGTAACACAACAACCAACAACAACCGCAATCTCGGGACGCAAAGCTGTCGCAACTTGTACACGCAGCGCCAATCACGGATAAATAGCAGTGCTGCTAGAAAGGAACACCGCCGGCAAAAACCTGGTGACTATGACCCGCTCTTCTCCTGCCGCACACCTCTTCCCTTTGCTGTCACCCCTCAATGGCATCCCTCAATTCACATCCAGTGTCCCCACCAGCTCATGGTACACATTCGGTGCACCGTGCCGCAACATGTCGAAACACATGCTGCTAGACAGCCCCACACCCCCCGCCCCGCCTGCAGCCAGGCTGGTGGCGGCCAGGGAGGAATCCGGCTGGCGGCTGGTCAGGATGCCGTACGAGGACGGCATCTGCAGCTCAAGTACGTCCTCTGTCGCGCCCAGGATCTGCTGATGTGGGTGGCTGTGTGACGCGTTGGCAGCGCCGCCTCCGCCTCCGCCTCCGCTGTTATGAGCTCCGCTGGAGCTGCGGTTGATGAGGTGCAGTACATGCAGCCGTACTCGGTGAGCCAGCGGCACTGGCGGCGGCGCCACGGCGGCGGCAGGCGGCTGCCGTACAAACGACACGGCGGCTGTGGTGGTGAAGATGGACGCGGCGCCGCCAGTGTCCAGGCAAGTCGCCGCAGCGGGGTCCGCGGAGGGGCCGTTGGAGACGCGGCCGTCACAGCCGCTGCAGTTGCCGTTGCAGTTGAAGCAGTTGTCAAGTAAGCCATCGCCGCACATCCCGCCTCCGTCGGCCGCCACGGGGGGCCGCAGGTAGCGTTGTTTACCACCTGAGCCCTCGTTCTCCCTCAGGGGCTCCAGAGGAGCCGACGGAGGAGCGCCCTCCGCCACCCGGCCACGAGCCGCTGCTGCCGCCGCCGCCGACCCCACCCGGGGACTGTCGAAACTGCCAATGTACGAGTTCGACTCCACAGTCGCCGGCCCCGCCGCATTCGCCCCCGTCACTAGCGCCGACGTATGCTCACTGCTGGTGCCGCCGCCCACGGCGACCGCAATGGCGGCGCCGCCACAGCTGTTGTTGCTCGCACACACCGGCAGCAACACCGCCCGCCGGGGATTCTGCCCGCCAGCTGCCGTACTCCCACCGCCGCCTCCGCCCCCCCCAGCCATCACTGCCAGATCCAGTCGCGCCCCAATTGCAGCCGCCGCCGGCATCAGCGTCACCGCCGCCGCCACCACCTCCGCAGCAGTCCTCTGCGGCGCCGCCGCCGCCGCGGCTGCCGCCGCCTCCGCCAGCCCCGGTATCGCCTCCTCCCGGAAGAGCTCCGCGTAGTCCTCCGAGGTGTACAGCCCAAAGCACTCGCTGCCCCCTCGCCTCGCCGCCCGCTTGCGTCGCGGCTGGTGCCCCATGTCCGCCAGCAGCTGGTCGTGGTAGCGCTGCTGGTAGAGCATGAGGGCGGAGGAGGAGAGCAGCTGCGGAGGCATGACGCGCTGGCGCCACCGCTGCTGGGACAGCGTGTCCTGGGGGGCAGGGGTGGGAGGCAGGGGCTGGGGTTGCCGTAATGGGGGGGGAGGTACTCCGCACAGGCTGGAGGGCAGGGGCGGGTAAGGCTGCTGCGGCGGGGCGCTGCTCCATGGAAGCTTCTTCGCCACCCGTCAGGGCTTCAATGCGGTGTTTTTCAGCAGCCTAGCCCTGTCCCCTCTGACCTTACCGGCCACTGTCCTTCTGTCTCTTCACCCCCCCGCTGTCCCCTCCCTCTCTCCCCCCTGCCCCCCCCCCCCCTCACCGCCAGCTGCTCCCTGGGGTGCGGCAGCCGCAGCCCGCCCAGCAGCAGGTGCAGCAGCCACAGCGACTGCAGCCCGCTGGTCAGCACGTTGTTGAAGGTGGTGGCCTGGGGTGGTGTGGGAGGGGAGGGGAGGACGGGGAGCGAGGGGTGCGTGTGGAGAGATGCAAAACATGTACTCAAGGGCGTTGACTTAAGCCCACGCGGAGCTCACGAGACACCAAGCAGCTACAGGGAGGTGCACAGCCGTGGCCCTCATGCTCATGAACTGTCAAGCACCCCCTTGGCTGGCTCCTCCTCCCCTTTACCTTTACCGCCTTAGCCCCCTCAGAAACACCCACCCTTAACACCCATCCCCAGCCCTCCTTCCAGCCCCTCCTCCAACCCCCAGCCCCTGCACCCCACCCACCTCCACCCACCTCGTTCCCTATGAAGAACAGGTTGCCCACCCGCGGCGACACCACCGACCGGTACAGCTGCAGCGCCTGACACGCCATACCCTGACACCCCTCCTGCACCCCCACTCCTCCCCCTCCTCCTCCTGCCCCGGCCGGCAGCCCCCCTCCCGGGCCCCTCAGTCGCGCTGCAGTGGCCGGGTCGAACAGGCTGTAGTCCTTGGCGTATCCGGTGGCGAAGATGATGACATCGCAGTCAATGACGGTCCCGTCCGCCAGCCGCACCCCCCCGGGCAGCACCTCCTCCAGCTGCCCCTGCACGGCGCGGATGCGACCCGCGTTGACCGCCTCGTTCCAGCTGCCCTCCTGAATCTGGGGTTGGTGGTGCGGTGCGGGGCGGGGGAGGGGAGGGGGGTGGGCAAGGTAAAAAAGAAGAGTTCCCAAAGTGTTGGGTGAGAAGGGAGAGGGTGGGGAGGGTGGGGGTTGGGTTGCGGATGCAGCCGGGATGAGGGAGCGGGGCTGGACAATCAGCAGCAGGGCAGAGAGAGCAGCTCCCCACTGGGTGCTGTGCCTGCTCTTGCCTCCTAGCGCATGCCCCTAAACCGGGCATCAAGTATTCGAATCCCACCCTGCCCCCCTCACCCCTCCCCCCCACCCCTCCCCCTCACCTGCCCCCCAAAGAACATGTCCTGCACGAAGCCCAGCTCGGGTCTCAGCGGCCCGCTCAGCCGCATGCGCCGCGCCACGTGCCCCTCCAGCACCCGCCAGAACAGCCGCTTCACGGGCGACAGCAGCGCGTGCTTCAACCGCTTGGAGACACGGCCCTGGGCTGAGGGGGGGAGAGGGGAATAGGTGCAATGGGGAGGTGGGGCGGGGAGCGATGGGATGAAGGGGTGTGCGCTGCATGATGGCTGAGGATGAGGGTGAAGCTGCTTGTCTGCCTCGTCAGCGATCTCCCGAATGGCGCATAGCTAGCATGTCTTCACCATACCGTACCGCACCTCTAGGCATGCCGCCAATCCTAGTACATCACCCATGCAGCCCCTTCCATACCCCCCGCCCCCCCCCCCCCACGCACATCTCGTCAGTTTCCTCCTGTACCCCCCCCCCCCTTCATACACGCGGCCAGTTTTGTCAACACACGGCCAGTTTTCTTTGCACACACGCTCAGTTGCTCACCCGTGTAGTACATGGGCAGCATGCCGGCCGTGAAGCGAGTGTACACCACCCGGTGGAACGGCAGCCCGAACAGCGACCGAGGCAGCGGCCAGTGGGCCTGTCGGAACAGCGACGTAACGCCCGCGGCGGCGGCGGCGGGCGAGGCCGCCACCACTGCGCAGTCGTGCGCCGACTTGCCGCCGCCCAGCACCAAAACCCGCCGCCCGCGCAGCAGGTCGAGGTGCGTGAAGTCGCGCGCGTGCAGCACCCGCCCCTTGAAGCTGCCCAGACCCTGGGGGTGCGGAGGTGGGGCGGTCAAGGGAGGTGACAGGGTCCGTAGCGCCATGCAGGAACCAGGGGGGGGGGGTCGCAACACAGCCCCCCGGCCCGCATCCACATGACCTCACCCCACACCCCTTCATCCAGCCATCAACTCCCCTTCCTCCCTTCCAACATTTCAGTTCTTCTTCCCCCTCCTCCCATTACCCCCGACCTGCACGAACGGCACGTAGGGGCTGTAGTAGCTCCCGGTGGCCATCACCACCACGTCCGCCTCCATCGTCTTCAGCGCGCCCTGGTCCGGGGACTGACCCGCGGCGGCGGCGTGACGGAAGCGAACACACCAGCGACCCACCGACCCGCAGGCCCCGCCGCTGCCGCTGCCAGGAGCTGCGCCGCCGGAGGTGGTGGCCGGCGGGTCCCTAGCAGCAGCGGCGGTGCTCCCGTTTGTGTGGGCGGTAGCAGGGGTGGGAGCCGCAGCAGCACCGGCAGCAGTAGCGGTAGCGGAGGGAGGCAGCTGGGCGATGTGGACTACCTTGGCGCCGTACAGGATGTACGGCTCAAGTTGGAAGTGAGCGCAGTACGCGGCGATGTACTCCTGCGGGCGGTCGTACGGCAGACACAGGGGCGTAAGGACGCGGGGTGCGGGACTGCTGCGGACATGCATGGGGAAGTTGGCAGCCATCTCCTCCATCGTTTCACGCGTTGGCAGCCCCGGCAGTTAGCAGTACAGCACAGCCGTGTCATGCCAACTGCCAAAACCCCCGTGTGTTGTGTCGTGCGGATGCGTGCGGTGAGCCGTACGGCTAACCAAAGTAGTCATGCAGGAGAGCCGCTCGCAAGCATGCCTCAGACCGGATAACACACCTGCACAGAGCCGCCCGAGGGGTACACCTCACGCTGCACCCGTTCACGCAGTTCGGGCGGCGCCTTCTCATACGGGAACTCGGGAAACGTGTAGCAGCAGGCGGGGACTGGCAAGGGAGGAGGCAGGCAGGGAATAGACATGCGGGAGTCGCGATGTCAGGATGGTCTCGGGAGAGCGGGGGCAAGATAGTGTGTGTGCTTGAAGAAATCAAGCATCAATACGGACGGCTTCCTAACACAAGAAAATGGGCTGGAATCTCCGGCGATGATCCGGATGAAGGAGCTTCGACTACGCAAGTCGGATGTTTCGGGTCAAGGCGGGCTCGGAAGCGACGAACTCCCGTTTATTCATCGATCCCGAAAGAATTACACCATGCTAACCTTGAAGCCCAAAGGAATGGTAGTTGCGTCTCCATACGCCTCCAACTCCACGTCCCTGCTCAAGGACAAGGGTGTCGTAGCCTGCTCGAAGAAGTGCCCTAGCGGCTTGACAGCCAGCCACACCAGCGCCTACAACTACGGCTAGTTTCCTGCCAGGCCTACGGGGTCCGGCGTCGCCTCCTGTCAAATGTACGCCCATTGCAAACGAAACTATCTAGACATTGCAAAAGCTAACTATCGGGTTCATAGGTAACCTGACAACTTCACAGTCAGTATACTGTAGGAGTTATGTGCGAAAACCCGTCTGCAACTGTGGCATGCGAAACTGCGTCTGCGAACAGCTCCGCGCACCAATAGGATATCATGCAGGAATAACAAAACATTTAACGCCAATATAAAGTGCGGCGGAAAACGTGAGTTTTACACAGCATGACAAAGCCATTCCGACGTCAATACGCCACGTGCCAGTGCCGTAGGGTCGGAGCACGAAGCAAATCTAGGTCTTCGCGGACCTGCAACGGGCTGAAGCATGAAGGTCATGGAATGCTTTTGCATAGGTGCGAACATAAACGTTCGAACATGACTAACTGTCTTTGCAGCCTTTCGCATCCAGCTGGATATCCGACAAAACCGCCCTGCCTAGATTTAACAGCTGCCACTGCCTCCTGCACACCGCCCACGCACCCCTTAACCACCCTAACCCCTTCAACCCATCCTCAATACCTCTTCACCGCCGTCCGTACCCACTACCGGCGCTGCCTTTATCCGTTGGCCCCATCTCCGCTGTCTCCATGTTCACTCCCGCTCCCGCCGACCCCCTCGCCCCCGCTCCCTGTAGCCCTCCACGCATCAAGTCCGACAGCAGCAACCTCTCTAGCGCGTGCTGCTGCTCCATGGTCAACTGCCGCTTCGCTGGAGCCCCGCTGGCGCTGCCAACAACCCCGGTGGTGGTGCTGCTACTGCTACTGCTGCTCCCGCTCCCCTGCCCGCCGCCCCCTCCTCCGCCACCCCCACTCCGCCCCACAACGCCCTGGCCCCCCTCCCCACCCGTTCCCCCCCGCTGCAACCGTGCGAATGCGCCCCACCGCGCACCGCTCCAGCCCCCCCAAACAGCACCCAGCCCTCCTGGCTTCTCATCCTTCCCCGCACCACGCCCTCCTCCTCCTGCATCTCCCCCGCCAGTTCCCTTCTCCCTCCCCTCCCGCAGGGCCGCACCTCTGCCGCCCGCACCCGCCCCACTGCCGTATGCTCCCTCCGCAGCCCCACTCCGCCCCTGACGGAGGGGCCCAACGGGCGCTCGCGCAGCCCAGCCGCCGCCGCCGCGTGATGGGGCTCGAGTGCTCCCGCGGAAGCCAGGAGCAGAAGCAGCGGATGCAGCAGCAGCAGCGGGGGCGGACGTGGAGGGGCGCTGAGCTGAGGTCCCAGGGAAGGGACGCGGCGGGTGCGGCGAGGGTGAGGCAGCGGCGGTTGGGGCTGCGGCCTGCGCGCGCGCTTGGGATCTGAGGTGCGGGGTCTGGGGGGTAGTGCGGGGAAGGGGGCGGCGCAGGAGGGGAGCCGGCAAGAGGGGCACAAAGGTCTTAAGAAACGTGCGGGCAGGCTGGGGGCGGGATGGCATTAGCGAACTAACCAACAAACGGCAACCTGCCCTGGCCTGTGCTGGCAGGGTGGCCGTTGAACAGCGCGCCTTCCCTCTGGCCCCCCCCTCGTCCCCACCTCAAAGCTGCGTGCTCGTGCCGCCGCCAGGTCCGCCTCCAGTGCCGCCGCATGCGCCTCCTCACTCCCGCAGCCGCCCACTGGGCCCACGAAGTCGTCGGCGAAGAACTTGCCGGCCTAACGGGTGGGGGATAATAAAGAAAATCCATGCATGTACGGGGTTAGGGGCTGGGTTAGGAGGGGAAACCAGTGAGTGTGAGTGGATGGGGGCGGGGAGTAGGGTATGGAGGTGAGTAAAAGAGACCGCGACGCCCCACAGCTCCCTCCGCTGCTCACACCACACATAAGAATTTCTTTTTCCCTCCCCTCCGGCTCGCGCCCCCACCTGCGCCTGCACCTGCCCCGCCGTGTCCCGCCAGATGAGCACTCCGCAGCCGTGCAGGTGGCCCTCGTACCACTCGCCGCGGTACAGCCTGCGGGGAGGTGGGGTGGGGGCATGGGAGGGGCAAGGGTGCGGTCTGGGGGGGGAGGCAGCAGGGGCCCCAGGTTCCTTCACGGGATGCTAACCCCCGCCATGCCGCTGGGTCACCTGGGCCTACCCGTTGCTGGCAGTGCCCCCATCCTTTCCCATAGCGCCCCGTCTGCTTCGCTCTTTCCCTCCGATCCATCCCCTCTTCCGCCCGCATCCCTCCTCTCGGTATCCTCCTAAGGTCATGACTAGTGCCCCCCCGCGGCTCAGTCAATTAAACCCCTTCCCGCAAGCCCATCAGGCGCCTCACGTGCCGTCCTGCCAGCGGTAGGCTCCGTAGCCATGCGGCCGACTGCCCCGCAGCTGCCCCTCGTAGCGCTCGCGCAGGGAGGGCCACGTGACCACACCATGCGACTCGCAGGCTCCGTTCGCCTCCAGGCCCTCGTAACTGCAGGCGAGGATACACGGATGAAGCTGCCTTGGAATCCAAGTACGGCAGTACGACTCGGTGGTGGCTTACATGGGCAAAATTGCTGACTTTTCGGGCCGCGGGGAGGCTTGGGACAGTTGATAGGGGTAAGTATGTAAGCAGCGTTGTCGCTTCAAGCCACTGTGGGGCTCGCACTCCCATCCCATCGCGCAAACCCAAGCTTACGTGCAACCGGCCTGCCAACGCAGCGAGCGCCAATTCAGGATATCGTTTAGTGTTTGCTCCTGGCCGCTTGACGCTGATATAGGAGGCGGGCCCACGGGCTGCGACATGCTCCCAGCCACCATGCGTATGAAGCTGTCGCTTTCTGGTTACAGTACGAGCTGATGGCAAGGTCCTTAGTCTACTACAGGATTCATGTGATTCACTTATCCTGTGTTGGCCGTCCTACTTGCAAATGTGCTTGCATTAGCGAATGCTAGGAGGCTACCTGCAGTGAAAAAAGCAACGCCGCGATTGCCTAGATTTTATTTACACAGAAGAGATAAAACATTGTCAACCTGGCGACACGGTGCACCTTCAGCAGGATAACGACGCATGTGTCATGCGTACATACGGCAATGCCTCTGGACACCTGAAGCCCTTATAGCCAGGCAGGGTGACCCATTATTCCGTAGGCAGGGACATTGCTCATGCCCGAGCAAACACTTAATTGACTTGTCACGTTAATTCAGAACCGGCCAACCTCAGATCGAAAGCACTGCTGCCGGTGCACATCGCATCCCTAGCATCGAACCCTTCAGTAGCCATCAACCTGCCTTCCACGCGAGCAGTAAAAGGAAGAGTTCAACTGCTGCCGCATGCACCTACGCCCTTCTGCGGCCACTGCCGTTGATACATCTTGTGGCCACGGGAACCAGCTACTATACATAATAACGCTCACAAGTGCAGAGTTAACGCCCCGCTGCCCCCTCCTGCCCATCCATTTAACCGGCTGGCCCTCTGTGGTGCCTGTCACCTAGGGGGGCCAATGAAGATTCCAGTCAACGAAACACCGAGCTCATGTAAAACACAAAAGAGTAATCTAAGGGAGTGATCACACACAGGTGGTTAAACGCACAGTTGCATACGGTCCCGGTACAATTAATCCAGATACCGCACCGACAGTACTCGCTACACCCCTGCGATCATTCTGTACTCAACCCCTGGACTGCCGGGACCGAGGCCCCCCACCCAAATGCCATACAATCTACTCCACTAAAGTTCATGCATCATGCTATAAGCAAGTGTCCAGTCAGTCCTGATCCATGCCGTACAAGGCATCCTGCCGTACCCTCACATCATTTGTACCGATATAACACTTGCGCGCTCGTGCCCCCCCTGCCGTCCCGTCCCCCCACCCTCGGCACCTTGAAGCCTCCAATCCGTTCCCACAAGTCCCGAACCACTGGTGCGCATCCGTACAACGCACCTGAACAGGTACCACGAAGTATCTCTCTCCTCCTCTCGCTTTACCAATCGCAGTTCGCAAGAATGTGGCCCAATCGCCAGTTGCAAGTAGCTCTCACTATAACACCACGAGGAGTTGCTTTGCAAGGCATGAAAACGAAAGACCCTCTGTGCATCAGTGCTTTGCTTGCAACATGGACGAGACCGTCTCCCTGCCCCAAACCTCTCCACAGTGTCACCCAATAGCGAGCTTAAGCAGCTTGGTCCAGTCCACTCTTCAGCCCCTCTAACCCATTACTGGATCCCCCGCTGCAACGCCGTCCCCCACCAGAACCATGTGCGTGTAGTCACCTCCCCGGCCTCCCCGGGATGGCCGCCGGGTATCTCTTACGCTGTGTTGTCCGCAACCTTCTCAGTCCAACTTTATCAACATCATATCGTAAGAGGAAATGCCGTACACCGCAAGATGCTTGTACGGCAGTACGGCTAGCCGAGGGCAGCGGGGGCTGCCGCGCGGCCCGATGCGCAGCCCCGCCGCCAGCGTCTCGACCGACCCATCGGGTCGCAACACACGCAGCTCAGTGGTGCTTCCGCCGTTGCCGTCGAGCAGGTAAACGTCGCCACTGACGGCATCCGCTGCCAGGTCTTGAATGTTAGTGAAGACGCGGCGACTTCTTCCCATCTGGGTCGCCGTCGCCGCTGTCGCCGCGGCCTCCGACATCGGGTCTGAAGCCTCGCCTGCACCACCACCAGCAGCACCATTGCCTTGAGAAGTCTTATGCTCCGAACCGCCCGAGGCAGATGCGACGGCGGCAGTAGCGGTGTCGTACAGCGCTGGCTGCTGCTGTAGGGGGTCATCGGAGCCGACGACCGCCTCCGTCATGCCGTGGGACAGGAGCCTGTGTACGGCATGGCCGCGGCTGGTGTACAGCAGCGTGCCTCGGTGGGTGTCGTACGTTAGAGCAACCGGGCCCGTGTTGTTGCTGCCAGCAAGGACGGTAACCACCGCACGGACGCCGCTGCCAGCGTTACCTGAGGGCTGGGAGACCTCTTGGAGAGCGCGTAAGCAGAAGCCGTTGCGTGAGGTCGTGTCACGGTCGCGGATGTAGGTGATGCCGGCTCCATCTGTGGCGAGGCGCTGCGCGCCTATAAACCGAGCTTCGCTAGAAGGGCCGTCGCATAGGATGCCGCCTTCCTCATCGCCTGCTAGCTGCGTAACGCGGTTGCTTGCATCCATGCCATACAGGCTGGTGCCTCCATGCGCGAAAAGCACCATGGAGCTGTGTGGATCATACACCGCATCCGTTACATGGCGCACATTAAACCTTGAAGATATGTGGTTGCGAAGAGCAAGAGGTGGCTCTAGCCGGGCGTATTCTTCGCGGTCATTCAGGTGCATCGGGCATACTCCAAAATCGCACACAACTAGGGCTTGAGCTTGGCCATTCACTGGATTGGGTCGGACTGCGAACGCTAAAGCGCCCGGTGCAGCGATTGCCCGGGTTCGCAGCTGGGCTGTCGTTGTAACAGTCGTTGGCCTTAAACATGTTCTCATTCCGCACAACCCTCCAAAAGCAACAGTATAATTTATCGCCTAATCTTTAATATCTTATATAGCTCTTACCTAGCAAGCTCGAGTGCTTAAGCTTTCTGCAGTACAAACGGCTACAACATCCCAGCGACCTAGCCCTTGTAACCGTCGCATTCTAGCGGGTGCCGTTACGTCGCTTGCGCATTTTTCATCATCGCTAGTAGGACGTGGCTTGCAACCCCCTGACCCGCCGTCGACCCCAACCTGAGCCCCGCGCTGCGACTCGGCCACACCCTGTACATACCACTCGCAAGATCCGGTGAGGCTGCTGAGGCACGCCCTGCACACTTCTGGTTCCTGACGGGTTCCTGTCGTCTTCACGCCATCCTGTTTAGCAAGGCCCATGTAAACCACCTTCTGCTCAGCGTTACACCGTCGTACCTGCTGGCCTGTAGATCTTCTCACGCATGAACGTCCGAAGGAATGCCACGAACTCGCCACAGGAGGCGCTCCATCCTCTTTCACAGCTTCACTGGACACACAGCACGCCACGTCCTGGCGGCCGCGTGTGGACGCTGAACGCGTGATGCCCTCTTTTTGCATTACCGCTCATCAACACCTTCCATTCCGGTTCCCTTTCTTATTACCATTAGCGAAAGATCTCCGTCCAGAGCCCCGACATGACTTCCAACCGCAAAGCTCCTGCATCAACCCAAACTCCTGCACATGCGGTGCCATGCCTGATGCCTCCGCGCTTAACCCGGGGCATGCCCATTGCGTTCCCCATTGGCTCCCCTGATCTCATCACTTCACGCAACCCACCCCGCAACACCAGTCCGCCCTTAGCCGCATACGTTGCATGGATACCCCAGCAGGAAACCCCGTGCATGCATGCCATGCCCTCTCGTCTTCAGACTCAAAGGACCCCAAAGCCCGCCGCTGCAGCCCTGCCGCCCTCCCTGCCGCCCTAGGAGCGCCCACACCCCTCTGTCCCTCGATCAGCTACCGGCAGTTGCTTCCTCTTTCCACCCCTCTGTCCAGCTTTCCGAAGCACAGGGAGGGGCTCAGGGCGGCTCTCATGCGCCATCTTCCCTACTCCCCGCTCTGCTCCTTCCCTCCACAAGTCCACACGTGTCCCCACTCACGCCAGCAGCAGCGCGCGCACCTCCTCCCCCTTGGCCATGTCCGCGGGGCGCTTGCCCTCCTTGTTCACAGCGTCCTGGGGGGAGGGGCAGGTGGCGGGAGGGCGGCCGGGGAAGAAGAATATCCAATGTGTTGAATGAGAATGGCCGGGGAGGGAGGGGCAGGTGGCGGGCGGGGCGGGAGTAAAGAAGAAGGGACCTGAAGTAGTTCCAAATGCCAGAAAGCCCACGTCGCCCCTGCTGCCCACCCATCCCCTCTACCAGAGCTAAGCCTCTTAGTTGCGTGTTTCTAGGATAGCATCTCCGCAAATGCGCTCACTGCATGAGTCGGGATTTGGGATTGGGACTCCCTTGCTCCACTTTTCCTTCATTTTTCCCAGAGCCCCTCCCCCACCTTGCTCGCCCCCGCCGCCAGCAGCGCCTGCACCACCGCCGTGTGCCCGTTGACCGCCGCCAGGTGCAGCGGGGTGTTACCCTGGGGGGGGGGGGAGGGGGATGGGGGAAAGGGAGGGAAGGGGTTTGGCGGCTAGGGACGGGATGTGGCATGTAGATCCGCAGATCCACAGAGCACTCATGTTATCAAGGGCAGCACCGCCCTCTCCGCCCCCTTTCCTGGCCCCCAACATCCCTGGTTGTGGGCTGGGCGGGCTAGCCTGCCCGCGGTAGCCATCATACACCGGTAGCTGGTAGTTGGATTCCTCCTTACCCCCCTACCGCTTCCTATCCCCGTTGTCTTGCCCAAACCTGTGGTTTCCTATGGTTCTGTATGGTCCCCTCCCCCCCTTTCTCCCTCTCCCTCCCTCCCTCCTCAGGAGGCAACTGTCAGCAACTTGTATCATTATCACACCACACTTTGGAATTTCTTTTTTTCCCTCCCTCCCACCTGCTGGTTCGCCACCTGCACGTCCGCCCCCGCCCCCAGCAGCAGCGCCACCTTGTCCCCCGCGCCCACCCTCGCAGCCAGGTGCAGCGGCGTCCAGCCGTCCTCGGACACGGCAGCAGCCACGTTGGCGTGACCCACCTGGCAGGGGGGGGGAAGGAGAGGGGGAGGGGGGGGGAGGGGCAGGGGGAGCGCGGGGGTTTAACCAGGCTTCCAACCGCAAGCATCTGCAAATGTGCACAGAAATGGACCGAGGTCACGCCAACCCCGCATAAGCCCCGTCCCATCCTCTTCCCCCCTCCCCCCCCCACATTTTGGTAAGTGCCTTCTGTTCTTTCGGGCTGCAATATAGAGGGGAAGGTGGGATGGACCGGCTACCATGTTTGCACCCCATGGTGAAGCCTTGTCACACAGCTCGTCAGTTGCTTCGTCAGTGTCTCATTATATATATATTTTTATCCCCCCCCCCGCCCCCCGCCCCTTCCCTTCCCCCCACCTCCAGCAGCAGCTTCATCATGGAGGGCTTGAAGCGGGTGGCGCACAGGTGCAGCGGGGACCTGGGGGGGGGAGGGGGGAAGGGGGGAGAGGCGGGGGGAGAGGACCAACACAGCGGGTGGGAGGGAGGGAGGAGGGCTCCAACCCCGCAACGGAGCGGGGTTGGCGGCAGGAAGCGTAAGAAGCGTCCGGTCTTCCTCTCCTTCCCATCACACCACACATTGGAATTTCTTTTTAAACCTTCCCATCCCTCCCCTTCCCTTCCCCCTCCCCTCCTCTCCCCTCACTTGAAGTCCGGGTTAGCCAGGTCCGCATTGGCCCCCGCCCGCAGCAGCATCTCCACCAGCCCCTCGTCCCCCGCATCCAGCGCCAGGTGCAGCGGGGAGGACTTGTCGAAGTCAAGCAGGTTCACGTTGCAACGACCTGCAACCGCCACCCAACAACAAGGCAGACACAGGGGGGAGGTGGGGGTGGGAGGGAAGGTGGGTGGGGGGGTGGAGAAGGAGAAACACGCGGGGAGGTGGGGAGGTGGTGATGGGGACGGTGAAGGGGTTAGGACGAAGGCAGGGCTGTCAGGGACCACAGGGAACCGCTCCCTCCTGCAATCCTGCAATCCCGGGATGAAGTCCACATGATCAAGCGCCACCCCCCCTACATGCGACCCCCACCCAGGTTTCGAGTGCCCCCATACCCATGACGACCCCCCTTCCTGCCCCCCTGCCCTCCCCTCCCCCTCCCACCTGTCTCCAGCAGCGCCCGCACCGCCTGCTCGTCCCCCGCCTCCACCGCCATGTGCAGCGGGGTCTTGTCGAAGGGCTCCAGCGTCTCCCCGCGCAGCATCCAGTTGCCCTGCGCGTACTCGCTGGCTTGCATGTTCTGATAAGCGGGGAGAAGGGGGGGGAGGGGGTCAAAGACCAGGGATAAGGGAGAAGGGGGGGAAGGGGGGGGAGGGGGGCGGGGCGGGGGGAAGAGGGGGCTGGGATTAAGTGAAGCCGCAACAGGACCGTGACTGTACAGGACATGGGGGGGTGCATAGAACGAGGGGAACAGGGAGAGGGACCCTCCACCCCTCCTCCGCACTCCCCCCTCCCCCTTCTGTTTTTTCTGTATCCCCCCTCCCCCTCCCACCTGCACGTTCATCTCCGGCGGCGGCTGCCTGGCCAGCAGGTGCCTCAGCACGTGCAGGTCCCCCGCCTCCACCGCCGCATGCAGCGGGGTGTTGCCGGACATGTCGGGGTAGCTGATCATGGCGGGGTCGTGGTCCAGGATGACCTGGCAGGGGGGGAGGGGGGGCGGGAGGAGGGGAGGAGGGGAGGGGAACAGGGAGGGATCGGGAGGAAGAAGCTAAGTAGCCGCTTGGGGAGGGTGTGGGAGGGTAGTTGGGACACCTGCGGGCACCAGCTGCCACGACTGCTTGAAGTAGCTTTCAGACCTAATACTTTATTACATACAACCCCACCCGCACCCGCACCCCCCACCTGCACCGTCTCCAGGCTCTCCGCGGCAATGGCCAGGTTGAGCGGCGTGCAGCCCTCGCTGTCCACCACACGCAGGCTCACAGGCTGGGGGGGGGAGGGTAGGGGGTGTGAGGGGAGGAGGGAGTTGGGGGGCGCTGCATCATTAGGCAGCGCAGCAGGCATGGCAGCGGGCTTTCCCCGATGGGCGGGTGGGTGAGGAGGTACTCCCCCCCCCACGGCTGCCTGGTCATGCATTCAACTGGGACTGCCGGGCCCTCGCTCCTGCCGCACCGCCTGCTCTGTGAGCCGCATGCAGCGCGCCTCCCTCCCTGCCTGCCACACCAAGGTGCTGCTGCGCCGCGCGGCTATGCGGTCGCCCCGGCCCCCCATACCACCTCCATCCCCTCCCCTCCATCCCCTCCCCTCCCGCGCCCCGCACCTCCTTGTCCTCCCCTCCTGCCGCCTGCAGCAGCGCCCGCAGACCCGCCGCATCGCCCTTGCTGGCGAACTGGAAGATCCTGCAGCGGGGGGCGGTGGGGCGGTGGGAGGGGTCGGGCGTCGGGGAGGATATGAAGTAGCGGGAAACTGGAAGTGTGCTGACCCTGGCGCAGCGGAGGTGAGGGGTGTGATTCCACGAATTGGTTTGACACTTGCTTCTTCTTTCCCGCCTCTCTCACCCCGCTCCCCCCCACCCCTGCGTGGCTTTCTCTGTTCCTCTCCTCCCCAATCCCCGCCCCGCCCCGCCCCCCCCCCCCGCCCTACCTTGCGTCCGGCCCGCCCAGCAGCGCCCGCACCTCCTCCTCGTTGGCCATCTCGTAGGGCTGGCGACCCATCACGTCGACAGCCTGACGGGAGGGAGGAAGGGAGGGAGGGGGGAGGGGTGAACAGACGGGTGAGGTGTGTTTGTGGAGGAGGAGGGGTTCAGGGAGCGCATGGGAGAGGGGCGGAGAGTGCGGGCGGGCGGGCAAGGGCATGCGCCGCTCTCATCAGCCTCCTTGGTGGGCACAACACCCGCTTTCCGCACCACCTCCCCGCCCCATCCGCCACCCTCCCTCCCCCGACAACATACTGGATATTCTTCTTCCCTCCCCCCTGCCCCATCTGCCGCCCCACCTCCGTGTCCGCCCCCGCGTCCATCAGCGCCTGGCACACCGCGCGCGCATGCCGCTTGGCGGAGGCGGCGAAGTGGAGCGGGGTGGAGCCGCTGAGGGGGGTGGTGGAAGGGGGCAGGGAGGGCAGGAGAGGGAGGAGGAGGGTGGGAGGTGAAGGGGGGAGGTCAGGTGCAGGGGGATTGGGGGGATGGCAGCATGCGGTGTGGGGGCTTGGGTTAGGTGGATGGAGAGGATGAAGCGCTGCATGGGTTGGGGAGGAGAGGGGGACGGCGGGGTGCTTTCTATTAGGTGCGGCCTTCAGTTGTTATCATGCCCGGGTTAGGTGGGAGGGCGACTTGGAGGGGGCTAGGGGTGGTGTGTAATGGCCAGGGGCTTACCGGCTGTTCGTGATGTTGACATCTGCGCCGAGTTCGATGAGCGCCTTGACGGCTTCCAAGTTGCCCCAAAGAGCCGCGACGTGCAAGGCCGCTTGTCCAAACTTATCAAAGCACAGGAGTGGATAGGGTTACGTTAGTGCTGCTGGTGTTGCTGACGGGTATAAACTTGCGCGTAAGACCGCTCATACCTCATTGGTCATGTTCACCGGAATCCCAGACTCCTTCACAAGGGATCGAATATCTTCCGCCATGTTATCCCGCGCCAGACCAAGAATGGGTAGTGGACCGCTCATGGTTATCTGCTAGTCAGTCGGCAGAATTATTCTAGACGGATGGAACCAAGGCTTCCAGGAGCAAAGCAGCAAAAAAGACACTGCAGTAATTGATCAATAACCTTAAAGCAATTTAATCTAACTTCAGGCTTTGGGGTAAACGTAAAGAGACAAGCGTATTAGACAAGCCGCAACACCTGCACGTTTCTAACCCCTACTCCTGTACGCCGAAACCCCTAAGAGTTCAGGGTTAATGAAAATAACGGTAACCAGTCCTCGCTTTCGTCTGGCCTTGCATGATCGGGATCGAAGGAGCCTTGCCGTACAGCGGCAGCACAGAACGCGTCGACAGAGACGCGAACCCCGGTGAGATGTATTCCTAAGATGCGTGCTAGGACGAGGACAAGTCGTCAGGTAATGCAATTTTGACGGAATGGGGACATGTGTCAACAAGATAGTCACGGTACGGGGAAGGCAGAGGAGGGAAATGAAGGGGGAGCCCTGGGGAACCCCTCAACCCCATCATGCTGCCAACAGTACAGCATAGTGTACCCCCGTCCGGCCCAGTTCCATCCAAACTAATCAGTCCGGTGCCCTTACAACCATCGCTCGAACCGCCCGTCCATCCTCATCATCATGGCTGCTGCGCATCCCATCTTCCCGTTATGCATTGCTGGGAATGCCCCATTAACGAGGAGCTACACACCGGATTGTCTCTCTGCACAAAGGTTTCACAGCCCGGGCCAGCTGTCTTCCGGAGCGGGGTGTACGAGCCTTGGAATGTGGTTTGCGCAACCTAAGTGCCACCGTCGCTTCAACACCAAACAAGCAAAAAATAACTCGTTTCATATGTGAAAATATTTGTGTAACTGTGCGTTTAGATGGAAGGAAAGCATTAACTCGTGACACATGCTGCGACAGCTGCAATCGCGCCTCGCATCCAGAAAGCCTTTCCATTTCCACCTTTACTGCAATCCACTAGAAAACATCTCCGTTTCATCACTCTCAGGCACAATGCAACCTCGCCCCAAGCGTGCTCTCGGTTCTAACGCCGCAGCTCCCTCTCATCATCCTTCGCCTCCGCCCTCACCGTCCGCCTCACCTCCGCCCTCCCCAGCTCCCGCCTCCGCCCCCACCCTCACGCCCACTCCTTCCAAGAAGAAGTCCCGACCGCTGCCCGCGTCCCCCAGCTTCCAGCCCGCCAGCCTCGCCCAGCTGCGCGCCAAGGCAGCTCGCATCCAGCAGCAGCTCGCACAGCTCTACCCGCAGCCGCCCATCCCGCTGCAACACGGCAGCGCCTTCCAGCTGCTGGTAGGGGCTGGGCCGGGTGGGGCGGGCTGTTCCATCATGGGAGGAGCGCAGGGCCTTTAGAAGCTGTACAGGCTGTTGCATGTTGGATGATACCCCCATTGATGTTGAGGGTACGGAACTTGTGTCGGGAGTCGGGGGTCGGGAGTGGTGCGGGTCTCTCCACAAAGCCACAGCCGCTGTCCTCGTACAGCTGTTCACCGCAGCGATGCCACACACGTGGGATGTCACGTGGGCGCACATACACACGCGGCCAGTTTTCTTAACACACGCTTGCCGTACCCGCCAGTTCTTTCTCGCGGCACGTTTGCTCAAAACACACACACACACGCTTGCCGTACCACCTCAGGTCGCGGTGATGCTGTCCGCCCAGTCGACGGACGCCAAGGTCAACTCCGTAACTCCGCAGCTGTTTGCGCGCGGGCCGGACGCGGCGGCCATGGCGGCGCTGGAGGTGAGGCGGCGGCGGCTGATGGAATGGGGGTGATGAGGAAAGTAGATGTAGGAAAGCCTACCCAGCTTGGTGGGTACCGGTACGAGCGCTGGAGTTGGGTGGGCCTGCTGATTGGACAGCGCTCCAGGGCAAGGTACGGACAGCGGCCAGGCAGTATGTGACATGTGGGGGAGGCCGCTGCCCCCGCCCCTCCCCCCCGCCTCGGGTGCTTGGCGCACCGATCACTCTTCCCCTCCGCTCGTCGGCTCGTTTGCCATCCTCATTCAACACACTGGGTATTCTTCTTTTCCCCCGCCCCCCCCCGCCAGGTACCTGAGATCGAGGGCATCATCCGGGTGCTGGGGCTGGCTCCCACCAAGGCACGCAACGTGCAGCGCATGAGCCAGGTGGGGGCCGGGGGGGTGGTGGGGGAAGGTGGGGGGGATGAGGGGGCCGGAGGAAAGAGATGGGGGGGTGAGGGGGGTCAAAGACCATACCGAACCATAGGAAACCACAAGTGGGGCGAGGGGGTGAGGGAGAGGGAGGAGTGGGGCGCCCGAGTCGGATGGGACTAGCAAATTTTGTTTTGAAACAAACACGAGGTTAAGCGGCATGTGGCAGGAAGGTGAAAAGGCAAGGGAGCGCAAGGTGGGTCCCGCTCCCCCCCCTCCTGTCCCCGTATGCGCTCACTGCATGTGTCGGGATTCGGGATTGGGACTCCGTTGATGCATTATCCATAAGTTTCCCCTCCCCCTCCACCCTCCCACATAGCTGCTGTTGGAGCAGCACGGCGGCCAGGTGCCCGCCAGCTTCGCCGCCCTGGAGGCTCTGCCGGGGGTGGGGCACAAGACCGCCAGCGTGGTCATGTGCCAGGCGTTCGGGTGAGGGGGGTCAAAGACCATACCAAACCATAGGAGACCACAAGTTAGGGCAAAGCAAAGGGGGTAGGAGTTGGCAGGGTGCGGGGGGGGAGGGCGGAGCTGAGGGGGTGTGGGGGCGTAGGCGGGGTTGGGGGACGGAAGGTGGTTGGTGGGACGGAGGGGCTGCGCAGTTGCACGCCTTCTGGCCGCTCCCTTGCCCCCTCGTCCTCCCCTCCTCCTTTATACCCTCCTCGTCCTCCCCCCTCCTCTGCATCCCTATTAACCCCCTCCTCTTCCTTACCCCCCTCTCCCTCCTCCTCACCCCTCCCTCCCCTCCTCACCCCCCCCAGCCACCCAGCCTTCCCGGTGGACACGCACATCCACCGCCTGGCGCAGCGCTGGGGGCTGTCCAACGGCAAGAGCGTCGAGCAGACGGTGGGAGGCTGGGGGGGGGTAAAGAGGAAACATCTAACTGACCGGGCTGGGGGGGGTCAAAGATCATACCAAACCATAGGAGACCGCAAGTTAGGGCAAAACAATGGGGGTAGGAGTTGGGCAGGGTGCCACAAGACAAAGGGTTGGTTAGTATTCCCTACCGATACCGGGCTGGGGGGGGGGGTTGGGGGAAGACAGAGCGGGGGAGCCACATGAAAGGGAAAAGCAGCTACCGTATGGGGATTGGCAAGCACACGCGCCGGAAACGGGCGGAAAGCGGATAGAAAAGCAGTGGAAGGGGGAACGGGGGCGTTTCATAGGTTACTGTGGTGCCGGCGCGAATGGGAGGCCCCCCCGGCTCCCGCTCGCCGCCGGCGGGCGCACTCTTGCCTGGCCGCCCTGTTCCGCTCAGCCCCACTCGGCCCCCTGGTCCGCCCCCCGGTACCGTCCAGGAGCAAGACCTCAAGACCCTGCTGCCGGAGGATAGCTGGTAGGGCGGCTGGGCGGGAGGGGGGTGGAAGGGGTCGGGCGGTTGGGGAGGGAGGAGCACCGGAGGTGCCCGTATAGTGCAGGCTGCCGTTCCGGGTATTGGGGGGGCTTGGGAGTGACTGCGCTAAGCGAGGTAGGGCAGGGTCAAGGCAGTGTGCGGTGCGTCTTGCGTTCCGTCGCCTAGCCGCATGCTTGCCACCCAGCGCCCTCGTTACCCAGGTAGCTTCACACCCCCTGCGGCCCGCTACCCGCTGCCGTGCAGGCGGGACATGCACCTGCAGATGATCTACTTTGGCCGGGAGCACTGCCCCGCGCAGCGCCACGACACCGCCGCTTGCCCCGTGTGCAGCTGGGCGGCGCCGGGAGCGGCGACAGTGGCAGAGTGAGTGGGAGGAGGGCGGCCGAGTCGGGCCGGAAGAGTCCCGTTTCATGCTCCCTGGAGTGGGTAGGAATCTGCGAGTTACATTCCGCCTTTGCACCATGCGCGCGTTTTGGCTGCACATCCCAAAGCTGAGCCCGCACATGTCTCCGCCCACAGGACCTCCTTTCAGGCGAGCGGTGCAGCTGGTGAGCAGCAGGCGTCACGTGAGGGAGGACGCAACCGAAGAGCAAGGCATGGCGGCAACGGTAACGCTGGGATGGCCGCGGCGGAAGAAGCGACGGGTGCGGAAGTGGCAAGCAGCGATGCTAGCGCGCCGGTGTTACTGGAGACCGGGGCCGGGGCGCAAGGCGCAGAAGCAGAAGGTGGTTCCCGGATGCAGGGTGTTGCTATGGCTGGGCCTTTCGATGCCTTCAAGGCTGGTGGGAGAAGAGGAGGGAAGGGCCATGGGAGTGGTGCCAGTAACGTCGATGATGCGATGATAGGGGTTGGGTTGTTACGCCGCAGTAGTCGACGTGGTGCACTTAAGTAGAGTTCCAGCCCCTACGTTGAGCGTGCCAAATGCGCTGATCTTACTGCGAAATTAGTAATTACTACAATGTGACGAGGTTATCAGCTGTTTAGTATGTGGGGTCCAGCTGCAGTACATGTGCATGGTTATAGTTATTAATCAAGTACAGCAAGGTTAGCTGGATAGTAGTAGGCAGCCGTGCATATCATATGTTGCTTGATGGTACAGAAGGAAGGAGACCATATCATAGCGTAGTGCAACTACATATGTGTCTGTTGGCATCATGTTGGGTGTCTGAAACACCTAGCCAAGATCCCGCATATATTGTCGCAACATGTCCCCGCATGTGGAATGCAACATCCGCGTTGCTTAACCAATGGCCAGGGCGCAAGGCACACAAGGGTGAGCCTAATCTGCGCAACGCATACCTATCCAGGCACACCCATGTCGCAGCTACAAGAAGGCTTAGGCCTTGCATACACGGTCCCCTCCAGACGCAAGTTGTTAAGCTGCAACCTACACTACCGGCAGGATTACCCCCCGCCCGGCCCCGAGGCCACGCCTCCGCCGCCACCAATCACCACACAACACACCCATAGCCAGTCCGATGCCACGTCTCGTGTTTAGCGACCACGGGGCGCAGCTGTCCGAATTGCGAAGCTCGCTGTCTAAGCGAACAGAATGAGGAAGACGACCAGCAGCGAGAACAGCGCAATAGACTCAGTCAGAGCGAATCCCAGCAGAGCGTAGCCGACCAGCTGCTTGGCAATGTTGGGGTTGCGGGCGGCGCCGTTGATGAGCGAGCCGAACATGACACCCAGACCGGCACCGACACCAGCCAGGGCAATGGTGGCGCAACCGGCACCAACCATCTTGGAGGCAGCCAGCACGCTCATGGCGCGCTCCTGCTTGAGGGTCATGGGGCTGGCAGCAGCCTGAGCGCGGATGCCGCTGGCGATGGCGCTGGGGGAGGCGCCCAGAATGGGGGCCTGCGTGTACAAAAGGACATGTTATTTCATGTTATCGAAAACTATATCGGAACCCAAGGAACAAAGGGTAGCGGGACTGACCTGCGCGGCCACCATCACAGGCTTCTCAACCTACGGAACAGGCAAAAGATAGGAAATAGCGGATGTCGTTAGATATCTGTGGCTTAAAGAAACATTTATAGGTTCACCGGCTCCAGACAAAAACAGCGCCGTCGCAAGCAGCTTCCGAAGGTCCCTGAACGCACCTGCGCCGCACCCTGGCTCGCCACCATCATGCCTGTGAAGCATGAGGAGAACAATCGTATGAAGACAACGTAGGAAGGCTAGGGGCGAAAGGCACGCACGAAATGATAGAGACCTACCCTGGGCGGAGGCGGCCTGCAGGCGCGCCATGCCCGAGGTCAGGGAGCGGGCAGCCCCGAGGGACAGCTGAACGGCCTTCATGGACGACATTTTCACCCTGCAGGGTCGAGCCGGAACGAAGAGGTGTTGGCGGCGTTCCGTTCCGGAGATGGCATCAGGCAAGCTGGAAGCCGCTATCGACTCACTCAAGGGCTGGTGAGCACGAAGGCTGAGAAGCACAAGGGTTAGAATGTCACGTTCAGACTGAAGTGGGAGCAATAAAAGAAGTGTTATTATGTACTTATTATCATGGGAGTCGGCACGGCCTTTCCCTGGAGTCGGCACAAACCGACCTAAATTGCCGCAACATAACTGTTTACGATTAGTCTAGTATTTTTGTGCTGGACTCACATCCGTTACGCTCCGTGCCTGAAGCCGGTCAGACTTTTCCCTTGCTGATCCCTGATTGTTGCAATCACCGGCGTAACGATGTCGCTGCAAGCCGCCTCCGCTAAGGTCTGCATGCGTGGCTTCAATGCCACCCTGGCTCGTGGCCTTTCCAGCCAGAGCATTGCGGCCATGGGTAAGTTGAAGTTGCCCTCCGACAGTCTCTGCGCTTACCATCAGGACTTAGCCGACTTACTTTATCTCATGCCGGCTGCTGTTTGTAGGTGCCAGCACCCCTGCCGCTACCGAGCAGGTAAAATGGGATTTGCGCTTGGAAAGGCTTTTTGTTGCGGCACGGTAGTATGCATCGCGACATTTTTCCCGACACTTAACCTTTTGCCCTATCCCTTCCCATGTTCAAAATGTAACAGGTGACCAAGTCGGTGGTCATGATGCAGGTGTGTTCAGTACTAAATTTGCTGTCACCTTTGTCGGAACTCCTTTTCGCATTGCCATCACTTCCTCTTCTCTATCTTTTCGCAGACCCCCATCGTGGCTTCTAGCCCAAGCGCCATCGCCAGCGGCATCCGCGCTCAGGCTGCTGCCAGCCCCATGACCCTCAAGCAGGAGCGCGCCATGAGCGTGCTGGCTGCCTCCAAGATGGTCGGTGCCGGTTGCGCCACCATTGCCCTGGCTGGTGTCGGTGCCGGTCTGGGTGTCATGTTCGGCTCCCTCATCAACGGCGCTGCCCGCAACCCCAACATTGCCAAGCAGCTGGTCGGCTACGCTCTGCTGGGATTCGCTCTGACTGAGTCTATTGCGCTGTTCTCGCTGCTGGTCGTCTTCCTCATTCTGTTCGCTTAGATTATGTTGCATGGCTGGTTTAGGTCAGACGGGAGAGGTTGGGCAGCATAAGGCGAAGCGTTTGCGGAGAAGGGGTGTTAGGCAGGGTTTTGGGTTTTCCCTGACGTGAAGACAGGTTAGGTAGTGGTGGAGTGATGTACTGACTTTACGTATCAGACCGTGACTACGCTGCTTGCGGCGGTACATTTATACCTCGAACGACGACAGTTCCTACCATTGCCTGTAACCATGGCATGAGAACTCCATTAACCTGCGACCATCATACCTCGACATGACCACACAACCCCTTTAGTAATGTTACACCTTGACAGGCAGTTGTGCCTTCCAAGAAGTCGTCTTCCTAATACACTCACTCCAGCACTTAACCCCTCTTCGGTTACTGTGAACCTCAGCTGCAGAGTAGCCACTCAGTTGGGTCACTTCTGACGACGAAGCTAAAAGGAAAACTAGTAGCACGACTGAACAACTGAATGCAAGATAATAAAAGTACAGAATGTAATTGTATCTACTCTACCCCATAGCCGTGCATTTTTTCTATCCATTAGGCCGGCCGTGAACCGGTTGGCTCTTGACGCCCACGCCACACCCCATACGGTGAGTTACTTTCGTTCTGTTTACCCCCACCCCAAACGGCAGGTATGGTTAACACCCCTAATTGCTGCCCCATTGCCAGCCGACATGACCCATCCTGCAAAAGCATATCCTGCACCTCAGCCGCACCCATACCCCGCAACGTAAAACACCTGATCCTTTGCACAAGTCTCCGCACTGCCGCAGACCGCCATCACTGCGGGTGTGATTGCCCCAAGTGCGCCGGGAACGGCCCAGCTTGGAAAGGACCAAAGGCGTGTAGCTCCTGCGGTGCCGGTGGCTGCGGCGCCATCTGCTGCTGCCCCACACCGTCCGAGGCGTCCATGCCGTCTACGCCACCGCTGTGCGTTCGCCGCGAGGGGCTGACACCCAGCGTGCTGGAGAAGTAGCTGCGGGAGGGCTTCCCGCTGAACCCAGCCTGCTCGGGATGCGCCTCGCTGCCTAGCGGCCCTACAACGCATGGAAGTGGGTGGGCAACCGGGAAGCTAGGAAGCCAGCAGAGGTGCATACCGTAACATGGAATCATCGGTAAAGGCGACGGCGTAATCAGCACCCATCCAACAGCTGGCTGGCTGGACAGCGCTCACCTGGCCCGACGACAGAGATTTGGGGTGCTGGGAAGGCGTGCGGCAGATGCTCGCCGCCCTCAATGCTCTGGGGGAAAGGGAGAGGATGAAGGTGATCCTCAGCGGCCGCGGAAGCGACTCTCGACAATGTCAAGCTGGCAAAGCTGCTGTCTTGCAAGGGGTTGGGAAACACGAGGAACCCTGAAACCCCCTCGCTGATGCGATCCCGCGGACAGGCTGAAGTTTTGTAAGAACCCTTAACGAAATGCTAAACACCAGTTCCCGCAACCCTGTGACCTTACCTCGTACTCCTGTTGAAGGAATTGGAGAAGGACCGCCTTTGACACCACCTCCGACCCAGGATTTTGGGCTAGAAGGAAGGCAACCACACGCTCCTGCACCGCAATGTAAGGCGCGTATGCCACTTCGACAAATGTCCACAGCACACCCCTTACATGACAAACCCTTACACTGTAAGGCCCAAGGAAAACAAAAAGAGTAAAACAATTTGAAACCTACCAACGCCTGTCTTGATGCTTGTGCTGAAGCACGCCTTTGCTGCTGAACAGCTTGGGAGTAGAGCGTGCTGACGGCGTTTGCAGCAGAAACAAAGCTTCCATAGATGCTTTTCTCTGCTTCGTGGTCTACGATAAGCTTGCGCTTTTTGCCGGATCGCAGGGACATACTGAGCACCCTGACCTCCGACCCTGCACCCTTCCTAAATGATAGGGCAATATGCGGTCGAGCGTAAGCGTCAGGCAGAATCGTAGCAAATCGGTTAAGCATGCTAGCAGGAAGCCTACCAGCAGAACCAGGTTGAGTACGACGGGCGTTGGCGTGAACCGTCGCGGCATGTCGGATATGACGGATGCCAACATTTCGTCATTTATCTTCCAGTTTCAGTATTCGACGTACGCCTGCGCTTCCTGACAGTACAGCTTACGCTCTTTGCTGACCTGTTGCTCCATTGCTGACCTGGCCAACAAGACAAAGCTAGGGGCGGTTGACAAAAACTTTCGAAACTCTAGCACCCGTTATGGAGTCACCCTTTAAGCCAGACATCCTGAAGGGCAAGGTGATTCATCTGCTGCTCTTGCACCAGATTTCTCGGCAATGCGCTGGTTTCAGCTAACAAGTCGGGATCGATACCCAGGTGGCCCTCGTCACCGGAGGCAGCTCTGGTATAGGATTTGAAATCGCTCGCCAACTCGGTACGTGCAAGCCCGCTCCTCGCCAGCCAGAACAGCCCGATATACCGCCCCCCCAACCCCTCCTGCGTGCTCTCTAGCCACTCTTTTCCCGGTCAATTGCATTGCCTCTCCTTTCCGTGTCTTACTTCCTTCACATTCCCACATCCTGCATACGGTGCTCCCACATCTCGCCAGGTCTGCATGGCGCCCGGGTGGCCATCTCAGGCCGCCGCGCTGATGTCCTTGACTCGGCGGTAGCGGCGCTGGCTGCCGAGGGCATCACAGCCATGGGCCTGCAGGTGGGGCTGCGGGTGCGGCTGCGGGTGTGGGCATTGCTGTGGCCGCTATGAGCGAGATGGCGGGCTCGTGGCGGTGGTGGTGGTGGTGATGCTAGGCGTGGGGGACGGGAACTGTGGAGGCTGCGCAGCGGTCATGCGAGGGCGAGGCCAAATGATCCCCCCCACCACTGCGCCCCCTACAACTCACCACCCCACCCACCCCCCGGCCCCACCTGCACCCCCAGGGCGACGTGCGCAGCGCCCCCGCCTGCGAGAGCTGGGTGGCGGCGCTGACGCAGCGCTGGGGCCCGGGGCTGCACGTGCTGGTGAACTGCGCGGCGGGCAACTTCCTGGCGGCTGCGGAGGAGCTCACACCCAACGGATTCAAGACGGGTGGGTAGGAGGGAATACCGGTAAACGGACGAGCTGTGGGGCATGTACGGTAGGCTTGTGTGATGTGGGTCGGGCCGATGTGGGTCAGGGGGAAGTGGAGCCGGTGGACTGTGAGACAGACTGTGCTCGGGTAGAGGGTAGGGGAGTGTGCATGAGGTTTTACTGGAGTGACGGGGAGGGAGCGCGATGCAGGGCGCTTGATGCACGGCGAGCAACGCACTCCTGGTGGGGGGCTCCTGTGGGTGCTCCTCGCCTTCTGCCGCACCCGGCTAGCCATGCTACCCCGCACATACACTGCTCCTCCTCTCGCTCACAATGGACTGTACCACCCTCCACCAACCCCGCTATACCCATCTTCCCATACCCCTCTCTCTCCTCCCATACTCCTCCCCTCCCCCCCCCTTCCCCTCCTGCGCCAGTCATGGAGATCGACGCGCAGGGCACCTTCCACATGAGCCGCGCCGCATTCCCAGCCCTGCGCGCCGCAGCCTCCTCCCCCTCCTCCCCCTCCTCCTCCCGCGCCCCCACCTCCGCCGTCATCAACATCTCCGCCACGCTGCAGTACGGCGCCACCTGGTGGCAAGCGCACGCCTCCGCGGCCAAGGCGGCGGTGGACTCGCTGACGCGCTCGCTGGCTCTGGAGTGGGGCGAGGCGGGGGTGCGGGTGAACGGAGTGGCGCCGGGGCCCATCGAGGGGACGGCAGGTGGGGTCGAGGGGCGGGGCGGAGGGAGGGAAGAGGAGGAGGATATCACTAACTTGGAAGGGAAGAGGGGGTAGGAAGGCTGGGAAGGCTAGGAGGAGGGGCCCGGTCTCTCCCGGGTGAGGTAATGAAGGCCGAATGGTGAGAAACCCGCTCCAGCCCCCGCATCCAGCCTCGTCATCCAATTCTTACAGTTTCCTTATTTTTCCTCCCCGCATGCCTGCAATCATGCATGCGCGCAGGCATGACCAAGCTGGCCCCGGGTGCCAAGGAGGTGGTGGAGGCCACCATACCGCTGCGCAGCCGCATGGGCCGCAAGTGGGACATCGCCATGGCGGTGTGCTTCCTGGCCTCACCCGCCGCGGAGTTCGTGACGGGTGGGGGGAGGAGGGACCGGGGGACCCGGGCGGCAGGGGCAGGGGTAGAGATGGAGAAACCGGGGCAGGGGCAGGGGCGCCAGGGTAGCCAGGGTCCGAAGCGAAGGCAGGAAGGAGGGTGTTGCAACGGTAGGCAGCAGCCCAGTGGTTTTGGAGTTGTGGGAAGGGGCGGGACGCGTCTATCGGCGACGGTTGACTCATTGCACGACGCATGGCGCCGAAGCACAATGGACACACGCGCCTTTTTTGCGCTCATAGTCCTTGTAACCACCTTCCATCCCATAATCCCACCCAACTCGCTCCTACTGCCGGAAGTACAAACCCACATCGCCCCCCACCCCCCTGCCCCTCCAGGTGACACGCTGGTGGTTGACGGCGCCAGCTGGATGTGGCGCCCGCAGCTGCTGCCGCGTGAGGGCGTGTCGCGGGCCTCGCGGGGGGTGGAGGGACGGAGCCGGGCGGTGGGGGTGGCGGCAGCGGATGGCAGCAAGCCCGTGAGCAAGCTGTGAGGCGGAGTGCGGGGAGGGGGGTTAAGGGCCGGGGGGCGGGAACAGGAGTAGAAGCCAAGGCGGTGGGTAAATAAAGGATCGCCGCGATAGAGGTAGGATCCTTGGATTACAGGAAACAGTTTAATTACGGATGATGTACTATCTACCGTTCGAGTTTACGGTAGTCGCTAGGGTTTAGGTATGGCCAGACAGCTTCTACCGTATCATATCAGGACTCGTCAAGCAGCGGCCAGTAAGCGCTGTCGTGTTCTAGCTATAGGACTTGGCCACATGCACTCAACCCCCATGCGTACGTACGGAATGTTGCTCCTGCTGCTGCTTGCATGTTAACGCGCATTATTCGCCGTCACTTGGTTACCTCGTTTCGTTACTGCTGTGTGTCATGTCCCTCATGCACACAGCTGGTACTCTTCGGCACTCGTATGCTGTACATCGCCCGGCGCATGTAATAGTAAACAAAACTATACCGTAGCAGTGGTGTGTTCGGCCCTGCCGGAGGTGTCGCTAGGGTCGCTTCAGTGCAGTGGAGGGGGCGTGTAGGCTCCAGGGGGTGTGTAGCTGAGTACGGTAGGAGGAGGCCAACCTAGCCATACGTCGTAAAGGTTACCTCTGCTGTGGCTCGGTCGGCTTCTGCTGCGGGATGTAAAGGACGGAGCAAGACCTTCCGGTAGTTGGCAGTTACCTTGTATCGTACATGACGTGCTGCGGTGCTGTGTCACCCCCCTGCCAGCAGTGTGCTACTAGGGTACTGTGTGCCACTACTTGTACAATGGCCTTGATGACCTCTCATGTATGGGCGGCGGGTGGTGCGTGGTGCTCTCATCGCCCTTCCCCTTCATCCAGGCACTCACCAGCTACCTTCCTTGCGCTCCCATCAAGCTCTCCTGTCCTCCCCCGCAACCACACCTCCTCCACGTGCTCCCCACGTGCCCCCTCCCCGATCCGACCACTTTGCTGCACCGTATCACCCTACCCACAACCCTCACGCTCAACCAACACCAAACCAACCAACAACAAACCCCTCCTCCACGCACGTGCCACCTCACACTCTACCTCAAAGCCTCCTTCTCAGCAGCTCCCACACCACACCGGCTTTCCGCTGCCGACTACTGCTGCTTTTGCTTCCCACCCCCAGCCCCAGTCCCAGCTCCTGCTCCTGCTTCTCCTCCTGTCACCCCTGCTCTTGGGGCATGTCCCACCTGCGCCGACCCGCTGGCAGGTGCAGGTGCAGGTGCGGGTGCGGGTGTGGGAGCGGGAGCCAGCATGCACGCGAGCCGCACGGCCGCATCGAGCTGCTGCTTGTCGCTCAGCAGCCCCAGCGCCAGCGCCGCTTGCCGCAGGCTGCAGCCCTCGGAGTGCGCCTTCTTAGCCACCGCAGCAGCGGCCTCGCTCGTAGCCTGAGGTGGGAGGCAGGGGGGGCGGAGGTAGGCAGGGGGGACGGAGGGAAGGAGGAAGGGGGCCATTGCTTGGGAGGCACTACCTACCTACCTGTGTCCTCCAACGCCTCTTGCCTTCACAGTGGCATATCTTTACCTGCGACCCGCTACCCGTCACCATTACACCCCCGGTACCAGCACCACTAGTGAATATGTATATACCTACAAACGACAACAAACTCCTCGTCTCCCGTGGCGTTTCTGTGGGGGCATCACCTTCCAACAGTCCAGTACGTTCCCACTCGCGGCCAGCTATCTTAACAACCACCCACCCACCTGGTGGTGGTTTTGGCGGTCAGCAACAATACCAGCAGCAGCCTGCTCCCGTTTATTTGGCAGCAGCAGCTGCACCACATGCAGCAGGAGCAGGCGCTGCAGAAGCAGCTCCTGCAGCAACAGCTGCAGCTGAGGAAGCAGCAGCAGCAGCAGCACTCGGCAGCGGGGACACCAGGGTCAGGGTCCGGACCTGCCGGGCTGCCACCACCGCAGCAGACGCCGCCAGACATTTACGGTGGCACTGGCACGTACTTGGGCGGCAGCGGTAGCAGGATTGGGTGAGGGCAGCCGGCGTCAGCTTACAAAGCAGACAGCAGGGGGCGTGTGAGTAGAGAGGGCAAGAAGAGGCATGTTTGCACCTAGCAGGCGGCGCTGGTAGTACATTCTTTGCGGCATGTTTGCACACCTAGCAGGCGCCGTGCTAGGTTGGTAGCCTCACAAACAGCAACATCACCACCAGCAGCAGCAGCGATGACAACAGCAGCATACACGGCTATCTGCCGCAGGATGAGGCGGCGGCGGCAGCACGTGAAATGGCCCCGCACGCTGCTGCCGCTGTTGCTGACCGTGGCACGCAGCCGCAACACGCAGCCAACGCAGCTTACCATCACACTCCATCCATCACCACCACCGCAGCCTGTCTTCAGCGAGGCGAAGGGTGGGGGGCTGACCTCAACTTCATCCTGGAGCCCTCCTGGCTGCCGTACTGCTGCCGTACTTCTGCCGTACTGCAGCCG